TTTGTGTGTTTGTGTGTTTGCGTCACGCCTGGAGCTACCGTATCTGTCCCGTATCTGTGATTTGGTGTTTGTTTGTTTGTGTGTTTGTGTCACGCCTCGAGCTACCGCCTCGAGCTACCGTATCTGTCCCGTATCTGTGACTACAAAGGTTCTACAGGATTGTACATAACAGCTGGCCACAAACAGCTGGCCACAATATTCGTCGTATTATGTATACGACTCCCTGATGTAGAGGGAGATTTGGAAAGAAAATTAATAGGGAGACGAGGAGGAAATAAAATTAGAATGGACGCTAGTTGCGGAATAGGTGATAGGATGCGTCAGCAAAAACATACTTTGGAAGAGAGATCCCGTCGTCTCCAAAATAAGCGTGAACGGGCGATTCAGCGCCGGTCACAAGAAACGTCGGAAGAGAGATCCTGTCCACTGCAGAACGCCCGTGATCGGCAGAGTCAGCGCCGGTCCCAGGAAACGCCAGGACAGACGCAGGATCGACTCCAAAATAAGCGTGAACGAGCGATTCAGCGCCGGTCACAGGAAACGTCAGAAGAGAGATCCCGTCGAGTCCAGAACGCCTGTGATCGGCAGAGTCAGCGCCGGTCACAAGAAACGTCAGGACAGACATCTCGTCGACTCCAAAATAAGCGGGCGATTCGGCGCCGGTCACAGGAAACGTCGGAAGAGAGATCCCGTCGAGGCCAGAACGCCCGTGATCGACAGAGTCAGCGCCGGTCACAGGAAACGTCAGGACAGACATCAGGACATTTTTTGCCTAGCTCATCGTACATGTTACTAGAACTGATGGAAATGTTTTTTTCCGTTGATTGGCCACATCATTGTATTGCAAAAACGTTTCCATCAGTTTGAATATGAGTTAGGCAAAAGTATTTGCAGAATTTATTGCGGATTGTTATTTTTCTCTCACTTCATCCGCTTTTGGTTTGCTCCTTCTTTTCCTTTTTATCTCCTTATAATAGGATTTTCTGGCCTTGTTACATTAAAAGCATAGCGTAGGGCCCTGAGCTTCCAAGCTCTCTCGTTTGGTGTTTGTTTGTTTGTGTGTTTGTGTCACGCCTGGCGCTATCCCGTTTCTGTCCCGTACCGTACCATCAAACACAGCTGGCCACAAACATGATTATAGCAATAAAAACTGCTTTATGGCAGTTTTCTAAAAAAAGTTATTGTGTTCTAGTCCATGGACCCCGTCTAAAAAAGTAAGAAATTAACGAAATGTGATAGCTGAAAATTAAAATTTCACACAAAACCTCACAATAATCACAACACTTGAAATGCTGCTTTCAACACTAAACTTGTACTGCACCAACAATCGGCAACATGCATGCATAGGAAAGAGGATCACGAGGGGAAAAGGTCTTCTGCATGTAGCTTTTCATTCTGTGTGTGATTATTGTGAGGTTTTGTGTGAAATTTTAATTTTCAGCTATCACATTTCGTTAATTTCTTACTTTTTTAGACGGGGTCCATGGACTAGAACACAATAACTTTTTTTAGAAAACTGCCATAAAGCAGTTTTTATTGCTATAATTTCTTTTGTTTTTTCTGTCACCATGTACCAATCAATGGAATGCCCTACAGTAGAGTCGCGCGCTGAAGAACGTAGAGCCCAAGAACGTCCAGCCTGAAATTCTAAGAACGCCACAGCCTAAAGCTAAGAACGGCGGTGTTGGTTTTCTGGCAGCTTATGGGATACATATGATCCAGTACGGATTGTTTCTAAGATCGTGCTATAAGAACGCAGCCAGCTTGCTGAGAAATAAGAACGTCCCAGGCTAACCTCTTGGAAACAACGTTCTTGGGCGCGCGACTCTACTGTATATCAATATGTAAATGATGGCCTTCACATCATATCAATACCATATTATACGCATTGATGTGCAAGCCTTTTCTTGCAGAAAATGGCACTAGCATAATGCATGTTCTTCTGCGGGGAAACATGTGAGCAGTGGCGGTGATACTTTTTTTATACGGATTCTGTGCTTATAATTGTTTATAATCATGGGTTATCGTGATAAGGTCATCCAGCATCATATTGCAACTGAAATCGTAATCCTGTTGATGTCGATACAACTTTTGGAAGTGGTTCAATGACTTCAAACTGTTAGTCCACGATTGTCTAAAACAACACAGCAAAGGAGGAACAATAAACATGTATTGAAATGTAAACGAATACATTGCTGAGTCCAAAACCTCGTTCCAACAACTACACTGATCCTGAGGAGAAAAGGGGCAAGGCTATAGTTGGAGGTACTGAGAGATAAACAAGGCACTCCACAAAAATAAAATCTTACACATCTTTTGGTGAATATGAATGATATCCAGTCGAACCTCTTTAGGACGAACACCAAGGGAACGATGGTATTTATTCTGTGAGCTTAACCTATTTTATAACCAGAGAATACAATTATATCTCCAATAGACATACGAGTAGATTTCTTCTACAGCGAAAGATTCTAAGCCACACCGACTCATTGACTCGTCTCGTATGAAACAATTGAGTCACTAGAGAGATTCTGCAAAACGAAAATGTGTACAAACTTTCGCTCTACATCATGAAGTGCGAAACTTGCAGGGAACGCGAAATTATTATTATTATTAAATTTTGAATAGGGCAGTCCCACAGGCCTAGGGCCTTTTTACAGGCGAAATGAACTGTCGTAGGAAATTTCGTGAGATCGGGTCATGGCGTACGTGCACTTGGCCCGCGCAAACTACGAAAATGTGCAGAACGCAAAGTTCGTGCAAAAATTCGCACACACTTTCGCAAGGACTGTCGCGAAACTTCGTTCGAATTTTCGTTTTGCAGAACCTCTCTACTGAACCTTTCTTTAGCAACATGACGGCAACTGAAACAGCAACAGAGAAAGTACGATACATGTACTCCACATTCTTACAGGTACTACAAACAGATTGCAGATCGTAATTCTTGCTTTGGCGGCACGAAACTTTATTTGGGGCAGTGCAATCTCGGCGGTACTCACAAATCAAACAGCCCAGACTTGAGTAAACAAATCCAATCATACAAGTACGAGATTTTCACGAGATGAGACTGCACCCATTGGCTTGTTTCGTATGAAACAAACAAGTAAGTTACTGAACCTCTCCACAATAGAGATTTCCCCTGATATGCGAATTTATTTTGCAAACTCGGTCAATTGGTACTTGAACCTTTCCCTCCAGATTGGGAACTGCCAACGATAGTATGCCACTGACCAGTGCCTTACTTGTAACGAACCAATGTACAATGAATATGAGTATTTCGACAACACATCTAACATAAGCCTTACCGTCAAGAAGTTGAACTCGCGTTCTTCGCACACTGTAGACAAGGGCAAAGAGATAAAAATGGATCTAAATCCGAATAAAATCAGCACACGTTTCCGTAAATGAAAGGTGAACATAAGCAAATGAATCCAAGGAAACCGGTCAACTTAGAGATCACTTGTCATCGAGTATTCCGTAAAAGGAAGCCTCGCAGCTCGGCAGCAGAAAAGCAAAATTTAGAAAAGAGATCCTGTCAACTTTTCCATTATTTGTTGCATTCCGCCCCAAAATCAGCACACTTTTCCTGAATGAAAGAGTCAACACAAGCAAATGAATCAAAGGCAACTGGTCAACTCACCTGTCATTGAGTAATATTCCGCGAAAGGAGGTGTCAGCAGCGCCGAAACGAAATAAGCCAGGCCAGGAGACGAAATAACCGAAACAGCTCACGCAAGAAGCAGTTCCAAAGAAGGAAGTTCTTCGCGCATGCACATCCGAACACGGATCCGCGGACTAGACTGCATGCACTGAACACAATGTCTGCCGTGCACGTGCACAGCACACGGCTACCACGCGTACGCGCGTTGGTAGATCTAATAATACCGAGCACCTTACGTAGAGACTTACGTAGCCTAAGTGAAATACCGAGCACCTTACGTAGAAACGTACGTAGCATGGCGATGTCGTTTTTTCTGCCATGTGAACACAATAATAGAAAAGCTGACAGGATCGCTTTTCTAAATACAGCTGGCCGCAATATTCAAATAGGGCTTTCAAACGAAAGATCATAACGTGAAGCAACTTGGAAGAATGAGTATGAATGCGAAGGGTATGGGGGAATGCATGTAGGGCGATAGTGCGGGTTCGAATCCCAGGTTATGCCTAAAAAAATAGGAGAATTGAAATATTTATAGCATCCCTATACTGTTATACAACTGCGAAACCTGGGGACTGACAGAGGCTGCACTCGAGAAGCTGAACGCCTTCCATAGACGTCAACTACGGAACTTGTTCGGAATTAGGTATCCCGCCATCATCTCCAACAAAGACCTATATTCCAGAGCACACACACAGCCACTTTCGCACACCGTTGCTGTCCGCCGTTTCCGGATGTTGGGTCATGTTCTGAGGATGCCCTCAGATGCCCCGCCACAGCAGGCAATGGACAACTACTTCCGTCGAGATGTCACCGGTGTGCGTGGACGCCCGAAATCGAACCTGGCCACGGCAGTCAAGGCAAGCACAGCTGCCAGAGACATGCCACTGAAGACCATGACTGATCTGAGTGGGCTCAGAATGCGCGCTTTGGACAAGCAATCATGGAGGGAACTCGCGCAAGGTTGACGGGCCCGTCTTCCCCCCAGATGAAACACATGAAACAAGATGAAACGAGATGAAACGAGATGAAACAAGATGAAACAAGATGAAACGCCAATGTACGGGCGCAGATGGGGCCGAGATGAAACGAAATGAAACAAAATGAAACAAGATGAAACAAGATGAAACAAGATGAAACCAAATGAAACTCGAAGTACGGGCGTAGATGGGCCGCGAATGAAACAAGATGAAACAAGATGAAACAAGATGAAACAATGTACGGGCGGAGATGGGCCGCGCGCAGTGCACCCGGCGTGACGTGCACGAGCGAAAAGAACTGAATTAATCCAATCATTGAAAATAATTTTGTTTGCAGAGGCAATTCGCGCAAGGGAGGTATAGGAATTATTATTTGATGGCTTGCGAGTGACAGCACGAGCCGAATTTATTGCCCGTGGAAGTACCCACGATAGGAATACACTGTTGGGAACATGGTGGCGGCGCTGACGGTACCTATGTAAGTGGAATTACTTTATTGGAAGTACCCACGACGGGGAAAATAGTCTCTCTAGTATTGTCGGTGAATGGTGATGGTGGTGGTGGCGATGGCTACTTTCCTCTGCTCAGAGAGAACCCCTGCATGTCCTTCGTCGTGATGCAAAAGAGCAGTGGATGCAGGTAAAGGCCGTGTCAGAGAATTTCGCCTAGTGCTGTGGCCAGGGTGAAAATAAATTAGGGCTGAAACGATCATTCAATAACTCCAAGCGCGCGATCAACCAATCTCTTTAGTGATGAATATAATTGTGACATAGAAAAATGTGGGCACAAGCTATGCAATCGAGTCCACCAACTAAACCAGATTTCGAATAGTCAGACGTGCACAATCTAGCACAAAACTGACAAGGAGTATGAGTACTGAGACATTGAGATCAATTATAATTGTTGGTTCATAATTATAGATTCTTTCCGGCTGTAGTCGTGCACCTCGAGTACAAGACTATGAAGAAATTCCATGATGCCTTTGCTACATTAGCTGTGGCCACCAGTCAAACACTCTATACCCAGGCTACCGCTCAGTGTTTGGTATTCTGTAAACATTTCAGGCAATTGTGTCGACACCTGTAGACATCTGACTGGTCTAAAGCCTAGTTCACATTCGACGTAACACTGACGGTACAGGACGTAAGGGCCTGTCGGGACGGTTGGGGTGAGCTGTAAAATCTTTTACGATTCGTACGACACGACATGTTGCAGTCGTTGCGATGTTCTCCAGCGAACGGCGCGAGTCATAAGGTACAGTCCGTGACGGGGTGACTTTCGGACCTAATTTCTTGTTTTTCGGGACTTCTTTTCAATTATTTCTTTTTGAATGAAGCGAAATCAAGTTCACAATACCAGTTTTTCATGGAGACAAAAAAGTAGCCCTGAAAGTTGTGCCATTCGAATAGTAGCCCTAGGAAATGATAAAACAGTTCATCTGTCATTCTCCTAAACTATCCCTAAATACCATAAGTGACATGAGATCTTATCTTGCTAAAATTCAACTCAAGTCGTGTTAGCCATTCTGCGATTTATCATGGGAAGCGCAGTGTTCGAAATCCTAAAAATTTCCTAGTACGAATCAGGAGTGGACGGCGCACGACGCCGCCTCCTGTTCACACTCAAAATGCAGCCGTTTTGTACGCTTGCGTCTCCGTCTATGCCCGTCTACGGTATGGAAAGTTGAACTGATCCAACACTTCCCGTCGCTTCCCGATCCGTACGGTAGTATGGTTGCGTTCCCGTTCCTGGTGTTCACATTGGACGCCGTCAGACCGTCCTGTCGCTTTCCATCGATCCTTACGCCGCGTCCCGTCGAATGTGAACTAGGCTTTATCAATATGAACTAGAGGAGTTCATGTTGTTTCTAGAACGAAGAATCAGGCTTGTCGTCACCCTTTGGCTTGAAGCTCTTATCACCAACTTCCGCAACGAATCAATCGAAAAGATACAGTCTTGACTCCCGATCTCTTTCATAGCCACGCATCAATATTATTGCACTTGAAAGTACACGATTGCACTCGTATCCACAATTGGATGGAGTGCCAGGGCTAGAATACTGCCACTGGTATGCATGCATAAGAAATCGTTTGCATTCGCTTTGAACACTAACGATTATCGATTGCGCTCTTAAAACGATCGGTTTGCGAGTTATCTGCCCTAAATGCATTGCCCTCGTAGAGGACATGGATGAGCAGTGATATGAGCAGGGATGTGAGTACTGATGTGCCTTTCGTCCTCATATTTTACAGAGAAGACGTCTGCCCCCAATAATAAAATTAATGTAGTAATGATAATGTGTTGCCCTTTCATCTTCTCAGGAGCCCTATGCCTTTGCCTCTTCTCCCCTGGACTGAATGGACTGGACGCTCTGTCCAGTAGTGTCCAGTAAATGATTTGTAGTGTAAGTTAGGGTGCACTCTCTCTTGAGGATTTGCCCACCTTGATGATTGTGCTCTCCGTGTTATTAGAAAATGTCTCTACCTGCCAGGATGGTATAAGAGCACGAACTGAATCACCTGTTGGTGCAGAAGGCTTGGAGGACTGCTTTTGAAACAGTTGTTCAAATTTCCTGCACCTCTTCGTAGCCGTTGTCTGATTGCTGCATTCTGGGGAGACTGAAGTTAAGGTTAGTGAAGCTGCACAGTCCCCGTGGAAATGTTTATGCTGCAACTATTTACTGCTGACATGTATTTATGTATTTCAGGAATCTCCAGAGCGTGAAGGCTTGCTGCAAGCTCCGTCCCTTCAATGTCGTGATACATCCGTAGATCAGTCGTGTGCCTGTCCTGTGCTTTTGTGAGCATGCTCCTTTGCACATGCCTTTGTCCTGTGCATGCGCGGGCATGGGCGCGCGCGTGTGTGTGTGTGTGTGTGTGTGTGTGTGTGTGTGTGTGTGTGTGTGTGTGTGTGTGTACGCCAACGACACCGTCCGTGCACATGTGCATGGACGTGAGTTTGTGCGTATGTGCGTTTGCCTTTGTTATATGCATACAGTATTATCAATTTATCATGCCTATACAAGCCTTGCCAGTGTCTCGATAGGAGAAGCAGATACATGATTACACCACTTGGGTTTTGACCTTCTTTGGCCGGGGCGAACGTCCAAGGAAAGACTCCCTCTGGGCCAAGGTGTTGGCGACAGTTGAGAGTTGTCCTCTATTTTGCAGCGGGGGACAGCATGGCATATTTGGTGCCGTAAAAAGTGCAGTTGCACCTTTCACGTTACTGTAAAATTTGCTAGGTCACTCCCTTGAAGCTGGAGACTGCTGATACTGCTGCTCAAACGGCTGCTGCTGTTACTCTCTGCTGCTACCATGGTCGTTGCTTTGTATCAATGGTGAAAATTCTCAGATGAGCTTTGGGTCCGGGCACTAGAACCCTGCTGCTGCCTCTGCAGCAGTTGTAGAAAGTTTTATAATACCAGTGTCGATGGTGAACTTCTGCTCTTTTTTTATCCCAGACACTTTGTGCTCAAGAGACTGTTAGGTCTTTGTGGTGTTGTCGTTGCTGTTTGGTTATACTAGTTGGCGTCTGTTTGGAAATATATTGTGCTTTTCTGTATGTTCATGTGAACGTAGAAGCCCTCACCGAAACCAACACTACGTCGCTGTGTTGTTTTCTTCCAAGGTCGGGCACAGTAAAGGAGAGGACTCTGTGAGTATATTTGCAGATGAACTTTGGGTTAATAGAATGCAGGTGCTGCTGCTCTTGTGCCGGGCTGTTAGTGTCAATGATGGGGTGGATCATGCTTTCTCTTTATATACCTTTTGTATATTTGTGTGTAAGTAGGAGCACATACCAACACGTAATCTTTCTAAAGCCTAGTTCTCTTTCGACGCAACGCTGACGGTACGGGACGTAAGGGCCTGTGACGGCTGGGGTGAGCTGTAAAATCTTGTACAATTCGTACGACACGACATGCTCCAGTCTTTGCGATGTTCAACAGCGAATGGTGCGAGTCATAAGGCACAGTCCGTGACGGGGTGACCGTCCCGGCGTTTCCCGTCGATCCTTGTGTCGCGTCCCGTTGCGCCCCGTCGAATGTGAACTGGGCTTAACAATGGCATGGAGACAGTTTCAATTGCAGTTTAATGTTACTACACTGCACTGCAGGTATCAAGGCACTACCCAGAGGGAGGATGTTGGCCTTCTCCTGATGGGAAAATGTCTTCTTTCTCATGGCGTGGCCAGGACTGCACTGACCCTACCATCCACTCTACCTCTCCGGAAAGGGACTTGACAACCAGTCAAGATGGATGTGCAGAGATATGCCAGCGGTAAGTCACATGCTTAGGATACTTGATGAAGGAAGGACAGGTGCTCAACTACTACACCAAAATGTGAGCATAAGGAGATGGGCTGATGGGTCATGGGTGGGTGACAGGTCTTTGCCCGGTTGCTGGAGTATAACAACCTGGGTCTTTGATTGGTTTAGAAGCGGTCCGCTCTATTCGGGGTGCCATCCTCAATTAGACGGGCAGTGAAGATCTTGCAGGATCAATCGCACATGTAGAATATGGACATGTGGATGCGGGCAGCAGATCTGTAATTTCCAGTATCAAAGTTCAGTTGTATTTGCTTTTCTTTATTTTCTATTTGTGATGTTGTTCACTGCAGCTTCTAGCATTAACTGCCAATTTGCACTGACGCAGCAAGACTCCCACCAGTCAAGTATGTTTCATTGCATGCACTAGGATTACAGTAGAATGCCGATTATCCGAATGTCAACTGTCCAAACGGTCAATTATCCGAAATTCCTGTTTGCACTGAATTCAATTCAATAAGTCGACTTATACCGGTAAAATATGGTAACAGCGGGACTGTAGGGTGTGGCATTTCCATGATACAGTGGAAAATTTCACGATTTTTGGTGCAAACATAGCTCGGACGCTGCTCGATTGGATATACAATGCAGGTTCTTGGAACCACGGACACGACTCTTCGATTCAAGGATCACAACACTTCGGGATCTGAACGTTTTAGGTCCGGGAGCTGTTCGCGGTTTTGTCGCTTGTCACGGTTGTGGACTCATCGTTGTAGCATAAATGAGGCTGGACTATTCCAAGCGGAAAACTAAAATATTTCTTTCTCAAAGCACAATCACCGGCCCGGAGGAGTATACCTTCTCTAACTGCATACCGGGTGCAGTACATGACACGTCCGTGTATTGACTAGTCTCTTGTACATTTAGATCTACCACACGACTCGCGTAGCGCTAGCACAGCAGTGCGGGTGTAGTCATGTACTACTACTACTACAGTACTGCCGGGCGCCGAAGAACGGACCGCCGATGAACGACCAGGCTATGATTTCGCCATTTTTTAAGAACGGTCTAGGTAGAAACGTAATGTACAATATGAATCTGATGTACACTCAGACGTATAACTCTGCATAAATGTGCATGTAAGACTGTACCATCGAATAGGAACGAAACTGCTGTGTTCGCCAAAATAAGAACGGGCTAGGCTAGAACCCTGACCCCGTTCTTCGGTGCCCGGCAGTACTGTAGTGTAGTGTTCCGTATGTTTGTTGACTATGGCATGCACGCAGAAGCCAGCGGATGTAAAAAGTCCAACTCGGAAACGGCTAAAAACGGGGTATCCTCAAATTTTGCCGAGCTGAAAATCACAGGGTACGTAGGGCTTGTAACAGTGAGTCGAATGCTCTTGGTCCGAAGAAGCTGCGACAGATGGTTCTCAAATCGAACGCGTTTCGAATATTGGCCATTTTGCACACAAATAGATGGTGTGGCTACCTGGCTGCACACTGTGACCTTATCACCTGGATCAGGTAGACTGCGTGCTCGCTTTCGCTCATTTTCGATTGGGCGTATCTGACGAACCATGGACCGCAGCCTCCTCGGAAAAGAACATTCGACTCAGCGCCCCAAACTCTACGGGTCCTGAAATTAAAAAAATTCAGCAGACTTCCCCTCTAATACGTAAGGCAGAACTTAATACAGTCCTTGATTAGAAGTTGACATATTCTTGTACGAATCCGGTGGCAGCCACAACAATGTCTTTTTGTGAAAAATGTATGCAAGCCTTTTAAAAAGCATCTCCCACCAGGCATTCGATCGAATTTTTCATGGCGTGGAGATTTGTTACGGCGTGAACCGATGCTTGGCGTGTAGAATTTGCTTTTTGATGTGTTCTTTGGAAGATGCAGTCTTAAAAATGGTGTGGATGTCTTTGTTTCTGTCCTTCTGCTGTCCTCGTAGAAAGAATAATATAGACGTGCAGAAAATGTAGGAGAGCGATGACATCAGAAGGACACTCTCAGGTTCAGGGTACCTGTACTGCCCGAATATAGTGGGTCAGATCCCAAAACGAGGTTGGCCGAAGCAAAAAAAATAGAAGAGCCTGCCTTGAATTGAATATGAGGAAGAAGAAGAAGAAGACAAAGAAAGAAAAAGAGTAGGAATTTGTTTGTGTAAACTTTGTTTCCTCTGTCTAGGCTGCCATCGCATTATAGCAGCCAACAGTGTGTGTGTGTGTGTGTGTGTGTGTGTGTGTGTGTGTGTGTGTGTGTGTGTGTGTGTGTGTGTGTGTGTGTGTGTGTGCATATGTGTGTGTGTTTGCGTTTGTGTGCACACGCTTGTGTGTGTGTGTGTGTGTTTGCATGTGTGTATATTCTGCTAATCTTGACTTAAATTTCCACATCTGGGCATATTGTGTTCTGTTTGTGAATTTATCTTCATTAACTTGTGCGCTACGTTCCTTTCTTCACGTTACGGCACTTTAGTATTGTTTTACTTGAACATCATACTGTCGCCCAACTTTGTTTCACCAACAAAGGTTTATTCTCCAAAGTATTTCTAATTGATTGTGTATGAGTTTCATACTACTGTCAGGGGCGTCGGAAGGTATTTTAGTGTAGTACGGTCAGCCATCTGAAGTACAATTGACTCGTGGGGGAGTGGTGGCTGAGCCGAAAATTTTGGAATTTTAGATCCCAGATCAGTGTATTTTGTTGACTCACGGGTATCTGGGGCAAAAAGTGGTACGGTCAATACCGTAGTGACCGTACCGTGTGCGACGCCCCTGACTGTTGGAATCCACCAGCTGTGTTTCCTTGAGGGGCGTATCCTTACCTGGGATGTGTTTTCTCATTCCCGGCAGCAGAAAGAGCTCTACAATATGTATATAATTTAAGAATAGAATTTGATGTACAGGAGAGTGCCAATTATCCCCACCCCTCGGGACGCGGGCTGTCTCCAGAGGGTTCAGATGAGAAGAATGTTCGGATAAGAGAGCAGTCACACATCTATCTAAATCATGCATATTCCAGCATGTTTTCATCATTTTCGTTCTCTTCAGCAGTGAAACAGGAACTAGGTGCACTCATGCTCCTCTAAATTAATGACACTATTATTACACATTTTGACTCAAACCTGTTTTAATACATCTTGTGAATCGCTTCAATGGTGCCCCGAGCGACGAAAATCAACAACTTGAAACTCATCTTCTACCCCTCAATTAAATGCAAGCAATTATTTTGGATAATTAATCATTTGGATATTTGACATTAGGATAATCGGCACATTGTGTGTGATGGGGGGGGGGGGGGAGGAAGAGGAGGAGGCTGCGAGAGGCCGTGGTGGACCGTGTACTTGTGCACAGCCTGGAAATAGCCTCACTTTAGATGTATGCACATTCAAACGGTGGATGCTTCCCGCCATCCTTTTCCCCCTCTTTTTCCTTTTCCCGCCATTCTTTACCCCCTCTTTTTCAATTTCCCGCTCTTCTTTTCCCCCTCTTTTTCCCCCTTTTTCTTCCCTTTTCCCCCTTTTCTGCGAGAAGATTAGCCCCCTCCTTGGACCTGGTCTACTACCGGCTCTACTCTCGACAGTAAAACCTGTCAATGCGACCACTCGGATAAGGCGACCACCTGTCCTAGAAGACCACTGCAGCCAGGACCAAGGGATGCTATTTTCAGTCAAATGACCCTGGATAAGGAGACCACCTGGTAACAGAGACCACGTTTTGAAGGTCGTCTTCGACAGGTACATAATTATTTATAGCGCACGGCGCATTGATTGAGCTGTCAAGTGATTAGTGTCACTTGGTCACCATGGTCACAGTCAGTCAGTCCGAATCGGTTTGTCTGTGCTGCATGTGTCATTGTGTGTAAAACGCATAGCCTGCACATGGCGACAAAATGAGATTGTTGAGGAGATAGCGGACGACGCGCGGTCGACGGCAGTCGGTAGATGCTGTGTTTCAGATCCCTTGTCTTTTTGAGATCTTGTTCTGAAATTCCAGCAGCGCTGTACTCCTCGAGACGATAGCCGATTCTGGCCGGCGCTGTCGCTTCCCCGTGTTGACCCGACGGCGGTCTCCTTGAATCCCCCTGCAACAAAGAGTCAAAGTGCGCCAGTGTCACGGGAAATTTACCATAAGTATTATTCATGTAAGCCGACGGTGGACGACTGTGCAGGTTACTAAGGAATGTCACCTGCTTGTTGGGCGCTGTTCATCGTGCCTGCATATCTGACAGGACGAGCGACGTAGCCGCGGAGAATCATCAGCGTATTACGGAGGAGCACGGCATCATTTCCATTTACGTCTGGAGAATCCGTAAAGAAACACTACAATACAATACAATCGTTGCGGAGGAACGCTAGCATAGGTTTGAGGGTGCATCACTTGTGTTGAAAGCTGCTGTAGTGCAGTGGAGTGGACGGGTGCTGGATATGGCCTCTCTGGACGACATACACTGCGAAGGTCAGAGAATGGCCAGAAGCCGTGCCGACAGTCAGCAAACGCTGGTGGCTGCGCGGCCGGTGGACGAGGAGTTCAGCACGGCGCGCGCTCACCCCTGCCACGCGCACACGCTAGTCCGGGTCGACGCGCTCCAGTTCTACTCGCACATCGAGCCACCCGGCGCCTGGTTCTGCAACCAGTGCCGGCGGCGCAGCTCGGACCTGAAGGAGCGCTACCCGTGGCACTGCGCCGCGGAGAAAACCTCACCGCCCACAATGCTGCCCCCGTGTCAGTATGATCTGTGTAACGAGTGCATGCACGGGTCCGTTCATCCGCTGCACGAGCACCCGCTGCGTCTGACCGACGCCAACGTGACCTACGTGAACGAGAACGGGATCTGGTCGTGTGAGTACTGCAACCTGGATCGCATGTCCACCAAGGAGCGCTACCCGTACCACTGCGTCGAGTGCCGCTTCGATCTGTGCGTTCGCTGCTACGAGGGCATACGCCACCCGCTGCACCCGCACCGCCTGCTGCCGGCAAAGGCCGACCTGGTGTACGCCGAGCACGGCGGCATGTGGTTCTGCGACATGTGCCACGCCAGCCGCAAGCAGCTGCGCGAGAGTCACATGTGGCACTGCCTGCAGTGCAGCTTCGACCTGTGCGCCAGCTGCGCCAACGGCCTCCGGCACAAACAACACGGCCACAAGCTGTACCTGGCCGATGCCAACGTCGCGTACGCCAACTTCTCCGGTCTGTGGTCATGTGACCATTGTGGCACGAGTCGCAAGGCTTGTGGGCAGCGGTTCATGCGTCACTGTGCCGAGTGCAGCTTTGACCTGTGCAATACGTGTTTCACGTCGGATCTGGCCGTCGCGACGTCGGCTGCCACCTCTGCTATAGGGTATGCGCTGGGTGGACCCGGTACGGTGGCTGCGGGTGATGGCGGCGGCGGTGTAGGGGGAATATCGCTGGCAGAGAGGAAGCAGACGCTGCTGCAGGGTGAGTGAGTGCTGTGTGTGTGTGTGTGTGTGTGTGTGTGTATGTGTGTGTGGGGGTAGGTGTGTGTGTGTGTGTGTGTGTGTGTGTATGTGTGCGTGCGTGCGTGTGTGCGCGTTCGTACGTTTGGTGTGTGTGTGGGGGGGGGGGGGGTGCTCTGCCGATTAGGCTACCGGGGATCACGCACACACGCACACACACACAAACACACACACACAAGCAGAAGAACACAAGCACTGCGTGCAAAGTGTACTGGAACGGGGTCATCGGCATGAGGTCTGTAGCGGTCAGCCAGTGCGGAGGAACACGGCTGTCAGCCAGTGCGGAGGAACACTGCCGGTCAGCCAGTGCGGAGGAACACTGCCGTTCAGCCAGTGCGGAGGAACACTGCCGGTGAGCCAGTGCGGAGGAACACTGCCGGTCAGCCAGTGCGGAGGAACACTGCCGGTCAGCCAGTGCGGAGGAACACTGCCGGTCAGCCAGTGCGGAGGAACACTGCTAAAGATGACTGCAATGGCTACCGTACATGATAACACTTTTTTACCCAGCGACAGCACAGCAAAACTCACTTAATACATACTCTCTAGTGCAGTGAATGTATCTAGCGTTCTTTTGTGTTTGCCTACTGTAAAAGCAGAAATTGGTGTTTTATTTTCGGTAACTTCGGTGCCGACAATTTTTGCCGAAAATGAAACGCACCGAAAATCTTGGTACTACCGGTACTGTATACATTTAGTCTACAGCCAGACCTCGCTTATCCGGTCCTCGTTTATCCGGATCCCTCGCCATCCGGAAGAAAATCGCTGGTTACCAATGTGCAGCATATGTTATGCATACAACATAACCGGACCTCGCGATCCGCAAACCGGTGCATGATTTTGTGTACAAACTGGTTAAAATGTGTACAAAAAGCTTCGTCGTATCCGGTTGCATGTGGCTGGCAGAAGCTAGAATCAGGGAGTTGTACAAGCAAATGAGGTCCCTGACCTGCTGGGTGCATGCGGACAGCACTCAGTTGGCGTGAGTTGCATGCGCTTGTCATTTCTCTCGCTTGTTTTACATACTGTGCAGGCTAGTTGTACTGCATAGGACCCGTCTAGTCCACATGTACATGTATGTACGATGTCACTGCTTTTGACATGCCACATGCATATACAGTATGTATGTTCAGTTATCCGGTTCCCTCGCCAATCCGGATATAGTTGTGGAAAACGGATGTGTGCGGTTAAGCGAGGTCTGACTGTACTACACTCACCTGGAAAACGGGTTTTACCGAAAATTTCCCTCCACCGAACCGTCGATTTTGGAGAATACCGAAAATATTGCACCACCGAAAATTTCTGCTTTTACAGTATTCGATTATTTCTTCCGGCTGTGTCCTTCTTGCGTGGTTGCTATAACTACCGTGTGTGTAGATGATCATCGCCGTGACAACCAGCCAGAGAGCACAGTGATTCCTCGGAGCAAGTCTGGTACGTTGCGTGTTGGGTCGATTGGTGAGCAGTTTGAAGAGATTGACTTCGAGTCGGATCCGAAGAAGGAGGCACAGGTAATAACTAATAAGACGGTTTGAATATGCCCATGCATGTGCATGTGCATGTGCATTGGTTAAGGCAAATGTGCACTATAACGGGATGTGTTTGATTGTGAAAGGGACCGCTAGAAATTGAAGAAAGATGGAGGGGGGGGGGGGGGCATCTACAACCCTGAATAGAATGTACATTGCATTTACCAGACCATGAAGTTGGTAGGCAGACTACAGGCGCAAAGCACCGCCATTGGCGGTGGTCCGGCCAGGGGGGGGGGGGGGGGGTCCGGGGGGATTTTTTTTGGAAATTAGGGTGCAAAATCCTGCATTCTGGGCACTTTTGGCATTGTTTTACTATGGTGGTCGTGATCGGGCGAAAAAGTGGTCCGGAGCGGCTGCTACGCCCCTGGACTATTGAAAGGCATTTGCACCATTCTGATGTGGGCCTGCACCACAGTCGAGGATGGTGGCTTCCCTTCTTGTGGAGCATCAAGTAGAATTCCATGCCATTTTGCATACATGTCTGCAGGCTTTTGGGGAGAGGGGGGGGGGGGGGGCAGTTTAGCAAGAAGGAGCTACGCGTGTGTGTGTGATCCCCGGTAGCCTAATCGATCCGGCACTGTGCCGGAACGACAGCTAGGGGTGCTGGGTTCGAATCCCGCTCGTTGATCCTTCTTTTGCAACACCCTGTCCACGCCACGTTCCCACCACTGGGGCAATCTCGAATTTCCCGGAAATAGGCACAGTGTTTTCCGGAGTATAAACCGCACTTTGAACACTCAAAATCCACCCAAAAGAATGGGGTGCAGCTTATACTCCGATGATCAAATTAACCATGATAAATAGGGTAGATGTCTGTATTTCATGGCAAAAAAGCGGGGGGGGGGGGGGGAGGGGTGCGGCGTATACTCCAGTGCGGCGTATACTCCAGTGCGGCTTATACTCCAGTGCAGCTTATACTCCAGTGCAGCTTATACTCCCGAAACACGCTAGCAAAAGGCTAACTTTGCAGGTGAAATAGCAGTCTCTTCTCTTGTGACCTCGTAGCCTTTCAATAGTCCTTATGCACATTGTACAGATGTACGAAGTTCTGTACTAGGGCCGTAGGTGTGTACATACCCGGTTGGGTGTTCATTGTGTGCTATACATGCGTGTTTGACCCATTTAGCCTCATAATTCACGGCGAACAATCACTTTTCCAGCTTCTTCACTTTGGGATTGAACTAACGACTCGCTAGATCACTGTCGAAAAAGTGTTCGTATGAAATGCCTTCAGGGCCCATTTCGTTGTGGAAATAGCAATAAATACAATAGGGTCCTGCACATTCAACACCCAACCGGGTCTACGGGATTCTACGGGATTTCGTGCATCTGTACAACGTGCATAAGGCCTATTGTATTTGTCGGGTGTGACACTGACAAACGAGAGCTTATCACACGGCATTAATCCACCTAGTACTGCAAGCGACGGCTTGTAACTAGCAGTCGCTGTGCCCCACCCTCCTTCAGCTAGAGCCCTGTATATACTTCAAAGTATAGGTAAACACTAGGTGGCTCTTGTATACACATGTGCATCGTTTACTGCATGCTCTCGCACCAATGTGCCGGTGCATGTCTGTGTTCCTCTCGTCTGTTGTGTGTGCCGCTGACAGCTGGAGTATGTTGATCTGTCGTCGGCGTGCGAGAACAAAATGAGACGTCAGGAGAAGGAAACCGAGCCAGCAGAACCGGTGAGCTGCTTGTCACAAGAGTGCAGTGAAACTTCGCTGTAATCACCCTGGATATTGGTTACACACGGAAATAATGTGTTTGAGCCTAAATTCGGTCTAAAGCAGATTTTGAAAAAGTCCAGAGATTCATTACCATATTTTCCGGTGTGCGTGCGTGTGTGTGTGTGTGTGTGTGTGTGTGTGCATATGTGTGTGTGTGTGTGTGTGTGTGTGTGTATGTGTGTGTGTATGTGTGTGTGTGTGTGTGTGTGTGTGTGTGTGTGTATGTGTGTGTGTGTGTGTGTGTGTGTGTGTGTATGTGTGTGTGTGTGTGTGTGTGTGTGTGTGTGTGTGTATGTGTGTGTGTGTGTGTGTGTGTGTATGTGTGTGTGTGTGTGTGTGTGTGTATGTGTGTATGTGTGTGTGTGTGTGTATATGTGTGTGTGTGTGTGTGTGTGTGTGTGTGTGTGTGTGTATGTGTGTGTGTGTGTGTGTGTGTGTGTGTGTGCGTGCGTGCGTGCGTGCGTGCGTGCGTGCGTGTGTGTGTATGTATACAGACCACGCCAGTGCCAGCCGCCGGTCGAAGCTGCGGCGACGGTCAGCTGTGTCTGCTGTGCATGGAGCTGCCTCGCAACGCAACGTTCGTTCACGGTGAGACGGGACACCTGGCATGCTGTATGCGATGTGCTAAGCGTCTCCAGTCCGATGGCTTGGCCTGTCCCGTATGCAGACAGCCCATCAGCGCCGTCATCGAGCAGTTTATTGCATAGGTACCTGCTTGATGCGACTGCGAGACGGAGGGTACTGCTACGTAGCAGTGTCCATACAGTAAAGACGGAGGGTACTGCTACGTAGCAGTGTCCGTACAGTAAAGACTGTCCTATTTTAAACATTGGATGCCCTTGGTGCAGCGGAAACCATCCCGATATGAGAGGATTCCGCTTGTACAGGGTCCGGTACACACAGCCTCCACTGTACATGGGTGCATGGGCACGTGTGTAGGTCCATCGTGCTTGGTTACAAGCCTACAATAGAGATTGGGTGCATTTTCTTTTTGCATCATGACGTTGCAAGTTCGTTTCGGAATTTACTGCACACCCGAATGCACTGCAGGCATTTCAACCCAGGCGAAACGTCTGTGCTTTGTCACAACTACTTCCATAGTTGACCGAACATGCTGACCCAGTAGCATTGTGTTAACTTAATTTACTGTCCCATTGGCAACATGTCCTGTAGGGCCGGGTCTGAAGCCTGATCTTGATTGATAGCGGTACGCATTCAACCGTACGGCAGTAGCCATTGACACTGCTCTAATGTGTAACTTTTAGATTGATAAGCAATTGAGCGATTTTGAATCTATTTCCGAAAAAACGTGTGCGTAACACTATCTTACGACATTGTATTTTAGCACACTGGTTACCATGGTTACCTGGTTGCCAGTGTTATATGTGTGAGCGGACAAGGTAGAAATGGAACGTTAGCTGCATGACATCATTTTGAGATACAGGCGTTTGAAGTTTGGCAAACTGTGGCATATTTTTTACCTGGGTTAGAGGGCTCTATTTGCATCAAGCGCTTGTGCCTCGCTCAGCACAGGGCTTCAAGGTCCAGCACTGAAAATTTGAAGTGAATCCGTTATGGCTGAAGGAAGATATGGCAGCTAGTTGTGCGATGGGTGGCGTATTCACGGGCGAATTTGGAGGTGACGGCGATCAGCTGATAGCCTGCTGCCAGGTGCTGAGAGCTTCTCTGATTCTGAGAGCGTTTCTGAGTCAGGTAGTAGTCGAGAGCGTCTTCCACTACGCCGAAAACCGTGACGACGTGCCGATCAGCGTTTTGTTTGCTGCTGGCTTCAGCGCGGTACAAAAAGACATAGGGAACAAATGAGATGGATCTTTCGGATGCAGGCGAACGTGGTGACAGCAGTGATGATGATAACACCAATGAAGGGGAACGTTCCTGTGGATGCTGAGTTGTACTGAATGTATACGCCGAACCGACTTCAGAGCTCTGAAGCACACAGCGCAGGAGCTGAAGAAACAATAGCGTCGTGCACCACAGGGGAACGTATGCAGGGACTTAATAGCCCAGAACAACTAGCTAGCTGTTGCCCAATGCATTGGATGCAAGTGGCAGACCTGCATCGTGCATTGTCTGGAAATGAGTGTTTTAAGAATTGAGATACACAGAATGGTCAAGGCTGGTGAACATGAGCTGAGTGGAAAGAAGTCAAATCGGGCCTCGGATTGCGGACTGATGTGTAACGTTACGTTAAGTACAGTTTCTCAAGTCTGTGGACTCGTCCTGCTTCGCCAATGGGCACCGTATTGGTGGTGCGTCTCCGGAATATTATTTCGATGCTGTGTGTTCAAGAGCTGTCTGTCTCCTGCCAAAATGTTACAAACTATATTACAAGGTGCGCCGCTCAGTCGTCGGGAGCCTCAATGCATCAGAGCAGAGTCCGAGGTCGCCAACAGTATACGATGAGAGCGTGCACACATGGCTGAAGCAAGAACGCACTGGAATTACCATTTGTCCGCCAAATTCTTCTATTTTTGACATGTGTGTAGTGGTATTTGATGTGTGGATTGAGTACCAGCTTCAACAGTCCTATTATTTTGCCTTGCATCACGAGTTACTCTGGAGCTGATTTTTCGGCTCCGGCTGTTTCTAGTTATGTGGTTTTGTTGCTTGGTTCCACCTCAAACGAGTCCATGTGTGTGATCAGCTCATCTTTCACACTGATATACACTTGTGGAGAAATACAGGCCAAGATAATGGTTTTTTTTCAGTGTTTTGGTTGTACTGAAGGGTGGACTGTTTAAATCATCCCGAAACAGACGTTAAAATACTGACCGGCATCTAGAAAATGGTGAATGTAAGGCACTTCCCACCATAGTAGCAGCCTGAAACTTTGGGATCTGAAAAACAGATAGTTGTAGGTGACCTTCATGCAAAAAAACAGTTTTTGCCAGACTGCAGTTAACGTTCCATTTCTACCTTGTCCGCTCACATGTTTAGAAAGGCAGGAGAACATTATTCAGGAAGTTAGTACCACCGATAGTAACATAATATCTACAGTACTTTATGTCGCAGATTTGAAATCTCTCTCGGTGCAGAAGCTTAGGCGAGACCAAAATAAAATCGAGATTCCCGGGCAGGACCCATGTGAAATTGGTGCGGGCGGGCGAATTTTATTTTTTATTTTTTTCCCATGAATGTACATGACTATAATGTGCATGCCATGTTGAACTTTTTTTTACAGCATTTTCCGGTAATTTTTATTCAATTTTTTTACAGACAACAGGTGCGCGCAAGAGTACATAACCCCCGGGGTTATGTACTCTTGGTACGCGGTTTACCCGTTCAACTTTTCTATATTTCGGCCAACGATGGCCCTGATCTGTACATCAGGGAGCCGTACAAGCTCGGGTTTTTGTGACTCCACTTCACAGATCTACTCACACGATCAGTACTGTACATGTATGAACTGTTCAAAAAAAAAAAAAATTGGCTTCGGCTCGATTTTGGTGCGGGAGGGCCTGGGAATCTCTATTTTTTTGGTCTCGCCTTATGAAACACTTACCGGTACGTATTACGTTATGTCTTTGCTCAATCCTTGATGAAGCTTTTTAAAACAGCAGAAACCTGGTCAGGTAAAAAAAGGATGGATTTATCAAGATGAACTCAACCTGTGGAAGTGTGTCTGTGAACGCTAGCCTAGTACATGTCTGTATCTGTGTCAGGGATGCCGCAGTTTCCTCAAACAAACACACAGGGTATACACCGTGTCACATGACACAACAGTAGATAAATTATTGTTTAATGTTTCCGTCCCAAAATGGTGAGCTTGAGAAACACACGTATACCCAACATAGGACATTCATGCAGTCATGTACTGGCCCGAGGACTCGTGCGTTGAGCTGAGGACACTAGATACACTACCGTACCAAACGTCACATTATTGCTGGGATTCCATGCCATTTCAGCGCCCTCGAGTTCAGTGCTAACCAGGTGAGAGCGCGACCGTTTCGACGCCGCGAAGCAATTAAAGCGCCGAATTTCACAGCGAAGTATACTTCAGCGCCAGTAGATGTAAGTGCCGAATATCTCAGCGCCAAATACGTCAGCACGACCCTTCTCAGCATGACAGATAAGCGTCATTTTTCTCAGCGGCATTGTACTACAACGTATATATATGAATGTAGCCTAAGCCCTTTGCTGTTTGCATTACGCAGAGCTCACTGACTTGTCAGTTCGAGCACTCTGGCAAGGTACGTTCGGGCCTGATCGGAAATTTTTATTTTCATTGCTATCAGGTTCGGCCTCATTTCCTCTGTGCTGCGCTGATGAGTTCACAAAGAACGAAACAGCATGCTGTCCGCAGATTGAGTATGAATGTAGCCTGTAATGACTATGACTGTACAAGTATTGACTTCGCGCTCTACTGTGTCGCGCTCTACTGTATCGCGCTCTACTATGTCGCGCTCTACTGTGTCGCGCTCTACTGTATCGCGCTCTACTGTATCGCGCTCTACTGTGTCGCGCTCTACTGTATCGCGCTCTACTGTGTCGCGCTCTACTGTATCGCGCTCTACTGTATCGCGCTGTACTGTGTCGCGCTGTACTTTATCACGTTGAACTGTACCGCGCTGAACTTCTTGGCGCTGTCAATTACCGCGCCTTACTTTTTCGCGCTGAGTTCCTGACACTGTACTTTACCGAGCTGATAGTCATAGTGCTGAAGAAGCCTGCGCTGTGAAATCATGCTGATAGTCATAGTGCTGAAGAAGCCTGCGCTGTGAAATCATGCGCTGAAACGGTGGCGCTGAAGTGGCAAGTCGCCAGTTCTGGAACCACGCCAGCACAGTGTCAACACTCTCACGCCAAAAAATGATGTCAGCCTTGGACAGCACGCCGTTCCCATTGACTGGCATCACATGTGCTTAGGGAAACACACAGACAGTTCCATACCTCCTTGAGATTCGAACAAGTCAACGGCAAGAGTACGGCAAGCCACATCGAATGAAGAAGTGAATAATGTCGCAAGTCACGAAAAAGTCATGTGTTCGCTACAAGTCTAAAAAAAAGAACAATAAAAAAAGCTATAAACTAATCTCCGTGAAATCCAAATCTGAAAGCTAAAAACCATCTAAAACAAAAAAAGAGCACTACGCTAAATACTTATAAACATGATCATAAAAGATAAACTACAGGGTTCAAAGGAGAGGTACGAAAATTAATAGAACTACCAGTGCAATGCTATCTGGTTGAGTAGAAAGATTTCTGAATATGAAGATTTGTACAGTTCTAAAAGCTGCCAGCAACTTTACTTACCACAATACTAGGGAAATGAACTAAATATGTGAGGGGCTATACAGTCTGACATAGATGGGCATGAGTCTTGGGTGTGAGTACGGCGGCGTATCAACGAAGGATAAACTTGCAATGCATACTAGAGAAGACGTGACGGAGAAGCACCATGGCACCATGGTGCTTTGAGGCACGTGGAGAAAGCAGATTGCATACTAGCACTAGTAGCTGGTCTTTATGTGAGTGTCTCCACATGCCAACAGCTGCAGTATTAGACCATCCAATGATCCATGTGGTGCAATGGGAAAAAAGAGTAATGCTTCTGATATACGGGGGAAGAGTCAACATGCTGGCTCAAGATACAAGATGGGACCTTCACTAGCACACTTGCGGTGCAGAGAGCAGATCCAAGACGAGAGAGAGAGAGAGAGAGAGAGAGAGAGAGGCTTGCTGTTTACTGCGGAGGACGTCGAGGCGGTGCACCAGCCGGTGGTTGGATGACGCGACCCCGCTGATTGGCCTCCTGGCGCGACTTGCCTTTGCCCCATGCCAGCTTGACGGGTGACCACTGCTCACCACGCAACGCAGCCTGTACACAACCACAACAGCAGAGACGACATGAAGACAAACACGAGCAGAGATTAGTGCTGAAGGGGAAAAAAGGGTAACAGGTTTCTCCATTGAAGACCGAACGCGAAATTGCAATTTCGGAATCCATCAATTATCGTGTTCATGCCGATTTTGAACTCAGACGGCGAGTCAACGCAATCATGAACAAGAGCACGGACACCATGGTACGAGTTAGGACAAACTGTCCACCAAAGCAGCCAGATCATATACTGTAAAGGCCACATATAATATAACGAAGTGCTAACTCTAACGAGTTAACGAGGAGAAATCTGTCGTTCAAATAGAAATCGTTACACAGAAATCGATACATATACTGTCCCATTGAGCGTTGAGAAGGAGTGAAAATCGTTACCTTTGGTACACGTAAACTAGTCAATTTTGGGAAATCGTTATATATGTGCCTCGTTAGAATAATGGCTTTTACAGTACAGTCAGAGAGTGTCAGGTCGCTGAACGTCCGAAGTTTCACCGAGGATCTGGTCTGAGAAATCTGATCTCACCAATATAGTATCGCCATGTTCGCGTGCACAGAACAGTGTGTGTAGAGTGCTAGGGCTGTGTAGCGCCCGGCGCTAGCTCATTCAGGAGGTTGGATTTCTCAGGCCAATACCGTACGTCCGCACGATTTCCAGAGCTGATTGCAATCCTACCAACACTGTCCCTTGTGTGATTCACGCAAGCGCCCACCGACTCGGCTTGATTACTGTAATTTCACAAAATTTCGGTGTACTTTTATTTTCGGTACTCTCAGTGCATCTGTTTCATGCCTAAAATTTCAATACACCGAGCAAACCCTAACACACATAATCCAATAGGGAACTGCTTCTCTGTACCTAGATTTTCTGTTCACCTAACCTGGCCTTTTGCCCTCACATCGAAAATATTGGGCACCGGAAATTTCCGAAAATAGAATAACCGCTCACTGTAACATTGAACAAATTTGAATCGACAAGTGAAAAGTCCGGCAGTCACTCACAGCAAAGTACGTGACGCTGGCACAGAAGAGGAAGATGCCGGCCAGCATAGTGGGCAAGAAGAAGAACAGTGGTATGGCCATCCTGCACAGAACAGACACACACAAGCACAAACAACAACAATCAATCAACTTGGGATTTATATAGATAGATTGAGTAAGTAAGTAAATTATCGTGTCCGTTCCCGAAGGGAACTCACGACGGCCGCTAACACCCGGTAAATCCTAGCGGCAGATGCAGATTGATAGATTGAGTACATTAGCGATAACAAAATTTGTTTTAATCTTGATTTTTCTTATTTATTTCACACCGCAACTTTGCCATTTATACTTGCGGGCTAAAAGAACGCTAACCATGCTCACTCGCCAATCTTGCAGGCGCCCCTCAGAAGGCTATCCCCTTCACTTCAGAGGGACTATAGACTGGGGCTACAAAATCCCTTTCAAGATCGGCCTATTCCTGAACACATGCACACGTGTGTGTGTGTGTGTGTGTGTGTGTGTGTGTGTGTGCACGCTCGTCAGATTACAGCCGGCTATCACTTACAACAGGTATAGGACGAAGCGGACAAAGTAGTTTCGGCCAAGAAACCCCAACCCATATACAATGGGCGCAAGGTACTCTTGATGCCTAGAAAACAACACAAACACACAGACACAGAGAACACAACGTGTTAGGTCAGGTCGTTGGCACCAGGTCCATGGAGTAGGGGATCGTCGCAAAAGGTATTCGCCAGCCCTGAAACGAATATCGTTCATTTCGTACTCTGCCCCCCCCCCCCCCCCCCCCATCTGAAATCTACACAGTTTGCTATGGTGGACAACGGAAATTGATTTTTTTGCATGCAAGCACCTGCACAGTGTTAAGTTAGGTGACATGCGATTTCGACTCTCCCCCCCCCCACCCGCCCAGATGTTCGTTTCAGGAACGACAAAAAAGCGTTTTGCTACAACCCGGACGCTGATGATGGGGGCAGTAGGCAGAAATTTCGCGGCTGTGAAAGTTCAAGAATTGTCAAGACGGACTAAATAATGAAAGAGCAAACATATTTTGGATGCATCCGGGTGCACACCCCAAAAAAAAACAGCTGCCCTTTTATTTGGGCTTTTCCCCCAAATCACGATTTTCACAATCCAGATATTAAGGACGTTTAGCAATGCGAAAATTCGAACTTTTTGTGGTGGTGATATTTCGCGAAAATCTGTTTCGAAAAAGAAAACTTGTGAGGTTTAGCAATGCGAAATGACTTTTTCTCGAAGTTATTTGAATCTTGTAGTACCGTACCGTATATCATGGTATATGCAGCTCAGTCTCAAGCAGGGGCTGTAAAATTACTACTCTCTGTAGTCAAATGCGTACCGAGAAAAGAGAAAGTTACTTTCGCAAATCACTGCAACTTCGCGTCCAAGTTGTCGAAGTTTCGAGCTTTTTTTCTGTACTCATTCCCAGACTCGAATTTTCTTTCGAACTTTCGCATTGCTAAACGTCCTTATTGCTGCCTACGGCCCCCAATATCGATGCAGATAGCGCTGCGGATGCATGCATGTTTACATTACATGCACAGCAATACATGCCGCTGCACAACGGATTCTTGTTCGCTGGTTTCCATGGGAGAGTGAACTGAAACCGGTAACCGTTGGAAAACAGCCCCACTGGCTTATGAAGTGCCCAACTGACAAGATCGCAACCCGAAACCGATTGCTTCCACGCTCGTTCCCCACCCCCACCCAAACAAACACCGGCGGAGATATGTGAATGTGACCGCAATGCACACTTGGTTTACACCATGCAGAATACAATGAGTACAGCGGCCAGGATACCCTACATTTGTCGGGGCAACCAGCAGAGACAGCATGTTGCTGCAATGGAAGCATGCAAGCACGTACACCCACACAGACACCCCCGCACGCACGCCCCCCCCCCCCCCCCACGCACCCACACACACAACACTGACATGCTGGGTGTTCAAACTTACGGTCGTGGCACATTACTGCCCTTGGAACGCTTGCTGCGTGGATACTCAAACAGTACTATGAACACTGATGCCGCACTAGATACAATGAACGGCAGTCAAGGACTATACACAACTCGGGTTGTTCAGTGACAAGCAAGAAAGTGATCCTTGCACAAAGCTTTCGTACATCTGAAGCAGACTAATTCAGAAACAAGTAATATGGATATACAGTCAACTTCGCTTATAACGACACTCGGCGGGGCATCAGAAAAGTGTCCTTATTCGCGAAGTGTCGTTATACCCGAAGTCTCATTATGTGTCACAGTTGGATGGGACTTTGCTCTGGGCATGAAAATTATGTCGTTATTCGCGAATTGTCGTTATATCTGCAGTCGTTATTAGCGAAGTTGACTGTAGTACATTGCCTTTGCGAAGACAAGCAGAGTTCATGCAATCCGAAGTCCATCTGCTCTCTCTCTCTCTCTCTCTCTCTCTCGCTCTCTTTCTCTCTCTCTCTCTCTCTCTCTCTCTCTCTCTCTCTCTCTCTCTCTCTCTCTCTCTCTCCCACACACACACGCACACACACACACACAGCACTGAACAGTCTGAAAGGATACATGGCGTAGATTGCGAACTCATTATCACGGAAGGGAATAGAGATGCCGAGAATACCCGATACTAGAATGGCTGCAAGGGAAAGAGAGATGAGCACAAAGAACAAGAACATAACTCATGAGGGCATAAGCATAATTATAATTATATGTTACACCCGTTCATCTGGAAGAATACAGATGGGTGACTTACATTTTACACCCCAGTACAGACAGACAGACACACTCTCTCTTTCTCTCTCTCTTTCTGTCTCTGTCTGTCTGTTTCTCTCTCTCACACACACCACACACACACACACACACATGCACGCGCGCGCGCACACACAGACACACACACAGCCAAACAAATCCTCTGGGACATGTGCAGAAAACTACTCCAGACCTGACGGCACAGCCCTAGCACATGGGCCATTCAAACTTTCAGAGCACCCATGTTACACAAGTGATAAGAATAATCTGTAGGTAAGAAATTCATTCTGCTCAGCCCACGAACAGCATGCCGATACTAAGGTGTTCATATCATTGATAACAAGCAGACATGCATACCAGAATGATCCCCATGACATATGGATGATCCATGCGTAAGCAAGATTCCCAAACAGTCATCTTTGTCTTTGGAGCAACAACCCCCATGTGTTATTATTATTATTATTATTATTATTGTTGTTATTTATCCATATTTTAATAGGGCAATCCCCACAGACTCAAGGTCTTCTTACGGGGTACCCTAAGAATGAAAGTAATGCATGGCGAAATAGGGATGGCGATGCAGCAGTGCGGATAATGTGTGCGCACGGAACCCCCCCCCCCCCCATGTCACACAGAGAGTTGCCCGTATGATACAGTTGACTCGGAGACAAGAGTACAGATCACTTCACAGTACAATACATTTTCGGCCGCATCAAATTTCGGCCTCCCAGGGCTAAAACCCATCTCGGCCGCATCAAATTTCGGCCAAACATGACCAGGCCGAAAACAGCCGAAAATAATATGCGCCGAATGTTTGTTGACTTTACGGTATACAGCAAGTAGAGAATGGCGCACTGGTTTCATTTCATCATGCAGCTTCACCCGGCCTGGCAGTGTGCAAGGTCAAAACACCACCTTTATTCGCCTGTGCTGTGGTGTGACATTAATCTTCTGACGGAACCGGACGTCCAAGCATCTACAGTCTTAGGATTGCATCCAGGGGCGTTGGAAGGTGTAAGAGTGTGGCACGGTCAGCCATCTGCAGTACAATCTACTCGCGGGGGAGGGTCCTGAGGCGAAAGTTTTGAAAATTTAGAGTCCGGATTAGTGTATTACAGTGATCCATGGCATAATAGACCCTTTGCACAATAAGCGAGAGGGGTCGAGACGGGGCATGCTGTGCACGCGCTGCACACTTGGCATGCAACCAGCATGCATGGTTTGCTGCAGGACGTGATCAAGTTTCCTGTGACAGGCTGTGTTTTCACGGTCCCGACGTGATGTTCATGTATGTAGATCTACTCCCCAGCCTTTTTACATTTGAAGTTTTTTTAGTTTTTGAAGGAAGAAGTTTCGAAATGCTTTCCAAGGACCACTTCTGGGTTCTTGTTTGCACCAACCGTCATCCCTAACGTTAGTCTAAGGAACCCACTTGTCTTTCCATGCGTTCCCTGGTGATGCTGGCATTCCGCACTCTGGAATCCTGGCTATCTGGCGAGAAGAGGGCCGCAGTGCTGCGATATCGTTCACAGTGTTGTGCTCGGAACACTTTGTCCATGACGACTTTCATCCTTGCTTTTGCTAAGATAATGAACGCCCTGCCAAGAGACTCTGGAGCTTGAGAAAAAGGCATGACCCATCCCTGTCTTCGCTATTGGAAGATCGACTGCTTGCTGGCGCTGCTCGAGCTGCTGATGTTCAAGTGGAGAGAGACGCAGCCTCATCGCTCAGGTGTGCGGAGAAAGTCATCTGAGTTCGAGCTGTGGCTGCGTGCACGATGTGACCGACTTTCACATTATGCACATAGCCACCAAAGTAAAACTCATGGACACTATCCACGGGCTTGTTCACTAGTACTACTCCACCAGCTCCCTCTTCACTGTCGTCGGCGACTTGCCCCTGCGTTGGAGACGAGCAAGCATGGTGTGGCACTCACTCTGGGAAACAGAGGTTCATCACTCATCCACTGGGAGTCGGACGCATGAAATGTTGGGCATGATGAAGGTACACTTGAGGAAGTGGTGCCCTTCTTAGTTCTAGGAGCATCAGGGTTCTGCATAGAGAAGTGTGTGTGTGTGTTCTCTACATCGACAGAGGAGAGAAGGTAGAGAAGCGAAAAATATTTCAATCTGCAGTACAGTAATCCGAAATATCCACTGAATGCGGAAGACTTACCGCTCCAACGACTCCTTCTTTTTCCAGACAGATACGCACCCTCATTCAGCAGAAAACTGTTCAGTTCCTTCACAGACCATTCTTCATTAGACAGTTCGTCCACGGGTTCCACAGCCATCGATGGCAAACCACTCGACACTCTCCCCTCCATCTCCAAAATGGAAAAATACAGTGTTCCACCATGCTCAACAACTGATACTCTGCACAAAAATCGAAGAGGATGCCCCGTCTCGGATCACGTGACCGTTATTGTGCAAAGGGTCTATCGGGCCAACAAGTGGTGTAGTCAATACTGGAGTGATCGTACCGTGTCCGACGCCTGTGGCATCGCAATCCGAACAAACTGATTGCAACGGGAATGCTTGCGCTAGTCATTGCGGACGTAGCGTGCATGAGCGCCAGCAGTGTGTCAGGTCACCGTGGTTACGTGATGACGGCAAAGTGCATAGCAAACTGACCCACACTCACAGTTACACATTCTCGACTACGCGCGTATACGGCCTCCTGACGGGTACATCGTACAGTGGGTGTTACTGGGTGCGTTCGATTGCGCACTTGAATCGATTCATGAACGGATTCTCGCCGTTCCGATTTCATGTCATGAGCCCTGGAATCGATTCCGAATCCATTCACCCTATTCACATGGGGCAATATGAATAGCCAGGGGGGGGGGGGGGGGATTCATGAATGGATTCATGAACCAATTTGCGGGCCTAATCGAACGCACTCACTAAGAAACGAACTACCCGTACATCAGATACTACAGTGTCGGCCAAAGAAATCCAACCTCATGAATAAAATAGCGCCGGGCACTACGCAGCCCTAGAACTACACACACTGGCCTGTGCACTCGAACGCGGCGCTACTTTATTCATGAGGTTGGATTTCTCTGGTCGGCACTGTGGTAGCACACGCATGCATTCGATGATCTACAGAACGGACTGCATCGGATAACATACGCATGCATCGATGACCTATGCAACGCCCTGCATGCGTCGGATAACATACGCATGCATCGATGACCTATGGAACGCCCTGCATCGGATAACATACGCATGCATCGATGATCTACTTCGCCTTTGCTCTACCTAGTAGACAAAGACCAACGCAGCCCAACAATCTGATTTTCGCCATTATCCCTGGAGGAACGGTGAACAGCTTCACAGCACATCATGATCTCTGTGGAACATTATCAATAAAATGACAGTGTGGGATCGATTGTATTGTTCTGGTATCGTTCCGGTGCAAAGCCATGTTTCATGTGCCAACCTCGTGGTGCTTTCAATCTGTAATTATTGGTCAGGCCACAGGGGAGAGAAAACTCAAACAAGACCTAGAGCAGAGGGTGGTCCGCGAGCAGTTTTGATAAAGATTTCTACAGCCTCCACAAACGTTGCTTGCTGTCTGGACAAAACCTAGCCTGCCCAGTCAAAGCTAAAGCCTCGTAGCTTGAGCTTCGCAACGGGATTTACTTCGCGAAATTTGACACAACCGGCATTTAAAATGCACTCCACCCTAGAAATGATAACAAAGAATGGTCAGCCTGATGCCGAAAAACCAAAAAAAAGCCACGTTCTCAGCCCGAAATGCGCCCAAAAAGCGCACGAAAAGGGAGCAAGCACAAGACTCGATTCGTTGACATGTGGTTTGCACGCCAGAACACAAGCGTCAAGCGTCAAGGACAGTAACACCACTTCGAACCACGCACAGATAGAGTACCAGGTTCAAAAAAATGCACACACAGCATGAGCGCAGTGGAAAACACGCAAAGATACAAAACGCATGTCCGTGATCGTAAGAGGCACAGCCACCAGAGGCTGGGGGAACTTCACGTGGGATTGTCCAGTTTTGTGTCAACCAAATACACACAGTGCGTCTTGCTGGCAAAACGATCCCCATCAGCTGCCCAGAAACAGCAGCAAAGCAGCATAGGAATTAGTTCTTACCGTAACCAGCATACTCCGCCTGGATGTTGGCCCACATCGCTAGCTCGATCATCTTGCCGGCCAAGAGAAACGAAGATTGACAAAGAGAGGCGCACAACTAGTCCAGACAAGAAGCACTGCTCACCTAGTAGAGGATGACACACTACAACACTCAAGGAAATGTGCCAGAGAAATATCCTCCCTGTGCTTCTATGCACACACAGACTTCAGCGATGAGTCTGTACTACTGTAGTGTAGATCTACAAAGGACAGAACTTGACGGAGGGGGGACACACGCCACTCGCCAACCCAACATGAAATGATGTCTTCATCGGGTGCCTGTAACGAGGTCTGAAAGTGGTCAGTGACAGTAGCCCGCCTGGCCCATACACAGCGACATGCCAAACAAATCACCCGGAACAACCACTTTCACCCTCTTTTGCCTTTTCTGCCTGTCTCAAGCAGAACTCAAAAAGCGCATTGAATGATTGATGCTGGTACCACGCCGCCTTGGCGTCGGCAGCGCTTCCGCTTTGTTCATTTTTGGCTGATTTAAAAAAAATCGGTCGCGCGTCGGACGCGCGAGCGCGGCGGCTTCACGATCACGCCGGTTTTGGCAGGGCCTCACCGGCGCGGCGCGGTGCACCGGTGGCAAAGGCAAATTTTGATGTCAGATTTTGATGTCAGATGATGATGTCATTACCATCATCATTTTCAAGATGGCCGCTGCCTGCACTGCAGCAGCCCGCTGCCGCTGGTCGTCGACCGGTCGGTCTGTGAACATGGTGAAACACAGCTCGACACAATGCACGTCGTCTTTCTTTGTCGCTTGGGGAGAAAATTGTTTTCAGCGAATAATTCAAACTCTTCCTCTATTGTAGTCCACCTCTGAAGGAAAGTAGTTCTGCCTGTATTCAGGTATAGACCGGTTGGAAAGTTTTCTTTTTGTCTGAAGTTTGAGTACTGAAAATGGGGGAGTCCTTCCGAAGCAACAGTGGCCCTCCTGATATTCAGGGAATGTACAGCCTCAAAGTAGACAATATCACTTATCGCACCACTGTGGACGACCTCCTGGCTGTTTTTGACAGGTATGGCCGAGCGAGATCACGTTGCGTGTGCGTATGTTTTTAGTTTCGTTCCTTCTCAGGGATGCCATGCTTTCTTGCAGCATGGCGTGGATGTTTGTTTTCGCTTGATATTAATTTTTCCTGTAAGAAATGATGCACGAAAAATGCAGTAAAACAGTGCCGTCGGTAGGCAATTCACTCCATCGTAGTGAGAGTGTGTTCCCAATGAAACATAATTATGTGGTGTTTCGAGTCTTATGCCTTGTCGATAAGGGAAGTCTCAGTATTGGTACATGTGCTTGTCTTCGTAGTGCGTGTCACATGTAGAATGTTAGAGTAGGCATCTGCACTTTCATAAAAAGAAGAAAAAACCCTCAAGTCAACTCAAACAGAATGCGGTCTATTTGCTGCATACGTCATCAACTGTTCACAAGGGACCGTATTGTGTTCGACTCGAGGTACTCTTATGATCTAACGTGTAAATGGCTGCAATGGGGTCTGCGAGCGCGAAGTATTTTCTGAGACTTTCTTTTCGAGCATCGTAATCAAGAAGTACAGTGTGGGAGCAATTCACTGGAACGCTTCCGACTTCCATAGTTGCATTTTTGCACTGGCTGTGGATGGTGGGGAAATCCTGTAGCTTTAGTCAATACTTGACTTGCATTGGTTGCATCAAACGTCCATAACCGAGACTACGAGTACCAGTATGGCAGTATGCCACTGTGTTCCCCTTCTATGGGCCAGCTGCACTGTTCACTGTGTTTAGTACATAGCACTGATTCACCCACTACCGGCCATTCAACCAAAACCGGACTTTTTGGTGTCGCGCGATATCGTGAAAAGAACAGTTCGTCCTGCATTGTGTGACCAGTGCTATTTTCTTGCCACAGTTGAGGCTGGGAAAGTCCAAGGATAGGGAATTAAGAATTCAGCCAGGTTTTACCAATTTTGAGGTATGCGACGGCAACATGTATGGAGACGCAGATCCCTAATGCAGCTTTTTTCGAATTTGAAGTGGGTTTTTGAGCCTCAGGTCGGCCGAAATCTGGCTTTCCAAAGCCAGTGCAGGCAGGTTACATCAGATATGCTATGTATATGGAGTGTTGCCTGATGAGAGCGAGAGCATGAAACTTCAAGTCGCAGCAAACAAGCCTTGATTGTCCTTGTTGTTCTGTTCTGTATATGGAGTGAGGTATAACTGATTATACACGTATGATTGTAGATTGACCGATGTGCGAGAAAAAAAATCTATTCTCCACAGGATCAAATTTAAAAAAATTAACTTAATTTTCGCATTTTTCAGCTTCTAATACGGCTGTTATCTGTGAAAGAAATAATTGAAAAATAACCGATAAGTGACCGATCGATAAAGATTTCGGTTATTCGATACTGTAGTCAGAAAGTGTAACCGTTTCCATCCTACATGTTACAGTGCATGCTCTGATTGCCTCAGTTATTCTCGTACACTAACAGTGTCACTCATTTTTGGATGTGGCCTGTGTTGTAGATATGGCAAGGTCGGGGATATCTACGTGCCGCGAGACAGACGGTCCGGCGAGTCGCGTGGCTTTGCGTTTGTGAGGTACCAGTCCCGTCGCTCCGCAGACGAAGCCATGTCCCGCGCCGATGGAAAGGTACGAGCTGATTCTTCCTAGCCCCTCTTGTCAAACTCTGTTGCACAGTAAAACCTGTCAAGGCGACCACTCGGATAAGGTGACCACCTGTCCTTGAAGACCACTGAAACCACGACCAAGGGATGCTATTTCCAGTCGATTGACCCTGGATAAAGAGACCACCTGGTAACAGAGACCACATTTTGAAGGTCCCTTGAGCGGTCGTCTTAGACAGGCTTCACTGTAGTTTCTTGTCTTTGCCTAGGTGTGTGGGTGTGGGAGAAATGAAACACTCTCGCTATGCAGAGTCTTCATGCTAACAATTGAATGCACGGGGCTATTAGTTGCATCTAAGTCGAGTGTCTTTAGTTTTGCAATGCATCGTGGAATGAGCCGATTGCTGTACATTCACGCCAGGGTCTGAAAAATGAATTATAATGGTCGCGAAGAACTCAATCTGAATTTCGTTCCCTGCTGTTTCATTGGCTCCAAGTGTTATCACTACAGAATTCCCTCCCCCTCCGGGTTCTTCGGTGCATCTGTGAGTTTCTATCGTGGAGGGCAGACATGGCAATCACTGCATTATTGAGCAAGCTGAAAAAACCCATTGTTGGCCCTGAACATGCATCCTGACGTGTTGATGACAAAATTGAGCAGGATTGTGACCACTTTCAACGATATTTGGGAAGCCTAAATACTAAAATAGCATTATGAACTCGGCTGTGTCGGGGAATGGGCTCTGGGTGGCGCTTTTCCAGCGATAAGAAATTATATTCAGGCTACACAAGGCCCCCTTTTTGTGTGGCGGGCGATGTGTAGGCAAACACTTGACGTTCTTTTCCTTTGCAGTGTTTTATCCCTTTCCTGTGCATGTGGGGGTTGGCGGCGTAGAGCTATGCAGTTTATGCATAGAGCTGTGGATTTCTGGAGCTTTGCTCCAAGGTACATGTGGTAAAAAAAAACAAGCCCCAGCATGTTTCAATTTGCACAGTTTGAAGGAAGTTTGAGATAACCCCTATTTTACGGGAAATTGGCAAATTTTCGTAAGCACCAACAGCGTTTGTAAAAATGCCGTAAGGGTGCTACTTGTTTTTTGTTCGCCCGTAAAAGAGGCTTTTACTACTAAAAAAAAACTTTAAAAAACTTGTTGTCAAGCAGTACATCATATGATCAAGAGTGTGCAACTCCTATCTCGAGCTGCGATGGGTTCACCCACGGCGGAATTTTTTTTATTGCGTCATTCTTTGGGTGAAGTATGATCAAGTGCGTATGCTTTCCCGCGCATGTTTTGTAGATACGGTGAGAGTTCATCAGGTTCAGGACACATTGATGTATCATCCGTTGTTCTGCTCCGACTACCGTAGCTGTGATGTACAAATTCTTTGTACTTTGATCTCTGGCTACGCATGATGGCATCAGCTAGCCAAACAGCCGCCAAAGACTGATGTCATAGAAAGAATCCGCCATGGGCTGGGGGATCGTCGGGTTGCACACTCTTCGTTATGTACTCTTGATATTATGTACTGCATGACAACATCCATAGTGGCACTGGCAATGTAACATTGCCAGTACCACTATGGATTTGGTAGTCGTACTTCCAGGAGCTGCCCCAAAAAAATGTTTTGGAACTGGGTGGCTGTGTTGGAGGTTTTCAAGATTTGCAAAAGCTGTGTGCTTACGGAAATTTGTTGATTTATGGTACTCTCCATAGTTCAATGACCCCCCTTAGAAAACCTATTCATTCACTCAATGATAGTGTTGTCTATTATGGTACGCTACTTGTTGTACAGAGGTATATTGCTGGTGCTGTTGCTGCTGCTGCTGGCGCCGAATGGGCTGGTGGCTGTGCTGGTGTTGATGGCGGCGGCGGCCGTGGTGTTCTCACTGGTAGCCGTGGTGGGTCCCACTCCCCGCTGTACTGGTGTTACTAGCTGTCTACGACACCACCACTGCCGTCGGCGTGTATGCTGTTGGCGCCGGTGGTTTCGTAAATGTGCACGCTGCCGCGGTGGTCGTGCAGCAGAAATATACGGGCAGGTGATTCACTCCGCGTTGCCGGTGCTTTTCAAAGCGGCGTTATCTGGCCTGCATGGCGGAGAGCTGGCCTTTGCAGGCGGGCGGGCAGGCGCGAAAACAACTTTGCAGCAGCATTCCCGGCGTGCTGACTGGTGGCGTGAGCAGCAGGTAGCGGAAAGGCGGGCGGCTCTGTTTTCTGGGCAGCTCCTGGCTGTTGCTGCTGCTGGTGGTGGTGCCGATGTCCGCGATACCAGCGGCTATGCTGGCGGTTAAATTGTAGCTGATAATACTGGGAGTTCTGAGAAGGTGGTGGTGTTGGTGGTGGTGGTGTTAGTGTTGGCGCTGTTGCTGATGGCGGTGGCGGCCCCCGGTCTACTTCCAAGAGTAAGCAAAACCTAGATATGCATTTCCTGTACATGTACTATCTCTATGTGTGTGTGTGCGCGTGTGTATATGTGTGTGCTTACTAGAAACGGAGGGGTTTTCTCCACGGGAACCTCATCAGTAACTGCAGTTTCCACCTAGCTGCTTGCATCGTGCTTAGTAGGGGGTTAAATCTCCCCGTCTCCCTCGACTGTATGCATATCAGATCTCCCCGATTGCCTTTGCTCTGCCCGGCTGATTCATGGGGACGTGTCCCCTTCTGCTTGTCAGAACCTGCCACAAAGTGCCAATGAAATGTTTGCAAGGTATTTTTTGCATCATTCCGTCCTCGGTGTGGTTCGTTGCAACAACAGGGAAGCCCTCAGGGAAGAGGTGGGCCTGCTTGTTCCCGTGGAGTGAAACCTCTTGGTTTTATTGCTGTGTGCACGTATTTCCTTTGCTGCCGTGTGTGTGTGTGTTTGTTTGTTTGGGTGGGAACTTGCTGGTGAGCTTACCTGGTCACATAGGTTCATGCCCCGTGGCGCTATCACACAGTCATATTGAAGACATCTAGGTGCAGGGCAGGGCTGCCAACCTTCCGTATTTTTCCATGTTTGTACACAAAACAACTAGTTGCTACAGGTATGTATGTACTTGTAGAACCATGGCAATCGCAAGCCGAGCGATGAATATCCCTGTGGCAAAGCGAGTGCACGCCGTGCTCCGACTTCATGTAGCACAAAAATAATAATGCCGTGGTCCAAGTCACACATGCAGCTGCTGGCAAATCATGTGTTGGTGAACCTGTGCATGACTCTCTCACTTGTGTAACGTTAGTCTGAGTTAGTATGAGGAGTTCACACGGGGGTTGGTGTGATTTGGCATGGGTGCTTGCACTCTCTAACTCTCTGTTCCTGTCTAGAGTCTCGCATGCATGCATGCCACCTGTATGTAGACCTTATGTTTGGTATTGCGCTATATGTACACGACGATTAGTCTAGCGCCTCGTGTTGCTTCCGCGCCGCAGCGCGCGTTCCGTATGCTGATGCACTGCTTGAGAGCATGCAGTCTAGTACCTTGCCGTGAGGCTGTTGTCACACGGCTATTGTTTTCATTGCATGTTCACGCTCTGTGCAAGAATCTGTCGCTTAGCCATATACTGTTACTCTATCACTTGTTTCTAAACTGGTGTCCACAGGTCATTCTCTATATTCTGTTGCACTGGCTCACTGCTTTCCATAAGGTTCTCTACACTGACTACAGCAGTGTCGGTCGCCAAAGGACTGGGGGGTCAGCCTCCTAGCCTAGACTGTTCTTATTTTCATGTAGTACAGTCTATGCACAGCTGAGTCACCGTGTATACATTGGTATGCTGTGCTTGGTGTAATTCTAACCTGGTCGTTCTCCCGAGCTACGCCTGTCTAAGCATGCCCTGTGTTCAGAGCACACTCATTGGACTGTGTGTGTGTGTGTGTGTGTGTGTGTGTGTAGAGCTGTTCTGCGTGCCTGGGTAGTGGCTATCGGGTGTGTGTACCGTAGTGTGAGCTCGTGATGTGCAGCAGCTATGCACGTACTGATTCTACATGACAACAGCAGCGGGACTTTGCCAGCTTAACTTTCTGCGGAGCTCTGCCGGTTTGCTTGCCTGCTGTTATATCTCTCCGGCTGCTAGAAATTGGGTCATGGAATCGTTCAACTTTTTTCCCAGTTCTGATATACACAGCCTCTGGAGATGTTTCCATTCTATCTCTCTATCTATCTCTCTCTCTCTCTCTCTCTCTCTCTCTCTCTCTCTCTCTCTCTCTCTCTCTCTCTCTCTCCCTCTCTCTCTCTCCCTCTCTCTCTCTCTCTCTGTGTGTGTGTGTGTGTGTGTGTGTGTGTGTGTGTGTGTGTGTGTGTTGTAGATGCTTGATGGGCGCCCTCTGAGAGTGCACATGGCCCGGTATGGACGACCCGAGGAGGCACAGCGACGCCGGAGTTACGATTATGGCCGTCATCGTGGCGGTGGTGGCTCCAGGAGGTAAGTGATGACTCTTCTCTGTCTGTGTGTGAGTGTCTTGTGTATGTGTGCATGTGTGTGTGTGTGTGTGTGTCTCTCTCTCTTTCTCTCTCTCTCTCTCTCTCTCTCTCTCTCTCTCTCTCTCTCTCTCTCTCTCTCTCTCTCACACACACACACACACACAAACACAAGCCCTGTCTATATGTGTGTGCTGTGTTTCCGGATTCATCATGAACACGGTTCCAAACCCTGCCATGATGTGGATTATGCCGGCCGGGCTTCCAATTGCCCCAATAAGGCCCAGTCGGTATCCTGTTCTGTTGCTTGATTCACTTGCTTGTGTTGGTCGACTTGAGATTTTGGCTCATTCCCCCCCCCCCCCCCCCCATGAATGATGTTCCTTTCATTGACGACAACCCCCCCCCCCCCCCAAAAAAAAAGTTTGCAACAAAATGTTCTACACAACTCTGTGAAGGCAGGTAATGATCCCACGTGTATGTAAAAAAGATGTGTACGAATGTCCATACATAACTGTTACGTGTGTTAGCCAAGCACTTTGTGCTGTTTTGTGTTGTCCATTCTCTCTATTGTCTTCTTGTTGGTGTGGTCATTGTTATCGTGTTCACCGTGTGTCGTCGTTGGCGTGTAACGTAACCGGTGTGTGTGTGCACAGGTCTCCGTCTCCACGCCGATCGCGCCACCGCAGCCGTAGTCGTAGTTACGACCGTGAGGAGCCCCGTCGGCGTCGCGACAGAACCGGCTCTCGCTCACCCAGCCCACGCGGTGGCGGACGCGGTGGCAGTGGCCAGGGCGGTGTGTCGAGGTCGCGATCACGCTCCCCGTACGGCTCACCGCACGCCGCACGTCACGTGGACTCCCGCTCGCGTTCGCGCTCGCCACCGAGGTCTCCCGGCGGTCCTACCCAGTACTCGCGGTCGCACTCACGATCACCTTCCCCTCGCGGTGGTGGCAGTGGTGGCCGTCAGTACTCTCGCAGTCGCAGTCACAGTGCATCGCGTTCGCCACCACCACACCGTGAGCATTACAGCTCTCCGCAGAGATCACCCGCCGGCAATGGTGGTGGCGCCAGGCAGCAGCGTAGCTACTCACGCTCGCCATCGCGCTCTCGTTCACCGTCTCGTTCGCCATCGCGCTCGCCTCGCTGATCACCCCGGGGCGTTTTACCCTGACTCGCCACGCCCAGCCGGCTGCAGTATCTGCACTACTACTACTATTGGCTGGAGCAGCAGCAGCAGCAGCAGGGTGGTCATGCCGGTACTGTGGACCGATCCTCTCCCGGTCGCGTCAGTCCTCTCTGCCTTCTTGCGGCCGGTGTGCGTGAGCGCGCCTGAGCGTGTGTCAAGGATGTGAGAAACGCACTGCACTGTTTCAACAGCTCAAACGACAATCTGGTCATCGCTAGCTATCTTGTTACTACTGTGCACGCTCAATCGTTTTGAGCGTCTTTTCATTTTCTCTAGATCACTGTGCTTTTGTTGACTAGGCCAGCCATCCAGCCCGCTTTGCTGCTTCGTCTTTCAGGTTTTCGTAACGCTTACAATGTTGTTCACGCTGCTCTGCCACTAGGATAGCCTCTCTGCATTCTCTATATGTGTGTGTGTGTGTGTGTGTGTGTGTGTGTGTGTGTGTGTGTGTGTGTGTGTTTGTACGTGTGTACGTGTGTGTGTTTGTACGTGTGTACGTGTGTGTGTGTTTGTACGTGTGTACGTGTTTGCATGGGGTACGCCTGCTGTAGTATGCTAGGTGTGGTGGTCATGATAGTAGTGGTGGTGGCTGCTTTGTTGTTGCTGCTGCCGCTATTATGGCCTCTCCTTTCTCAAAATCAATCTCTGCCTGTTCTATGCGAGCACACATTCTGCTTGGAACATTTCTTTCTTTCAAGGCTCCCTACTTGGCAGTAGTAGTAACCACACATACCGTTATCACCGAGAGGCACCGCTAACAGACCGGCTCAATATCACCACGGCGGCCTATTCCCCTAGGCTGTGGCTTTTTATCATCTAAAAAAAAACTGTATTCTGTGTGTGACAGCTGATTTTCTGATGTGGCAGCAAATTTCCGGTCCCTGTTAGCTGGTGGAGTGTGAACAGAAAGGGCCCCGGGGTCCCTTGGCTACCTGGTAGCAGTAACAACACATAGAGTTATCACCAAGAGGCACCGCTAACAGACCGGCTCAATATCGGTTGAAGTTAATTCGTTTCTGAAGTGTAGGCACGCATGCATCTATGACAACAAGGCCAGGTGAAGAAGGAATGCTGACAAGTGATTACAAGAAAAATGGATGTTCCAAGACAAAAGATCTTTTTGCTGAAAACCAACAGTGAAAAAGAAATACCAGAACGCTCAAATTCTGGCTGTACTATTCTACGCTTATGAAATCTGCAATGTAATTCATAATCAACTTGACCGTACATGGTGCGAAGAAATGAAAATCAAACGGTGCTAGCTTGTAGCCTACTACTACTCGGACAAATCAACACTACGGCTGAAAACCTGATAGGGGTGCTCTGATAGGCTGGTATTCAGGCAAGGGCAATAGCCTAGGAAACATTACTCTATGTGTATGGCCCGCTCAGCCTTGGAAGCGTAACAGAACTGCACAAACTCCTTTTTTTAGCGTCAGTACAGCTCTCAAGCCCGCTTGCACCGTTGTACAGAACGGGTTTTCCCCAGCATGCAGTAGAGCCTGCACATGTGATTCATGCTGCAGACTGTTCTAAGCTCTTCTGCGTACACGGCATTCGGAGCACGCCTTGTACACCACCACGCGCATCCCTCGGTATAATTATACAATGTAGATAACCTGCAACTGTTTTATTAGATCAAGTGGTGATGTTGCCCTCACACGACGTCGTTCTCAAGTCTGCATGGTGAATCAAAAATCAGCCGCCTAGCGGAGTACAAATCTAGCTGTAACTTTTGCACATACCTTGCCCTCTGCGGAGTACAAATTTAGCTGTAACTTTTGCACATACCTTGGCCCTCTACAGTACTAGTGCATTGAGAGTCATACACGTCTTCAGCAGTATGTGATCTATCAACAGCTGTGAAGGCAGCTACTAGTACTCCCCAGGAACCGAGGTATCATTATACTCTTATCTGCATGTTCACCTCGTGGTGCATGCTCTCTAGAATGCTGATTGCGATTGCCTGGCTCTGCGCTGCTCCTCATGACGATACCCGGCTGCAAAATAGCCGTCCGGTGGGAAGTCAGGCCGCGGACGACTTATTTGGTCGGTCTGCGAGCAAGCAGGCCGTGCATTTATGCAAACACACAGACAAGCACACATGGAAACACACGCGCACACACACACACACACACACACACTCATCCACAAATGCCCACACACGAGCAAAACACACAAACACACCTACAAGTGAGTATTCTTCCACTTGCCAAAAAACTGACTTTGCAGAACAAATAAAATGAAAAGTAGGGACATACTTGAAGTAATTCAATGCACGTATCCAAGTAACACACAAACACACATGCACATACACACACACACACACACACACCACACACATACACACACACACAAAACACGCACGCACACGTGCACAAACACACACTTGTACTTGCTCACTGCCAAAACAGGTCATGTATTAAGCTGTGTTCACAACTGGCGCGTGAAACCACGCGTTTGTGCGTATTTTTGCTGGCTTTTGGGGCGCCATGCGTACGGAAACGCGCCGAAATGGAAATTCCAACATGTTCAAATTTTCAGCGCGTATCAGGTGCGTACCACCGTACGTGCCAGTGACTTTGACTGGCGGGGTCAAACAATTAGTACTCGAAGGTGTCCCACGCGCTAAATACGACTCAGATTGCTGTTTTTTGTGAAAGCCTGAGCGCGCGTTTGGGCACGCATGAACCGCAAGCGAACTGCGTCCATGCGCCAGTTGTGAACACAGCTTTATGTCTCCCGGAAGAGGGCAGAGAGGTTCAAAAGAAACACACACGCGCAGGCACGCTCGGACACACACACACACACACACACACACACACACACAACCGCACGCCAACACCCACATGCACATGTACTTGCTGCCTGCCATAACTGGTCACGTGGGTCTCCCCGGGATAGGGGGAGGGGTTCAAAAGGAACAAACACACATACACCACACACACTCGCGCGTGCACACGCACACACACGCGTGCACACAAAGGCATTGAAACATCACTTCTCCTAACACGTACCATGTGCTCCACTTGCTCCAGAAAGTCAAGTACTTGCTCTAAGTAGGCATCTTCATCCACGGAATCACTGCTCTCTGGCCAGGCTGGGTGACGGCCTTGTGAATACGAATCATCACTAGTCTCGGCACTTTTTTGATTACGGTCCACGGCGGGGGGTGGCGCTGTTTTGATCGCGACCACGTCACCAGTGATACTGCCAATGTCGGCTGCCTTGCTCATGTCAGCCGGCAAGAAGGTGTCCTGGACTAGAGTGCTGCCGTCCTTTTGAAGCAGCGCCATGTAGATACGCTCGTGTTCGTTCAGCGTTCGCCGGGCATGCTGCACGTTGGCCGCGTCGCCAACACCCGGATACGAGTATATGATATCGGTGCGGTGGTCATCATCATCTTCACTGCTGCTGAGGTAAGATAGCTCGTCGGGAAGACCCGCCATCGGAGTGGAAGTGTACATTGGACTTTCAATATATGTATCAGGTGTCCACGTGTCCTCATCGGGTATCTCGATATCAGTGCGCTTTGAGTTTTTCTTCATGTGCTCCGCTCGTTCTAAGTCCTCCAGTGTTGCCAGCAGACGGTCTCTGTTCAGCTTGATCTCGTCGGCGCTGAACTGGGAGAGGTCTCCGATGGCGTGTGCGTGAGTGGCGTTCAGGCGACCACTCTGCGCTTCGTACACACGTAGATAGTGCTGCACGGGATTACATGGAGAGAGGGGGAGGGAGACACACACATACACGGACACACAGGCACACAGGCACACACACACGCACGCGCACACACACACATGCCCACACACGTAGTTTCCAATTGGTCTGGCAATGCCGTAGTCTTTCACACTCTGTGTAGGATATGGTGGGTACATGTACACATAATCTCCTCAGCATTAGTTAAGCATCAGCAGGGTTGTCCGGCACTGGCCTCATCTACCGGACCGGTTCAGTCGGGTCTGTAAAATGAGCATGTGCAGTGGCTTCAGTCAATCTCTGTGTGGTACATGCATGAACATAAACCAGGTTTGTGGGTTCGAACCCCACTTTTGGCGACCTTTTTTCTATAAATTGCTTAGGACACACAAAGAGAGGACTATCTGGGTTGTTTTTACCTCTTGCCACCAATCAAATTGAGCCACTTTGCAGGCCTGAACACGCAGTATCAAAATATGGCATTTTTCCTACGTTAGTGGTGTTTATTGTCTCAACGAATATGGAGAACCCCTGTTTTGATTTGGCAAACCTGTTCCTTTCCATGAAAGAATTCCATAAACCCACGTTCATAAAATATTACTGTGACGTTGGAAATCATGTGAGAAACCACTTTTTTCTCCTTTTTTCGAGGAAAACCCAGCTTTGCATTTTGCAATTTTCGGTGGAGTGCTTAGTCCCAGTGACATTTTCCTACTTTCTTTTCAATCCAAACCGAGACGGTTTTTGTTCCCGAAAGTTTCAATACAATGCTGCAAGAGATTATAAAGATAATAATATCTCAATCTCTTGCAGCATTGCATTATAGTAGAAAAATGTGCAACCACCCAGCAATGTCCGTAAAAACTAGGGGTGGAAAAGTGGCTGAAGTTGACAGAACGGGTATGGGAACCACCCTTTTTTATTTCAGAATTAGAAACCTAATGTACCTAAGACTCTGAAAAATCTGTTCACATCAAAATTACGACTATGACATTTGGCCTAAGCTGTCCCCTTACCTCCTTAAAATCTCTATTGAGCTAGCTGTTGCACATCTATCAAACAACCATACGGAACAGCCAAACGAGAGAGCTTGGAAGCTCAGGGCCCTACGCTATGCTTTTTTTGCCTTGATGACCTCGACAAAAAAGCATAGGGATGTTATAAATTCTTATAAATTTCTACTTTTTGTTTTTAGACATAACCTGGGATTCGAACCCGCACTATCGCCCTGCATGCATCCCCCGATACACTTCGCATACATACTAATTCTTCCAAGTTGCTTCACGTTACGATCTTGTATTTGAAAGCCCTATTTGAATATGCATTGTGGCCAGCCGTCTTTGATTGTATGGTACGGTACGGGACAGGTACGGGACAGGTACGGGGCATGTACGGGACATGTACGGGACAGGTACGGTCGAGGGTAATACGACACCATCAACCGCCTTGATGACGGCAAAAAGAATAGAGATGTTATAAATTTTTCAATTTTCCTATTTTTTCAGGCATTACCTGGGATTCGAACCCGCACTATCGCCCTACATGCATTCCCCCATACACTTCACATTCATACCCATTCTTCCAAGTTGCTTCACGTTATGATTTTGCGTTTGAAAGCCCTATTTGAATAGTGCGGCCAGCTGTATGTGGCCAGCTGTGTTTGATGGTACGGTACGGTACGGGACAGATACGGGATAGCGCCAGGCGTGACACAAACAAACAAACACACAAACAAACACCAAACGAGAGAGCTTGGAAGCTCAGGGCCCTACGCTATGCTTTTATGCTTTTTTGCCAAGCTCATCGTACATGTTATAAGAACTGATGGAATTGTCTTTTTCCGTTCATTGGCCACATCACTGTATTGCAAAAACGTTTCAATCGGTTTGAATATTATGAGTTAGGCAAAAGTATTTGCAGAATTTATTGCGGATTGTTGTTTCTCTAATAATCATCTACTTTTGTTTTGCTCCTTCTTTAATTTTTATCTCCTTATATTGTAAATCAACAAATTTTGGCCGATGAGAAATAGAAACCTCTCGATTAGAGAGGTTAAGATGCACGTTACTTCCGACGTGACGCGCAGTTTCACGTCAAATTTGAAATCGATCGGTATTTTTGCTCTCACATGCATCCATTGCTCAATCATGCATCATTTGCCTATAATATGACAAACGTTGGCCTGCGATTTACTTTGTCCGGTTGGTACCAAGCGGCGAAATCAGCGAAATTAAATCGCCAGCGAACATTAGTTGATTTTAATACAGGAATCGGATTTTCTGGCCTTTTTATAGTAATACATCTACATTGACCTGTTGAGCCAATGACGACGCCGAATGCATGGTTGCCTGTGGAGCACATTACATAACTTTACAGTCTCCTAAAATACGTATCCTGTCCGACGGCAAAAGAGGCTGCAGATTTAGTTTTTCTGCGCGTCGACGGGATGTCTGCGACGCGAAAGTTCAGCTCGCGTTATTTGGCTCGCACGTCGAAAAAATCAACGCGAGTGACCTGCTGCTCACGTCGAAATTTGGACATTACATAACTTTACAGTCTCCTATATAAATACGTATCCTGTTCGACGGCAAAAGAGGCTGCAGATTTAGTTTTTCTGCGCGTCGACGGGATGTCTGTCCTGACGTTTACTGGGACCGGCGCTGACTCTGCCGATCACGGGCGTTCTGGACTCGACGGGATGTCTGTCTTGACGTTTCCTGGGACCGGCTTAGACTCTGCCGATCACGGGCGTTCTGGACTCAACGGGATGTCTGTCCTGACGTTGCCTGGTACCGCCGGACTCTACCGATCACGGGCGTTCTGGAGTCGACGGGATCTCTCTTCCGACGTTTCCTGTGACCGGCGCTGAATCGCTCGTTCACGCTTTGTTTGGAGACGACGGGATCTCTCTTCCAAAGTATGTTTATGCAGACGCATCCTATCACCTAATCGGCGTCTATTCTAATTTAATTTCCTCCTCGTCTCCCTATTTCTTTCCAAATCCCACTCTACATCAGGGAGTCGTATGCATAATACAACGAATATTGGTACGGTACGGGACAGATACAGGAGCCCGCAAATATTGTGGACAGCTGTTATGTACAATCCTGTAGAGCCTTTGTAGTCACAGATACGGGACAGATACGGGACAGATACGTGATAGCGCCAGGCGTGACACAAACAAACAAACAAACAAACACACAAACAAACAAATACCAAATTAAAGCTGTGTGGACCCTGGCTAGCGCCAGACGTTACTGAAGTAACGTCTTCTGCATAGCTACGGGAATTAAAGCTGTGTGGACCCTGGCTAGCGCCAGACGTTACTGAAGTAACGTCTTCTGCATAGCTACGGGAATAAATATTATAGGTGATCATCGACGGACATCCACTATTAATTTTACCATACTCAACACCCCTCAATGCATGCTACCACACCAAACTCACCTCGTGCACACGTAGCAGCGTCTCCAGCCTGCTTCGACGCGTCGCGACACCAATCTCGGACTTCAATTCCGCCTTCTGCTCAGCATCATTGGGCTGGGCCACCGCTGGCTTCTCAACTCCTAGCGCTGCGATCAAATCCTCCGGAACGCCAGCAGGGGAGCATGGCTCCATGTCCGGCAGTTTACATCCCGCGGGCAACTTTCCGAGGCGCCACTGGGGAAACTGCCGGTTGTGCGTGTGGAAGCGAAAACGCAACACCTCCTCCAGGCTCAGCCGGGCCGGGTCTGCATGTAGCGTCGACTTGGGCTGCACCACGTAAAATCCGTCGCCCGGCATGCTGGCCACATCGGTGCCGTCATTGAGGTCAGCGGATGATGTCGTGTCGGCAGATTGCGCCTGTTGTGACGTCATCGTCGCTGACATACTGGACTCATCGTCGTCGTCGGAATCATCGGACCACTGACGGCGTAAGAGCAGCGCTGCGCCTGGTCCCGGTGTTCTACCAGCATACTGAGCGACGGGGGCAGCGGCCATGGTGATTGACGGTCGTCTTGGCGCCGCGGCGGCTCGTTCTGTCGACGTCGTTACCTCCTCGGACACGGAGACTATCGGCACGGTGCTGCGCTTGGCCTCGGCCTGCCCCGCCAAGAGTCGACCTCCTGCGTCTGGCTGCTGGCTAGCGCCCACGCCTGTTGCACGCGGTACCGGTACGGGTGAAAGTTGCCTCTGCCCCGCCGTTTCCGCTTGCGGCTGCTGCTGGTCTTGTCCGAAAATCTGGCTAGCCTCGCGCTTAATGCCCGGTACTGGGCTGGCAACGGACTGCTGACTGGTACGATGGGCGTCACTCGGCTTGCGCTTGCCACCGATGGAGTGGTGACTGACCTTGGCGTCACCGCCGGCGTGTGCTTTGTCGCTCGTCTTCCGCTTCTTGCCGACTGCCATGCCGTCGTCGTTGCCGCCGCCGCCGACAACGAAGCTTTTAGTCAGCGCCCCGGTTGCGAGTTGCGGCTGTTGTTTCTTGTCCTTGACGTAGAGAGTCTGTTTGCCAAAGCTCTGATAGTGTAAGTAGTCCTCCTCGCTCAGCAGGACGTCCTTGTCCCCGGCCCGGGTCAGAATGTCCAGCAGGTCGGGGTCGTTTGCCTCCCCGGACGCTGCCCGTGCACATGCCCGGACATGCAGTAGGGATGCCAGTGAGCGGACGTCAGCGTCGTCTTCTTCCTCGTCACTATCGTCGTCGCCACCGGATGCATCGTCTTCCGAGCACGACTCGAATGCATTGAGCTGCTCCAGCGTGGCGTCGTCCATTTCGGCCAGGATTCGCACGATATTGTCTGCTGGAGATAGCGGTGCAGATCTCGCGTCGGCACTGGGATCAGATTGCGTGCGGTCAGCGTGTTTGTTGTCAGCAGCTGCAGCTGGCTTGGGGATATCGCGATCGGTTGGCACAGAACAGGTCGGTTTGAACAGCGGGAAGTGGTGCATCGTCGGACGGAAGCCTCGGTATTCGTCACCTCGCCGCACGTTCTCGCTGTGGCCGATAATTCGGCTGCAGTCTGGGTGCAAGGTGTCAAGGACATGCTGCGGAGGATCGTCGCGGTCATACCGATGCAGACGCACCGGGACTGGTTGCGAAGAGCCCGACTCCAAGCCCTGCCTCCCAGCAGCCTCCACGAGCAATGCGTACGAGTAGTCGGTGTCGTGCAGCGTGGCAATCTTGTCCGTTACCCGGTGCACGGGTAGGTGCGGTGGTGAGCTAGGACGGTGGACATCAGCTGTGTCGTTGCCAGGAGGCTGGGTGGTTGTGGTGCGATGAGGATCGATGCACAGCTGCTCTGCTCCTGGACGCGCGCCTGCCGGTGACAGTGTAGGTACATCCTGGTCTATAGCCTGGAAAGGGCAGAGCGAGATAGAGAGACAGCTGAGATAGAGAGACAGCTGAGATAGAGAGACAGCTGAGATAGAGAGACAGCTGAGATAGAGAGACAGCTGAGATAGAGAGACAGCTGAGATAGAGAGACAGCTGAGATAGAGAGACAGCTGAGATAGAGAGACAGCTGAGATAGGGAGGCACAGATACTGTAATTTCACAAATTTTCGGTGTACTTTTATTTTCGGTACTTCCGGTGTGTCTGCTTCATACCTAAGTTTTTTTTGATACACTGAACAAACACTAACACACATAATCCAATAGGGAACTGCTTCTCTGTACCGAAAATTTCTGTTCACTTAACCTGGCCTTTTGCCCTCATACCGACAATATTGAGCACCTAAAATTTCTGAAGTTAGAGTAATTGGACAGAAAAGGAAAGGATACAGCAAGATAGAGAGACAGAGATGGAGAGACAACAGGTAGGGAGGCAAGGACAGAGAGACAGAAGCAGGGAAGCACAGATAAAAAGGTGGAAATAGAGAGGTAGAGATAGGAAGGCAGAGAAGGTGAGGCAGAGAAGGAGAGGCAGAGAAGGAGAGGCAGAGAAGGAGAGAGAGAGAGAGGAAGAGAGGCAGATATACAGAGACAGAGGTTTTGGCCAAAGAAGTGGTACACACACACAGTGGTACACTATCATCTTGTTTTCTGTTCGGTGTCCCTCTTTCCACACGTGCACCCAAAAATTTAAAAAAAGAAGAAGAAACAAGTGGTAGGCTCATGTTGTTGTTGTTGTTGTTGTTTCTTTATTTTACTTCACCATATGAACAGGCAAGACTGCCTTCTCACCGGGGCTATTGGCCCACGGCTCTCCATGTGTGTTCATGAGGTCCATGATACGTGTATGTTCTGTTCATGTGGTTAGAGTGCAGAGTGCAGGGGCGTAGCTGCCGGTTCGGCTTCAGCCAGACCTCTGTTTTTAACACAATGCCTAAAGTGTCCAGAACGCAGGTTTTTGCACCCTAATTTCAAAAATTCACCATGTTCACCTTGGTAACCAAAACCTGAGCATGCGCATCCCTTCCCGTTTCCGTGGTACCGTTGCCAAGGCGACCAGCAGGATGGTAGTAACCGCGTTCTGGGTAGCGATCTGTCAGCTTGAACACCACAGTGGGTGGCTTGTAGCCTTTCGTCATCGAGCCTGGTTGTTTAAAGATATGTACACATAGTGCACACACACACACACGAGCGCGCGCGCGCACGCACGCACACACACACACACACACACACACACACGCACGCGCGCGCGCACGCACGCACGCCCGCACGCACACACACACACACACACTCTCTCTCACACACACACACACACACACACTCACGCACACACTCACACACACACACACGCGCGCGCACACACGCGCGCGCACACACACACACACACACACACACACACACACACACACACACACACACACACTACTGTTACGCAGCACATTGGGACACTTAGGTGAACTCGCGTTTCGGTGTCCGGGGCTCCGTGATTCCTTACCGCACCATATCAAAGGACATGCCCCAGGAATGCTTGTTTTCTCAGCTTCCCGACGAGCCTTCATGTATTAAGATCGGAGAAAGACTAACATGAACAACGATGTGTATGCACTCTACAAAATTTAAAAATTTAAACAACATTTAATGTTGTACATGCATGGCAAGTTTACTCGTCATCGGAACACAGTATACTTTTTCATGACTACTAGTAGTTATCTCACGATCGGTCCTGAAGGGGAGGTGTAATTTACCTGCTTGACTTCGTGATCCTGGCTGGCTTGTTGGCAGGGACATCTCTCCAAATTTCACATCAATATCGTCCGTCTCTTGCGTGTTACCCAGCTGTTTGCGGTCGTGTATTCTGGGCTTGGGAGGTGTCATGCCCCTCTTCGCCGGTGGGTACTTGTCAATCTTGGGCTTGGTGGTGAAGCGACCTGGCTCAGGGTCACAAAACATGCACGTGCATGCACACACAAACACACACACAAATGCAGACGAACACACACATACATAAACAAACACACACACACACACACACACACACACACACACACATATAAGCACACACACACACACACACACACACACACACACACACACACACACACACACACACACACGCACGCATACAAGCACACACACGCGCACACGCGCACCTATGCACCAGGGGACGTGCCATTGTCCACTGCAAACTACACACATTCACAGCTGACAGGGCCCCGGATTTACATTTATCACCGCCCAGTACTAAACTTCATGATAAGAAGGGAACGAAAACGTTCCGTTACCAAATTGGCTTAGTTGACTGTGGGTTGCGTCTGCGCTGACAACTTTTCTTTCGAAATTGGACACGCCTCCAATTTTTTCCCTTTCACTACTATCATCTTTAAAATAAATTTAAAAAAAAGTGTACAATGTTGTTCAGAACAACGAAACGTCTGGAAAAGTATCCTAAATATTTCTATCTTTATGAGTACAATAAAGAGTATAATAGATGCAGACATGGCCAGACAACAACGAGTTAATGGAATTTTAAAGGATTTTTATTATTCACAATCGATTTTCGTGTTCCGCTCTTCAGTGAATATTATCGGAACTGAGGGTAATGTATACAAAAAGAACATTGAATAACTGCATAATTAAAAGTGTGAAAAAAGGAAGTGCTACAGCATTACATAGTAGGTGTCAAACATAGTGCTAAAATATATTTAAAAAATACTGGGTGCAAACCCAAACCATGAGGTGATACCGTGCAACATAACACGAAGTTTACATCTGATAACCAGCTACGAGAACAACTTTAAAGCGACTACATGCTTCTTTTGTTTACAAAGAACAGGATTATGTACACGAATACATACAGCTTCCAGAACCTTCAACGGCTTAACAAAACCTTTCTTATCTCCTTATCTCGTGAACATCTTAAAGCTCGCCGGGAACTCGTAAAAAACAATGCGGTCATCATAACCCGACCTGACAAAGGACGGGCCACAGTCATCCTCACTAGAGAGAAATACCTTTTCAAAATGGCAGTCATCCTTGATGATACCTCGAAGTTCTCAAAATTGAGCCCAGTCGCGACACATGACAACACCGTCAAAGTAGAGAAGAACCTAGTTACGTATCTCAAGCTACTAAAAGCCGAAAAGGAAATTATCAATGGCGAGTTTCTTAAAATCAAGCCAATGGGTTCCATCCGTCCACGACTTTCTGGCTTGCCAAAAATACATAACAATTGTCCTTTGCGGCCGATACTTTCAATGGTTTCATCTCCACAGTACAGCATCTCTAAGTGGCTTCGTGTTATTCTCGGAATCGTACAAAGTTATTACTGTACGCACACAGTGAAAGACAGTTGCCAGTTTGTAGATATCTTGCGCTCCCATCAGGTTCCTGCTAGTGCTCATATGTGTTCATTTGACGTAGTATCACTGTTCACGAACGTACCGTTGGATGAGACAATCGATATTTGTACTGATGTACTGTATCGAAATGATTCGGTAGATACTCCTTGGTTGTCGGAGACAGCCTTCCGTAAGTTAATGTCCTTGGTCACTACTGGCATGGAGTTCTCGTTCAACGACATAATGTATCGGCAGGTGGACGGTGTGGCCATGGGGTCTCCCCTTGGACCCGTTTTGGCAAATATATTCGTTGGATACAGTGAATCATTGATCAATGAGTCGATGTGGCCTCAGGTATACGTTCGTTTCGTTGATGATTCTTTTACATATTTTGATTCTGTTGAGCAATGTGACACATTCTTTCATCATCTAAACAACCTACACCCAGTGCCTAAATACACATGTGAGCATGAGCATGACAACAAACTCTCCTTTCTGGATGTGCAGGTAGAAAAATCTAATAACAGCGTCGTAACATCAGTTTGCCGAAAGCCCACTTTCACTGGGCAGTGCATCGTCTATAATTCATATTGCTCACATCAATACAAGGTGAACCTGGTACGTAACCTGGTGGGTAGAGCAAAGCGACTCTGCTCCGAAACGAAGCTCAACGATGAGCTGGAATTTCTCAGATCAATATTCCTCAAGAATGGATACCCACATGACTTATTGAACAAAATACTGAAGCAAGAATCTAATAACAAAGATATATTCACAGGTCCTCGGAAGTGTCCTATCTACTTATGCCTGCCTTGGAAAGGCAACGCGTCTGTCAGCATGTCCAGAGCTATCAAGACCCTAGTTAATAAAACATACTTTGCTGCCCACTTTATCACCACGGTACGTGCGTTCATGGTGAGGAAGGATGTCCAACCTCCCCAGCTTTCAAGCCATTTGGTGTATCTCTTTGAGTGCCGGAATTGTGCTGCCCGGTACGTTGGTAGGACTCTTCAACGCCTGAACGCACGTATCAGACAACATGTACCGTTGCACTTATTATCACCAGCAGCCAGAGCAAAGCGGCCAAAGCGTGGTAGGCCGTGCAAGAACCCAGTTAGCTCAGTAGACAAACACGCTGTGCCGACAGTGCCGCCTGTTCCCGTGCCACCACCGGCCCCACCACCTGCGATGCCATGGGTGGCTGGAGCTGGGGTGGGTTTGCCATCAGTGACCTGGTCACCACTTCTCGACCCACGGCGAACGGCAGCGGAGCCTACTCTAGCACAACATCATCGTCCTGGAATGGAGGAGAGGCCACCGAGAGACACTGAACCCTCACCTCGGCAGTTGCCCTTGCCTCCGCCTGAGCCACCCCTTTACCATGTTTACCTTTGGTGACTACCGAGACGGTGGTCCACCCGGTGCTGGGATCCACGGTGCCGACTGTATCTGGACAGAGAGGGAGCTCATCGACAAACCAAAAGGAAACCAATATCCTTACCCATAGACCCAGAAGAAGCACAGCTAACTATTCCGACTTGAAATTTATGCACGGAATGGACTTGGCCCACGCTAAATGGACAGTGGAAATGGGTGTGTAGTAGCAGAGAACCCAGCAATGGTGACGCGGAGCAGTGGTGAAATGACGTGTGATGCTGGTGGAGATGATGGAGCCATGTTGGAGGGTGATGAGGAGTGCAGTGAGACTGAGCATCAGACGGATGATTAGGAAGTGACTGATGATGATGGTGATGATGATGATGAAGATGAGACGGAGGACGAGGATGAGGCGGAGATGGAAGGAAAGGAGCAGGATGAGACGGAAGAGAGTGACGTGAGCAAAAAGTCAGCTGTATTTTGTCACTTGTTATCACGTCCAGATTGTCTTAGTGTGTGCAATGATTCTCACTTTTCTGTTTTGTGCCGTGCAAGTTATGTTAAGCAGTTGAAGGTTCTGGAAGCTGTATGTATTCGTGTACATAATCCTGTTCTTTGTAAACAAAAGAAGCATGTAGTCGCTTTAAAGTTGTTCTCGTAGCTGGTTATCAGATGTAAACTTCGTGTTATGTTGCACGGTATCACCTCATGGTTTGGGTTTGCACTCAGTATTTTTTAAATATATTTTAGCACTATGTGTGATACCTATTATGTAATGCTGTAGCACTTCCTTTTTTCACACTTTTAATTATGCAGTTATTTAATGTTCTTTTTTGTATACATTAGGCCACACGTTTTTATTTCTATGTTTCTCATACGATTCAGGAGTCTGGAAGAAAAAAAGAAAAAAACTGTGCTGCACTGACTGTGCATGTGGGGACCAGCACACTCATGCACATGTACATAATGTGGCCTGGCCTGCACGACACATGCTGCAAGGATGGCATTTTTTTGTGCGCAATCTAGCTGCACATGCTCAGATTGTGACAGAAGCTCCTACCACATACTATTTGCTAACTATGGATGCTATTTTGAATGGTGTATTGGTGGATTTTAGTGTGAACACAGGTCTAATAAACTTTTTATATTTTTCGGTCATTTTTTATTTTTTCCACCTCTCGTATACGTTTTTAGATTTTCAGGTGACGAGAAACATAGAAATAAAAACTTGTGGCCTTACCCTCAGTTCCGATAATATTCACTGAAGAGCGGAACACGAAAATCGATTTTGAATAATAAAAATCCTTTAAAATTCCATTAACTCGTTGTTGTCTGGTCATGTCTGCATCTATTATTAGGGTGTTCGGTGCCTCGAACCCAGGCGCATTTTGAGTGGAAACAGTTTTGTACGGGGTCCGTGGCACAATCGTACATCACTGTGCTTCTTGCCTTGGCAAGGTAAAATTTTAGCAGCTCAGGACGAGTTTGTTTCTTTGTTGGAAAGAGGAGATGTCTCTGCTGTTGAGACCGTAAGTCTCGTTTCCACACGACGAATTTTAGCAATGTTACGCCCTGCGCAACTTCAGGGTATCGATTTCGGCCTGTTCTGGGCCGGTCGCAACGCCGACGACCATTCCATCGTCTTCAGCGTCGAAAAACTACGCAGTGTGTGAAATTTGGAGGCTGTACGATGCTGTCTTCTTGTTCTATGAGCGATTGATTTGCGCCAGGATACCAAATGTATGGAGTACATGTACATGTACATGTACATCATTGGAGTTGATGGACTTGGCTGTAGTGCTGTTTATTTGTAAATTGTAGTTTCGCTGAGCTACCACATCAGATAAACCTCTGGTCGCTGTATCTGGAGATTGGAGAAAGCCATTGTGCAGACAAATTGGTCAAGAACAGATTTCCTGCCAATACTGCGTTCAATCATGATGCAGCTGAAACTCTGCACAGAATTGACACTCTTAGGATTTGCAAAATTGCAGCGCGCTAACACAGTGCAGCTACGCAATGCCGTATGCACCGTGTCTGGAGTACATTGTCATCCACATACTGCATGGGCAATGTAGGGCAGTGTATTTGTCGACTTTATAATTTACATCCAAATTACGCTTGCACAATCATCCGATAAATGAACTGTCTGTTGATTGTGCAAATCGTATGAATGAATTACATGTAACGTGCGACACCAATTGCCCCGAAGTGCCGCACGCGCCGTATATGACTGGGATCAAGTTGTCCTTCTAAAGCTGATGATTAGCAGGACTGCTGCCTTGGCCTGGCTGAAGCTTACATCGTGTTGCAATGGTGCAGCATACCTGTTAATTGGTTGCATCCATCCCGGCATCCGGTCCCGCGGCGCAACATGCCCGGGTGCGGGTGCCGTCTCGGCTGAGTGCGTATGTAATTTTCTTGGATGCTTCATCTACATTGGGTAGATAACTGTAATCTCCTCCTGGTGATGCGTCTTTGTAGTACCCGTATTCCAATTAGCTTCAGCCTGTGAAGGGTTACATCTTTCGCATATATTTCGACTAATTTGTATGCGTTGCTATGGTGGTTGCTATGGGCTTAATTTGAATTTGGCTAGATGGAATACCAAAAAAATTGGTCAAGTGATGGAAGCTTTCTATTGGCTATCATCTGTGAAAATTTGAAAGACCCTGAACGAAATTGATTTTCACCTTGTTCTTGTTGGTTTTGAATTTCCCGGTTTTGTGCCACTGGCCTGCATCAAAACTGTTCCAGTAAAAGTGCCAACCAGCGCACTTCAAACGATCATAACTCTTGAACGTCTGGTCGGATTTAGACAAACCTTATATATTTCCCGGCTAGTTTATCCTACTCTTTCCAATGAGACTAAAATCGAGGAGATCGGAGCAACTTTCAAAATCGTCCGAACACCCTACTATTATACTCTTTATTGCACTCATAAAATTGCTTTCTCCACGCCGACTCTTTATTTCTATCTTTATTTTAATCATATATACCACTCTTTGGTCTAGAAAGAATACTTTTTTTGATATTACAATGAGAATGGCTAACCAATGGCTTGTCGACCAACTCACTGAACTCTTTATTGTCAAGGTTCCGGTTTTCCGCAGAACCCCCTAAATTTCGCAAATGTACTCCTGGAAAGTTGGAACCATAAATGTACATGCATATGTACCAGCTATTCAGTTTCGGCTAAACTGGATCCCGCCTTTAGAGATCTCTGGATCCGCCCCTGGTGAAGGCGGTGCATGCTCATCTCCTCTCCCTGATCGCCGGCTTCGCCTCCCCAACCAAAGTCAGATATAAAGTACAGCGAATACTCACTCGGATCTCTGTGCTTGACCTCCTGACGGCGCTTCTCATACTCTGTGATTATGAACTGGGCCTGCGCATACAACAGACAACACCACAACATGTCGTCACACACAGAACTGCCGGCAGACCATGCTTATCCGCTGTGTAGCTTGGGTGGTCGTGAGAGGGGTTAGTGCCTCCCTGTGTTGGTTGAGGTTGTAGTCCTCTGGAAATGGTCCGGAAGTTTCAAATCAAGATCATTGCATTTTATAGATTCTCCACCATTTCAGTGCATGACGTAAGTATGTGTTGCATGTTCTAAACCATATCTGGATCAAAGCCTGATCAAAGACAAAATTCCACCATAGGACCAAACCTAGACTAGAGTGTGGCCAGCAAGGGGGTAGGGGTTGTCAGCCAACCGTCACACCGTTCAGGCAAGCCCTCTTTCATCTGCCCGTTCCCCTTGCCTATAGCCAGGTATTCTAGCAAAAGTGCAGTGAGCAAGAAGATGAGAGAAACCCAACAATTGGTCTAAGTAGAGAGTTCCTGCCGGGTTGTCTGCTGCTGTTCTGCAGAGAGAGAGAGAGATGGCAAGGGCAGTAGGATAGGAATTTAGCAACACTGTGTACACTATCCACCTTGTCCTTGGACGTGTTGATGTCCTCGTGGCCGAGTTGTTCTGTAGTGCAGAGGTTAGTCTTCAGAGTCTGCAGCAGCAATAGCACACACACACACACGCGCGCGCGCGCACACGCACACACCCACAAAAACACCCACGCACACACACACACGCAAACACACATGCACACACACAAAGACACGCACGCACACACACACACACACACACACACACACACACACACACACACACACACACAAAGACACGCACGCACGCACACACACACACACACACACACACACACACACACACGCACGCACGCAACACACACACACACACAAACACACTCATTACAGTAATTGCTGCAGTCATGTTAGTCCCATGTTGCTGCAGTCATGTTAGTCCCATGTTGAGTGGAGAGCACCCAGTTGACTGTGAATGTCGGTGTAGTTCATTGCATAAAAAGTGGTTCACGGATGCCTAGCTGCACCTTTTTGGGGCACAGGATACGCTCCCTGCAGGCAGAGCAGGCTGGGAATATCCCTAAAGATACTTATGCAGTAGACACGCCAGGGAGTGGTGTACGTCTTGGCAATAAAGTCTGGATGACTGGACTGCTTCAATATGAGGCAACGTTTCATGCCAATTTTGAATTGGAGATCAGAGTGTTCTTGTTGTTTAGTATGATAGGGCGCTGGAGAACGCTTCGTCGGCGCACTTATGCTGGAGAATGGCACAAAAATAGGAACAAATCAGGCTAGATGTTAAGGTTTAAGAACACATGTACTGTAATCTACATATTTCCTACGTGCTTGGTCGCACCGTATATGATACTCTTCATAACTTGATCGCGGGACAAGAACAATACGACTAACATTGGAACAATTTAGTACAATGCCACGCTGCGCCTTGAGCCCCTGCGTTCTCCGGCGCAAAACCTTACAGTGTGCAGCCAGCAGACACGTAGTCATCCAGGCCAAGGAAAGGGACGAATCTTCCTACCTGTGATGCAGTTGTACGTGCAAACAACGGCAAACGAGACTGGTACACTGCATCCGTCCAACCAGCCATGGGCGGTGCCTTTAGTGTCTCCTGTACTGTACGGTCAGAGATACTGGACAAGGAAACAACAAAGGGCACACACACACACACACACACATACATGATACGGACACTACACGTACATGCACACCACGCACACACGCGCACGCGCGCGCGCATCCACACACAGATGTACACATACATGCACATATACAAGATCAGACAAAGTGATTTCTTTGAGACATGTATTTCACATCGGTATGGCTACAATGTGTACTAGTTTACCAGCGAGGACTCAACCTCACACCCAGAACACAGCATCACTGTACGTACGCATTGTGTGTCTTGGACCTCACACCCAGCAGAACTGTACACAAGTGTTGTGTGTCTTGGACCTCACACCCAGCACACAACAGCACTGTACATACATGTGCGTGTTGAGTCTTTTTGACCTCACACCCAGCAAGCAGCAGCAGCACTGAACATATATGTAACGTGTTGTGTGCATTTGACCTCACACCCGGCACACAACAGCACAGTGTACATACGTGTTATGTGTCAGCCACTGGTACAGGATGCAGAGGAGACGCACAGCAGCGTTGGGTTTCATGTGCATCACACCTTCCATTAGGATATCGTCCACTGCGAGGGACGGATGCTGCTGGAAAAACTGCATGTGACAAACAGAGCACAGAGAACAAGAGCACATCAAAGCTAGCTCTGCGGGTGAGGAAAGGGCACCGGACGAGAACTTAGGTATGAGTTATGAGCAACAGCTCGCCAGTTTAATTTAACCAGCTGATGAACAACCATACATCTTCACAACATTCTCTCCAAGCCGGTTCGGAGCTACACCAACCGCTGAAAAAGGATCAAAGCACCAAGATTTTCGGGCAAGGTCGTGTTGTGAGGATGTGCGGTTAAGATAGATGGCTACATTGGAGTCTACGCATCTGGAGCTGGTGGCGAGCCTACCTAGGCGGTACCATATCCACATCGTGTCAGCCATGCTGCTGCCACTATCCGCGCGTCATGATACGAGTGCTATTTCGGTACGCAACTATGCACCCTGCACCAGTGAACACGCCAGTGTTTGAAGGCCTATGGCTACACAGAGCTCAATGCATACTTGACTCACTCGTGAACATGCCAGTGTTTGAAGGCCTATGGCTACACAGAGCTCAATGCATACTTGACTCACTCGTGAACATGCCAGTGTTTGAAGGCCTATGGCTACACAGAGCTCAATGCATACTTGACTACACAGAGCTCAATGCATACTTGACTACACAGAGCTCAATGCATACTTGACTACACAGAGCTCAATGCATACTTGACTACACAGAGCTCAATGCATACTTGACTACACAGAGCTCAATGCATACTTGACTACACAGAGCTCAATGCATACTTGACTCACTCGATCGGCACTGTATTGTATTAAGTATTAAAGTCAACAAACATTCGGCGCATATTTATTTTCGGCTATTTGTGGCCTGGTCATGTTTGGCCGAAATTTGTTGCATCTTTGCCGCTAAGGAGGTCGTATGTTCCCACTATGTCAAACACAATGTACGAAATGCTTTGGTTCCACCGGACCAATTGAATACTACGCCCGGCGGTCCTGAAGTGAGTGTATGCCACGCCGGGCGCTGTGCAACCCAATACCTGCAAACACCGGGGTGTGTACTGGTGCAGGGTGCAAAATTTCACGCCATTGGATTTCATTGAGCAGTGCTGTATTATCTGTATTTTACACCCATTGAGCCCTGTTACTCAGTCTGTCAGCCTGACAAATTGCACACTTATGATGGAGCTCACCTTGCGTAAGATCTTCCAGTTGCTCTTCATCACCTCCAAGCTCAAGCCATCCACCATGATCAGCTGCGAGCGCTTGTGTGGGAAGTAGTTCATCAGCAAGTCGGCCACCAGAAATCCATTCCGCAGGTCGCTGGCAATAGGACAGAGCGGTCAGACACGTGCACGTGCACAAACACATGCGGGTACACACTATGTGTGCTGTTTCCCATGCAAGATGAAAGCAACCGTGCGAAAACAGGAACATATTCTCGTTCCCACAAGCGGTGAGGCGGCAACAGTGTAAGAATAGTGATCAACAGAACAAGCTGAGTCAGGATTTCATAACAGCTCCATTGTACTTGAAAGAAGTAACAAATCAAAGGCGGTAAAGGTAATTTAAGGTATGACTGAACACGCCTGTGGACACCAGTAGGACAAACACCATCGTTCAGACAGTGCCGTAAGAACGAACTGTTCAAGGCTACATTACGGGAGTAGAAACGAATTTTCGGGACGGCACTCAGTGAACTTATGTGATCTTGAGTGTGCCTCGATTTGACCTGTTTTAAAACAAGCTATGAGGCGATAATAATAACAATAATAATGTAAGAAACCAATCAACAACACAACTGATTCAATAATTTCCATACCGGCTTTTTTATACTTTAAAGAACGAACGAATAAAACAAGCGGTGACGGACAATGAGGAAAAGTGATGGCTTCCCCTGCCAGTTCCCTCATTGTTCACAGCCGTTTGATCCGTTCGTTCATTTAATTACACGTACAAGAAAACCAATAAAACCGTGATGGAAGTGCTGACTCAGCTGGTCCTTTTGATTGCCATTCTTAAATCATTGTCGCCTAACCACTTGTAACCACTCGTTTCGACATTTCAAATTGAGGTAACTTCAGAATCGGATAGATTTTCTGAATGCCGTCCTGAGAAATGTCTACTCAATGCTGCCTTTAAAACGTGGATGTTCTTGAAATGCTGTGAGAACAATAGTATTTGTTCTACTGATGTTCACAGGCATGCTCAGCCGTCACTTTAATAATAATTGTCAATCACAGCCTTTTTTATTTGTTCATTCAGGAGATTGAGAACATGCCAACTGTTTGTCTAGCTGCTTGTCTACAGGACTGTCGGTCAACGAAGAACTGGGGGGGGGGGGGGTCAGCTTCCTAGCCTCGGTCGTTCCTATTTCCGTGTACGGATGAGTCACCGTGTATACATTGGTATGCTGTGCTTGATGAAATTCTAGCCTGGTCGTTCTTCGACGCCCGGCAGTACTGTAATTCAACACCCGGACCGTGTGACTCACTGTTTAGGCACTCGCACGGGTCGCGTCAGTACGACCTCGCACAGCCACTCGTATATCTCCCGCGGGATCATCTCCGTCACAGCCATGTACGCCGATGCCGCTTGCTTTGCGTCCACGCTCGTATCCTTGGCAACGGGCTTCTTCTGCGTGCCCTTTGGAGGAGCTGCGGTGCCCGTTGCGTGTGGTGCATCCGTCTTGGAGTCCAGCGTCAGTGTCGATGATAATCCCTCGATAGGTATAGGCATGTGGTCAGTTCTGCGCGGCTCGTCTTTCGTCGCCTGCATTCCGTGTGTGCTCTCCGTCGCCGTAGCGATGCCCTCTGTAGCCGCGTTCTCTGCGTGCGACTCCTTTGTGTCATCGATGTCAATGGCAGAGCTCTTCGGTTCATCCGACGCTGGCACGGCAGTGGAGTCCATGATGGTGCGTGTCAGCTGGCCTCGCTCACCAGTACGTCTCCTGTCCAGCAGCAGGTGGTGGAGTGATACTAGAAAAAAGCAAAACGAAATACAGTAAAACATGCTACTACAGACCACTGTGACTAGCAACCAGCCTGCTACTACAGACCACTGTGACTAGCGACCAGCCTGCTACTACAGACCACTGTGACTAGCAACCAGCCTGCTACTACAGACCACCGTGACTAGCAACCAGCCTGGTACTACAGACCACTGTGACTAGCGACCAGCCTGCTACTACAGACCACTGTGACTAGCGACCAGCCTGCTACTACAGACCACCGTGACTAGCAACCAGCCTGGTACTACAGACCACTGTGACTAGCAACCAGCCTGCTACTACAGACCACTGTGACTAGCAACCAGCCTGCTACTACAGACCACTGTGACTAGCAACCAGCCTGCTACTACAGACCACCGTGACTAGCAACCGGCCTGGTACTACAGACCACTGTGACTAGCGACCAGCCTGCTACTACAGACCACTGTGACTAGCGACCAGCCTGCTACTACAGACCACCGTGACTAGCAACCAGCCTGGTACTACAGACCACTGTGACTAGCAACCAGCCTGCTACTACAGACCACTGTGACTAGCAACCAGCCTGCTACTACAGACCACCGTGACTAGCAACCGGCCTGCTACTACAGACCACTGTGACTAGCAACCAGCCTGCTACTACAGACCACCGTGACTAGCAACCAGCCTGCTACTACAGACCACTGTGACTAGCAACCAGCCTGCTACTACAGACCACCGTGACTAGCAACCAGCCTGCTACTACAGACCACCGTGACTAGCAACCAGCCTGGTACTACAGACCACTGTGACTAGCAACCAGCCTGCTACTACAGACCACCGTGACTAGCGACCAGCCTGCTACTACAGACCACCGTGACTAGCAACCAGCCTGCTACTACAGACCACCGAGACTAGCGACCAGCCTGGTACTACAGACCACCGTGACTAGCGACCAGCCTGCTACTACAGACCACCGAGACTAGCGACCAGCCTGGTACTACAGACCACCGTGACTAGCGACCAGCCTGGTACTACAGACCACTTCGCCAGGCACAGACGGTCTTAAATTCATTTATGGTTGTGCGGTGCAAACCTCTAACTAAGGACCACCTGTCACTAAAGACCACCGTGACTAGCAACCAGCCTGGTACTACAGACCACTGTGACTAGCAACCAGCCTGGTACTACAGACCACTGTGACTAGCAACCAGCCTGGTACTACAGACCACTGTGACTAGCAACCAGCCTGGTACTACAGACCACGTGACTAGCAACCAGCCTGGTACTACAGACCACCGTGACTAGCGACCAGCCTGGTACTACAGACCACTTCGCCAGGCACAGATTCATTTACGCATTTACGGTTGTGCGGTGCAAACCTCTAACTAAGGACCACCTGTCACTAAAGACAGCTTTCTCTGGCCCCAGGCCGGGGTGGTCGTTAGTCACAGGTTTTACTGTAAAGCAATTGTTGTGCCCGGTGTAACTGACGACTGTACTGTTCATGCAGGGGTGTCGCACACGCTACGTACCACTATTTTCCCCAAGTGCCCGGTGAATCAATCATTTATTTCTTGAAAATGCACTGATTTGGGCTCTAAATTTCCAAAATTTTCAGCTCAGCCATCCCTCCCCCACGAGTAAATTGTACTTCAGATGGCTGACCGTACCACACTAAATTACCTTCCGACGCCTCTGTCATGCGTTGCCGATTGGAGCTTTAGTGCATGGATGACCAGGCTACAATGGACCTTTCTATTTTCAAAAGTTCTCAAAAAAATGAAACGCCTTTCCAGTACAAAATAATTAGACACACATAATTATAGGAAACCCAGACCAAGAAGCCGAGGCCATAATTTACTTCACACGAAATGGTCATGTTCTGGAGAGATAAAAATGCAATTATAGGTTCCCCTAGTGCTTTCCTAGGGACCGTGCTCACCTTTTCTTCAAGGAAGATAGCGGCTTGCTGAGTCGTAACCTCACGCTAACACGGTAGAAGCGGTTGAATATTTTTGCCAACCGAACAGAAACTCTTCATTCATGCCCTGACGTTCACGACACTTGCACAGTCACCAGTGGTGCCGAGCGAAGCTGTTCCAGGAACCTTTTGTCGCGTTGCTCAAGCAGCAACGAGCGAGCCCATGAGAATGTTGTCAACAGGAAGGCACGCCGAATGAAATGAGTACATGTACAAGGAAAACAAACGGTGAAAGTAATCATCGGTCCACCAGCTGGGGAACGGAGAAGCGCTCTAAATACTAGTCTAAAATTATCGGCTTTCTCCTTCTCAACACCTTTTTTTGATGGTTTCACCTCCAGACATTATCATGTTCATGCGATGGACATGCAAGTCATAGCGCTGATGGTCAGAAACTAGCTGTTACTTGGCCTATGCGTATGACAAGTAGTGTGACTTTCGCCTGCTTACTCTCGTGCCACTTATTTTTTTCTTCCCAATCTTGCATGGCTTTGGAAGTACCGGTACAATGATTATGACAGTAAAACGTTAGTTTGGTGTTCATCAGCTCAGCCGACACTTGACTTTTGTAGTCAAAGAAGTCGTGAGTATCGCATATCGGCGTGTGTGTTTATATGACGCGCGCAACCTCCTTCGCCATGGAGACCATGAAGTGCGAGATTACATGGCAACAAGCGACTGCAAGTCTCGGACTTGAACAAGACAGTACTGTTGAAGTAGTTGAAGCGTGCGTGCGTATGAACGTGCACTCGGAGGGAAACCGAAAAGTAGGAACACAAGTGCAAATGATTTATTACCATAATTATTCCATAAGCAAACCTTATAAGAATAAATCTCTGATTTGCTTATGGTGTTTGTAGACTAGTGAGTGCACAGCTCGCTCTATTATTAAAATTATTGCTTTCTTTGGGATACATGTAATTTCTACCGGATCGTATGCACGCACTAATCACACAATCATAATACTATAGTGTAGACCTACAGTATGTATAAAACATTGGTTGTCACCACCATGTACATGATGTATACCAGGGCTCGAACAAAAAAGATGCCAGAAAATTCACAATCCAATAGCACACACACACACACACACCCATTGCTGGTATGGAGCCAGCGATGCTTGGCACAAGAAACTTGTTCTGGGATCATTCCACCATCCAACAGCAGCAAGGATTATAATAATATTATTATGTTCGGTTCAAGGTCGCACTATTCTGCCTGGTCTACACCAAACAGGTTTCGGCCAGCCTCCCTGCCCCTATCTGTGTCACACATACAGAGCGGAATACCGGCAGGCGGAAGATTATAGCGCTCTGTTATACGGCATTATTATTATACGCATACAGTAGAATTGCGTCCCGAAGAACTTGGAGCCCAAGAACACCACAGCCTAGGCAGCAGTGCTGGTTTTCTGGCAGCTTCTGGAATACATGATTATTACGATCCATTACAGGTTGTTTCCAGGGAGTCGTAAAATACCGTATTTTACGACTCCCTGGTTGTTTCCAAGAACGTGCTAGAAGAATTCGGCCAGATTGCCGACAAAAAAGAAGGTCCTTTTTGAAGGCTAAACCCCAACATTCTTGGGCATGCAGCTCTATCGTAGCCTTGATAGCAGCAGTCAACTGCTTTGCAAGGCTGAGGATTCGACCACCACTGTTTTAACTTGGTATCGCACAGCACTGCCAGCAGACTGAAGTGGGTAATTTCTCTTCGGGAAATGAATTACACACACACACAAGTAACCGTTGCAAGAAAAGCACGCAGATCTGCAAGTGCACCAGCAGCACATCCACAGAGTTTCCCCCATAGCAACCACAGCAGACATGATCTAGACAAACTAGATCACAGCCACGCCATGAGCGAACTGAGAACAAACACACGGCCACCAACAGAGCAACAATATGTGCGTTCTAACAAAGCCTTCTTTAGAAGAAAACAGACTAGCAAACTAAGAACAGCTGAGCTGTCGCCTACAAGAGAGAAAAAAAGCAACGATTCTTTGCATGAAGAATCCCTATCCTACGTAAACGGAGCCTACGAGGACAGAGAGAGAGAGAGAGAGAACAGGTAATGCACAATACAAGATGCACATGGCCCCGGTGTGCGAGAGGAGAGTGGAACAAAGCGTGGTGGACTTGCCGTACGCATCCAAGCAGCATTACAGTCGGGTAAGTATCAGAGCGCAACAATCACGTGGTAGTGGTTTACGTTGCGCCCGTCATCGGTGACTCCTGCTACATATCCTCGTAACGGCGCGTCCAAAACTGCAAGAAAGACAGAAAGAAAAAAGATCCGCGCATGAGACTGTGAAACAATGCAACCTATAAGAATCCCACTCTCATTTACCAAGCCACTCCACATACCCCCACACACACACTGCACACAGGAACAGCAGGCAAGTGACAATGACTGCAAGAAAACAAGCGAAGGAATCCATAACGCAGAACTGTACGGCCGAGTTACAGTACTGTCGAGTGCCGAAGAACTGGCGGGGGCAGAGTCGTAGCTTAGGCCGTCCTTATTCTTGTTTATGTACTACAGTCTGTGCACAGTTGATTATTGGTATGCTGTACTGGGTGAAGTCCCAGCCCGTTCGTTCTTGGGAGCTCTATCTCCTGGCCGCACACACGTCTTTTACGCACAGCCCATGCACTCACCGTCATTCCATCTCCTGGCCAGACTCGATCACAAGCGCATTGCGGACGGCTTACAGAGCCGCCTCAATGGCCTTGATGATCTTCTGCAGCTTGTCTTCGTTGTCGACAAAGCCATCACCGCCCTGAGACAGACAGAGAGAGAACGGAACCGGATACGAACAGCAGTTACATGATAGTCGGTCCCAGAGACGAATACCGGAGAGCCAGCATTCGCACCAGAAGCAGGCCCCGTAAAGGTTTTATAATCACCAAAACCTGGTGCGTTGCAGCACCAGTTAGGGGAACGTCAGCCTACTTCCCCAGTCAAAGCAGAAAACTCAAATCCCGGCACACATGTAACAATACAGAAGCAATTTTATTGTCTGCGGAAGGCGCAAAGCGTGAAACTGCAAGTCATGATGCTAGACTGGTGTACATCTATACTGGCAAGGTGCGGTGTCACTGTAAACTGACCACACCACGAAGAGCTTAACGCCATGATCAATGCATGACACATGCCATGACAACTGCATCCATGCCACAGATCATCACAACAAACGGAACGCGGAACAAAAGTGCACTCCCATTCTGGTTGAACATGAACCAGTCCATGGCATCTACGCAGTTCGCATCCTTTCCAAACCTGCCACCAAACTGGCCTAACAGTATTCTACACTCCTACTCCTGCCCATCGCTGAAGCAATGATACCAAACAAGCTATGTTAGACATAGCAACTTGTGCTGGGATTACACCATTCAACAGCTTGCAATGCTGATTGTACACACACACACACAGGTAGAGAGAGGCTAGCAGGCATGAATCCAGGACGTACACACACAGACACACAGACACACAGGTAGAGGCTAGCCGGCATGAATCCAGGACGTACCAGCTTGGAGTGGACCTTCTTTCCGGCTACGGTTACTTCAAATTCGCCGGTAACGGTGGCGGACGCGGTGCCAGTCTGAACATGCGCAAAGTAGAAACACAATGCAGCAAACACACACACACACAGTTGGGTATGTGAACATAGTGAACAAAAAAACACACACACGCACACACATCGTACCGGTCCTGTTCGAGCCACTTCCCCAGGGGTCGGGTCACGTTGTTGTTGACTTTTATTTGACTTCACCAAGTGCACCGGCATTGTTGCCTTCTCACCGTCCCATGCTGCCATAGGTCCGGTTCTCACAGAAAGATGAAGGACGTGGGGCCCCATCACACACTTATACACATCATGACTGGGCCAAAGTATGGACGAACGCACTCCCAACATTGAAAGCATCCAAGCACTGCGAAGGACAACGTCAAGACACGGCCAGCACAAGCCGACGTTTACACGACCGACAGGATGAAATGCCGACGCCATTTTCTGGCCTGGTCAGATAACCAGCACCTCTAATAGTAATGAGCTAGTCCCTAACAACAATGTAAAGTACTAGGAGCATGGACTTCTATCTCCAAACCCTGGCATAAGGCCTCTGTGCTGGGGATGGGGGTCAGCGGGTCTGAAAACAGAAAATGGGGAGCAGTCTGAAAACCCTGAACGCCTATGAGCATGAACAAGCCAATATTCACGGTCAGCAAAATAAAATTTCCGATTCTGCTCTCCCGCGCCATGATGGCAAACCTGCGGCAGCACCTACACGACGTAAGGACACACTTCAACTACAGTCAAGAAACAACAGCGATTCTAGACGGTTCCATGCCATCTTATCATCCTATCCTCTTCGGGCGAGTGCGATCGGGCGTGTGGGAAGCGTTGTGCTCCGCAAGCAGAGGACACTGGGTAATGATGAAAACCTAACTGCCCGCAGTCCCGACCCCACGAAATACTGATTTGATGGTCTGGATGCCTTGTCCCAGTTGAAAAATAACTTGAAAAATCGAAAGAGAATCCAGCACCGGAGAGATCAACTTACGGAAGTCACTTTGTCGCCGAATTCGTCAGCCAAGCTCGCCGAAAGTTGGCGATACTGTAATAAAGCAATCCAGCACACAACAGAATGATCAAAAATCAGCGGCTCGAAAACAATTACTGAGTAGACTACTAGTTGATCGGCATTTCCGCACATTTATGGGTCACTCAAATCCACAAAGAACACCCTCAAAATTTGATTTGCAGGGCAGAAACATGACGGTACAATTAGATCTACACATCGCTGAGAGTTCTATTGGATCAAGATATACATGGCAGGCGAGATGAGAGATGAGAGAACAGCTCACAACGAAGGAAACTCACCTTGGGGGCGTACCCTCATCCACCACTGTTGAGCAAAAGAGCAGAAAAAGCAATCAACAACATGCCGATGTTGGGTCAAGAAAGAAGGGTTTAGAGAGCAACCAGCACACGCAACCTTACCAGTAGGTGACATCTACGGTGACAACCATGATCCTGGTAAAGAAAGTCTGACGAGTCAGGCGAATGGACGAAGACAAGTAATTGCAGCGAACCAACGGTAAGAAGAGACGAAAAGCCAGTGTGACAAGAAGAAACTGCCTCAACAGAAATAATGCGCAACGAGTTACGTCCCACTAGACTGTGAGCCAGGCACCAAAAATCCTGTTAGAATTATTTTTCGTTCCGACCTTGAGCGTACCGCAATTTTTTTCCCCAGTTCGTTTCATCTACTCGACTAGATACAAATTCAGCTTGTTGTCACTTCCAAATCAGGCACGAACATGCCCAAATCAGGGGCGTAGCCAGGATTGTGGCTGAGGGGGGTGCTCACTGGAAGTGTGGGCCTGCGGGAAAAAAAGGGGGGGGTCCGGGGGCCCTCCCCCGGAAAATTTTTCGATATTGAGTGCCAAATCCTTCATTTTTGCATCTATTTCATTATTTTCCATTCCACCAATGATTCAATAAAAAGTCAGATAATCGTATGAAACGCACAGTACTTTGCTACAGAAGTTGGATGGTAAGAGATTGACAGAGTGTGGTTAGACCCAGAATATAATACAGACAATTGTTGAAGTTCGTTCAATCCACGCAGACTCCGCCGGAAAGCGAAGGGCTAAACACCAGCCATGGCTTGTATACATCGAGCCAGCGGGGCTGAAAAGACCGGCCACCATTCTTCGGGAAAACAAACGAACTATCCGGTTGGACATGGTCCTTTAGCAGGGCAAACATCACGTCGTCGTCGAGCGGTGCACCCTTCGCAATGTCCTCCATAAAGGTACCGATGTCATTTCGGACGACTGCTACTGGTACAGCCAAGGGCGACAACTGCGGCTCTTCCGAGTCTTCGACTTCGACAATTTCGCAATTAGATTCGTCAGATTCGGAAATGGCACTGGCACTGCTGCTACTGGTATCTGGTCTCTTCGACTTCCCTCGACTGAAATACTTCAAGATCGACATTTTCATAAGAATCCATTCGACTTGCGGATCACAAAACGACGTTGCCACTTCTCTTTCACTTCTACCAAGTCTAGCTACACAAAGTGCGAGTCTATACCGGTAGTTGTACAACGCACGTGCAGCGCAGCGTCTTGTCGACGTCGAGTCTCGATCGCGGGCGGGCGTAGATCCACAGCAGTACGAAAATGGCACCAGAAATTTTTGAGGGGGGTGCTTGGGCACCCAAAGCACCCCCCCTGGCTACGCCACTGCAAATAGAAGGGAGAAACTACTTTGGCCAAATCAATAGCCGCCATCGACAAGAACCAAGGTCACAAGAGCTGGAGCGGACTTCTGTTGCACCACTGACCTCGCAAAAATGTACGGTGGTGCAAACCCAGCCGCATCATGATGATGTTTTTTCGTGGTTTCTATCGTATTGTGTGCAGTGCTAGTGCAGCGCAGCGGCAGTACGAACATCATCATGTCCATCATATCAGTGTGCTAGCATGCTTGCTGCTGATCAGTCAAGCTAAACTAAAGGTTTTTGTAATCAGTGTTGGAGCAGAAATACATGTAGAACGTACAATGTACCTTATCTCCGGAGAGCTAATAACTGTTTCGATCTTTTATACTGAAGTGCTTCAGACTATGATTAACATGAATATGCATGTATCTTTCCGCTTGTGTTCTGTACATACAATGGGTAATGTTTCAAAATAATTATTATTATAGTTCAAATAAACTACAGATTTGTATCTGCCGGTATACCCCTGTGGTCCTCTAACGTTACTGGTTACGGTCATTGCTCTACCCTTTGCACTTATAAGTTAGGAAGCAATACAGCAGTACTTACGAAGTAACGTTACATTGATCAGTTATATGAGTGCAAATATACAAATCCTGTATCCAGCAACTTCTTTAACATTGTTCTGCCATACTGTACATGTATATATTATAGAGATGTAGAGGGTGAAATGAGCATTGCACCGGATTAAACCAGATTCTCCTGGCTGTTGTTGATGGTCTTTTCCAACCGTTGTCTGGAGAATTCGCTGCTGCTGGGCTTTGTATATTGAATGCCACCTGTTTGTTCTGTACATTATCATTCCTGAAATGCATTTCGTGGTTGTCGGCACCATTTCATGTGCACTTACCTACCAGTGCATCGCCACTTCGAGTAATATTTAAAATGTGCACGTACTTTATACAATGCACTTATGCGTACTTGTAATTCTATAATTTTTGGCTCGTATAGTTATTTTAGCCCAGCTGCAATGACGCTTGATATACATTTCTTCGTCCAGTGCCGTTGCCTGCTGAAAAAAGTAAGAAACACCTTCAAAATAGCATGTTGCTATGTCAGTTGCTATGTAGTTGCTATGGAAACGGGGTATGTTAAGATAATTGCTTATTTTGACTTCCCTGCAAGCTTCCCAAACTGACAACAATCAAAAATGATCTTCTATTAGGTCTCCCCACATGCTAAAAGAACAAAATCGCGGTACACCCAAAGTGGGAACGAAAATCATGAATTCATGCACTTGGCTCACAGTCTACACATGTACCTCTGTAGAACCAGCATGCAGCGCCTCGCAGCTCGGCAATCGGCTCGGCCCGGGTTTTTTGGTTGTTGAAGGACGCACGCAGGCACAGGAAGTAGTAACTTTACCACTCCGTGGTCAGTTCACTACGCTACATTGTACATGTACACCATGGACCATGGTACACAGTCACAGTCTGTCTCTATCTCTTGCCCGTTGGCGTCTTGCTCGGTCTTGGCTGGAGCTCCGGAAGCTACATGATTGATTCTAGACCAGAGCGTAGAGCCGAGGCTAGCTATCTTCGTCCCCCGGCCCCCATATGCAGATATGCCGTATAATGCAAAATATAATGCATGACGTCCTGGCTTTACAAAAAGTACGAGAGTCGAGACGTAGACCTAGTACCTAGTACCTCACCTAAAAATTAATAAAAGATTGCAGCCTGGCATTCTTATTATTCTTATTCTCAATTCACGGATGACATGGTGTCAACCAATATTATGAATGAGGGCTACCAGCCATGGAATAAAAGAACAAGAAGGCAAAAATGCACACGCAAAATATGGCAAGTTAAATGAAAATAAAAATGAAATAAAAGTAAATCCATCCAAAACCCAAATGAATTGTACAGGTAGCATTATGTGATTTACTTTGGAGCTTGAAGTAATACACAAAGAGAATTGAAATCAATGATTAGTAAATGAAGATCGACGTACGTGTATATTTATCAAGCTTAATTAAAAACGCATTGAGGGTGTTGCTGGACTTTAATTGCTGAGGAAGGGAATCCCATAATTGGTATGCTAGGAATACAGGCGATTTGCTCATAGAATTGTTTCTTGCAATCGGGAAACGAAGCGAGTTCTGGCTTGTTGAGGATTCATTGAACCAGTTTAAGGAATGCTGCACATGCTGAGGGGCAGTGATAAGTTTGATTTTGTGAATGTATACGCAGGAGGATCGGTCAATGTAATGTTTCAGAGGAAATGTACAGCAATTTTCATAGAGAACGGCTATGTTGGTCTCGGGCGGCAAACGAAGTATTGCCCGGAGAATTCGTCGATGCACAATCTCCAGCTTTGCAAAGAGGCCATTACCAGCGCCACACCACACCACACAGCAATACAAGAAAATAGGCAAAACGTATGTATGATAAAAGGTCTTTCGGCATTCTGGTGAAATGTGGGGGAGATGGCCATAAAGAATACCGACGACTGAGCTTGCCCGCTTTTCCAGATTCCGGAAATGGTGGGACCAGTCCAATTTGCTATCAAGTGTAACGCCAAGGTGCTTGTGACGAGAGGTTATAGGTATCGGGGTAGGATCATCTGGGAAATGGAAAATAGAAGTTTGAAGATGTGCAACATCTGATGACGCGGTGGGGACGACACACATGATCTCGGTCTTGGCGGAGTTCGGCCGGAGTTTCCACCTTCGCATCCACTTGACCACACAGTCTATTCCTACCTGCAGGTCTTGACACGCGACGGGGAGCGACCGGTGACTAGCCAGAAGAGTGGTGTCGTCCGCATATAGCGAGGTGTTGGGAATTGCACCGATATCATTCACATACATTAGAAAAAGCAGGGGCCCCAGAATTGATCCCTGGATGACACCAGAACACACGCATTCAGGTTGGGACAATTGACCCGAGATACTCACTTGCTGTGAGCGACCACACAGGTAACTCTCCAGCCACTGCAGTATGCGTCCTTGAATCGAGAATGATGCTATCTTAGCCATCAGCCCACGGTGCCACACAGTATCAAAGGCTTTAGATAAATCGAAGAAGCAGACTAGGCTGTACTCGCTGCGATGGCGATTGTCATGCAGGGATTGAACAACTCGAAGTAGCTGCCAGGCTGTTGAATCACCTCGACGGAATCCGGACTGTGATTGATGGAGATATGGATCTACATGTGCATATAACTTGTCATACATTATTCGCTCACACAGCTTTGATATCGTTGAGAGAAGGGATATGGGACGATAGTTCGTCGGATCCGTTCTTGCGCCTTTGTTTTTGTACAGCGGGATGACGACAGCAGCTTTCCAGGCAGTTGGAAAAATACCGGTGGAGAATGACAGATTGAATAGCAGACTCAAAGGAAGCGATATCGACGGGCCAATCAATTTCAGCAGCTTGTGTGTAACTCCATCAGGTCCCGCAGCTTTCCGGAGCTTTAGACGCTTGATGCATTTATGCACGGCATAGGGCGTGGTGAAGATAGAGGTGAGCGGCGGCGCAGTCGAGGCGTCCTGCAAAGGCGGGAGCGTCCACTGAGGGTTATCCAGAGTACCAAATGCAATGAACTGCTTATTTAGGGCATTTGCAATGTCGTCAGGTGATTTGATGTCAGCTCCTCGGACGGTGAGGCGTGATACAGTGGGTTTTCCGGTGGAGTCCGACCGCAAACTTCGGATAAAATTGTGTAGATTCGGTGATGTTGTTTGGGCCTTTTGGGAGAATGAATTGAGAGTGCGGAGAAATCTGCGGTGCTCCAGCCGCGAGAGGTTACGGGTCTTATTCCGTTCCGCCTTATACACAGCTTGATTTTTAGGGGTTTGATACTTCCTGTACACACTGTACGAGTCACGCTTCCGTTTGATTTGTTCTCTTAATGCTGGTGTTAGCCAAGGAGTTTGGGCAGATTTCGAGGGTGTGCATCGGATTGTCGATTTGCGTCGCTCTAGATAGGACTGCAGTATCTCCTCCAAAGTGTCGTACAGCATGTCTGCAGATAGGGATGGATCACCCCGATGTATTTGGAGCACAGCCTCCCAGTCAATATGGAATAGACGCTCATTGAGCGCAACTGCCGTTTCATTCGGCACGGATGAGATGTTCAATGAAGCAAGGTTACTTCGATGTGGAAGCTGTTTCTGCTCAGAGACAGGAGACCGCGGGGACTGTGACATTTTAATTTTACCAACAACAATACAGTGGTCAGATTGGCCCATAGGTGCTTCAGCATGGAGGTCGTCAATGGCGTGGGGAATATCCGTTATTACAAGATCCAGAGCCGCTCCAGGGCCCGAGGCAGACTCGTGAGTGGGGAAGTTTACCAATTGCTCCAAAGAAAACATCTTAAGCAAGCATCGCAATTGGCGACCTGCTGTGTCGGTAATGTCCCCCTCCCAGTCTGAACACCTAGCGTTGAAATCCCCCATCAACACTACTGCAGATGTTGTAGCTTTGACAACAGTCAGACAGCGTTGGAGAGAGTTACAAAATGTATCAATGGCGGCAGCCGTGTTCGAGGGTGGGCGGTAGAGGGATCCAATTAGCAGGGACTTCCCGGATCCAAATGTCTGTGTTCCGGTACCCTTCAGGGGAAACTCAATCTCTACAAACGTAGCTTCGAAATTTGGAGCGTGAAGGTCCGAACGATGTACAACAGAAGGAAATACACCAGACTTCACCAGAAGAGCAACTCCACCATACGCCAAAAGTTCGGACCTGTTTGTTTTGTTTTCGGTTGTAGGTCTGTCTCTTCGATAACAGTCGTATCCTGGGATAGAGAAAATTTGAGCTCCGTGCAGCCATGTCTCAGTAATAGAAACGAACAGCGGGTCCCACGTCGAGCAGAAGTCAGTTAATTCCGCGACCTTGTTCCGTATTGATCTAGCGTTAAAGCAGACAAATGGGTGACTGGTAGCCGGTAATGGCAGGGGCTGGAATGTTTTCGCTTCGGGATTTAGCAATCTACCCGGGAATAGATCAGCATTTGCGTGTGAAGTTGTGTGCGTGGTTGTCGGTGCATGCCGGCAGGTCTTCGGCTACACTTCGTAGATCTACTGAGTACTGTTGCCATGGTTGCTGACCAACTGAAATGAGGCTAATGCATGTCGGGATGTCTTTGTTGACAAAGCTCACACTGTCACAGTAACTCTCTTCTAATTCTCCCATGAGGCATGATGAGTCCCATCCCCATCCCCGGCCCACGCCTTGCTTTCGTAATTCATGCCTTCCTAGAGTGAGGCTAGTATAATCATAACAGCAGTGTATGTTTGGAATCCATTCCTCCGCATAGCTATCACCACAGGATTTTCTAATCTTCACCACATCACGCATAACAGCTATTGCTTCCCGCTGTTCTAATTCTAGCGATGCCATAGGAAGTGGTTACTGTGTAGGCACCCACGACTCCATCCGCAATGAAGAACGCACGCAGGCACAGGAAGTAGTAATTTTACTACTCTTCTCTTTAGTTTACAGGCTCTCCAACATTCTCTATTCAATGACTATTGTACTCCACCTACATGTACATGTACTAGAATGTAGACAAGCATGCCTTCATTCCGCATGCCTTCAACCTGCAAACATGATAAAAGCCTCAGTCCTTTCTTTCTTCATCGTCTTACAATCTACATTGTGGAAACAACTTTCTGCAGTCTGACTTTTACTTCATCCTTGACTCGACCAAACCCGTTGCACCTGTTGGGTGTTGTCGTGTGTGCCCGCACTTAACTCAAGATCATTAATTTTCTGATCATGATTGTTGTCATGGTTGTCGGAGCGTGGCATTGCGTTGTTTAGTTGGTTGTGTTTCTCCACACACTTGTATTCTTACAGGTGGTACCGGTAACGCGAACGTGCCAACTTTTTATACAATCATGCACATGACATTGTGTAGATCTACATGTAACAGTATGTCATCATTTCGCCATACGAACCCATTTCGGCATTATTAATTTTGTAGGTAGGATGGGAAAAAAGTGAACCCCCTTGGAACAATATAAATCCTGCCTGGATCGACCCGCGCCTGTTGCGTGTGTCTACACAGTACATTTACAATGCCATGTACAACCATGTACACCAACCAACGTCTTTCTTTCCTTTTCTTTTTACTTTCTCTTCGGCTTCTTCAACTGTTGACGGAGATTCCTCAATTTAGGCTGCCTGTGGAGAATCCAAAAATACAGATAAATTCCGTTTCATCAGGCATCGCCGCTGAATTGTCCCGCCAATATGCTGTACATGTATGTCTCTCCAAATGGTCTCTGATCTGGGATACACAAACCACTAAAAGAAAAAGAGATATTGATTTTTTTTCTTTTTTTTAGTGATTGGTGGCTATAGCCGGCCCAGAGACCGTTTAGAGAGTGAAGATGTATGGATATAGTGGATGGCTACAGTGGAGTCTTCGCATTTTGAGAAATATGCTGTATACTACAAATACACCCAATGCTGAAGACAGCAAGCTGTAAATACAAAATACAGAATACCATTCCACACCGGGCCGATATCACACCACCACAGTCCACACGCCAGACTCTGGCTGTTCAACCACCATAATGCCTTTAAAATTAATTAATTGAGGAGGACAGTCACCTGCCTGCTTTTAGTTTGGAGCAAAACAGTTGGATACATTTACATGCCAGGAGACATTATGTACATGTACATGGGAGACGGTTGCCTGGGTCTTTATGCCAATATCAGTGTCATGCGTTGGGGATGGCGGCAAGGCTGGACAGACTGCAGACCTGATACATGACATTGTAATTATTTGCTCGCCACAGCTGTTTTCCTTAGTAAACAAGTAAGTTAGTTTCGTGTGACCAGGGATCCGGCAGAACACCCCAGCCGCAAATACAATGCAAATCACTGCAACATAACCACCTTGCCATGATCATTATTGTCTTGAAGTAGACTTATCAATGCGGCGACCCACGCCAGAAACGAGAAAATGGTTGAACGACATGTGTTGTATCTGATCATAATAGTTTTCTTATAACGGTACACATCACACAGGATTATGATGGAGACTGAATAATCATGTTTAAAAAAAATGGGGATCAAAATAGATTCGAGAGCCAGCTTCAAAAAACTGATGAAGATAAGAAAGTTTCGTCAACCATTTAATACCATGAATACTAGTACTAACTACTACGGTATGTGCACTACTCCGAGCAATCAGTATATTTCTGAAAAGCATTTAATACGCCACAATAAAAAAACGAGCCAGTCAGCAGTAGCAGCAGCAACAGCATGCAGCCATGTCAATCACACCACACCTATCGGCTTCGGTGAAACATTAAAAAAAATTAATACTATTTTTTTCGAACTGACAAAGTAAAACAAAGTAAAATATAAAACGACCATGGAGTCGGGAGGTGCTGAAACGGGCACCGCTGCAAAATTAGCACAGCCTCGAATCCTGCTCGCTGTCCTGATGAGCGATCCTATCTAGTCTGGTATCTACGGCACTTTGCACTAAACATCCTGCGCACGAATGTAGGCAAGCAAAATAAACTAGGCGAACGAGAAGACTGAGAGAGCGAGAGAGAGAGAGAGAGAGAGAGAGAGAGAGAGAGAGAGAGAGAGAGAGAGAAAGAGAGAGAGAGAGAGAGAGAGAGAGAGAGAGAGAGAGAGAGAGAGAGAGAGAGAGAGAAGGCCAAAGTGCTGCTCTTTGCTGTCGAGCTACATCAATACGGACGGCCAGCATCGATTGATAACTGAGAAGACGAGACGGTGATAGTTGACAGGCTACAGCTAGCTGCCAGCTGAATGCTGGCTGTACTGGGGCTAAGAAAGAAAAGACGATAAAGTCAGAGCGGTCTTTGGGCAAGTTATATTCTGATGGCCAGCATCGCTTGGAAACCAAAAAAAAGAAAGAATAAACGAAGTAGACTTAAGATGACAGACGAGAATCAAGTTAGGTCTGGGAAGGGCGGGTGGGATTGGGGAAATCCCCAGCAGTAGTTCAGAAGCGATGAAATGTTTGATAAGTCCGGTTACGTCATTCGTAATGATAAGACACGATGATGACACATGATCAAGACTGAGACAAATTGACGGTTAAAATTAAGCACCAGCTGATGGGAGATACAGAAGTTCAGTATGTGCCCGGGTACTGCCTAGTGGAATTTGTCTCTATGAAGCGGCGACATTTCTCCATGAAGACCATGACCGGTGTACGGCACGGCATGAATACAAGCAACATTAGTCGTGGTTTTTCCCGCACGAGTTTGTTAGGTTCGGAAAGACCTGCCACAGGAAACTGGTGCAGTGTCATAGATCCATGTCGTTGATATGATGGCTACATAGTGGTCGGTTAGCTACCACCGGGAAATACATCCCGCCCGAAGAATGTATCAGGAGATGATGCACACAATCAAACAAACACACACTCACTCACTCACTCTCTCTCTCTCTCTCTCACACACACACACACACACACACACACACACACACACACGATGCCTCCCATGTCACTGCGCCAAATTAAAACTCAGTTGGCTAACGCCAGGGGACGCGTACGGAAACATAAGCCTGGTCCGTCAGTTGGCTGGATGCACAATTCGTCCAGAGATCGCCCCTTTGACAACGGGCAGAACGATACTGAAATCGGTCAATTCTTGGAACTCACTGGTAGGCATCTTGAACGTGTACCTGGAAGGAGAGTAGAGACCAACAGTAGTATACATCCAATCAGGTGATCATTACATTAACATCCACGATACAGTACTGCTGGGCGCCGAAGAACGGAGCGCCGAACAACGACCAGGCTAGAATTTTACCCAAGTACAGCATACCAATATATACACGGAGACTCAACTGGGCATAGACTGTAATTATATGAAAATAAGAACGGTCTAGGCTAGACCCCCCCCCCCCCCCCCCCTAGTTCTTGGGCGACCGACAGTACCAAAAATGCAGTCATACGTGACAGCAGTCACCCAGTGATATCCAATCAGGTCAGTAGTATGTTAAACCTCTTTAGGACGAATACCAAGCGACCGATGATATTTGTTCGCAATAACGGAAGTTCCCTTTCCAAAAAAGTGACAGGAGAGTAGTATTATTCCCACTAAACTCGCCCTAAGGGTGCCTGGTAGAGCAAAGCGCCCTTTGGTGTCCGGAAAACTAAGGTATGTGTGTTCAAGATACTCAATCTGCGGACAGCATGCTGTTTCGTTCTTTTTGAACTCATCAGCGCAGCACAGAGGAAATGAGGCCGAACCTGATAGCAATGGAAATAAAAATTTCCAATCAGGCCCGAACGTAGATATGTGTAAGGAAGCTGGACGCTCCCACGCTGGAGCTCGTGCTTTTCCCGCCGACCTGACTGGACACTTGACCGACTCACGACTGCCATACAGAGCACACGAGCGAGCTCCAGTGTGGGAGGGTCCAACTTCCTTATACAATTATTGTGAAGAGAGAGAGAGAGAGAGAGAGAGAGAGAGAGAGAGAGACAGAGAGAGAGAGAGACAGAGAGGGAGGGAGGGAGAGAGAGAGAGAGAGAGAAAGAGAGAGAGAGAGACAGACAGAGGTTACTACTACTATTTCGTGGATAGGTGTAGTCAGAGAGTTACTTACGTGCAACCAGCTTCGCAGCACAGCATTGCAGCGATCTCTCCCAGCGTCATCTGGTGCTTAGGCAGGCGTGCCTTGGTGACGCGTATCGGCTTCTTCTCGCCGCGCCTGAAGTGGCCAACCATCAGGACCGGCATGATGGGCCCCTCGCAGCTGCTCACCGACACGGTGTCGGCGCGACGTGCTTCTGTGCGTTCACGCGTGGCCCTGCGACTGCCGGTGTTGGTACGGCTCTGGCTCTTGCCGCCGGCGCTGCCTCCACCGCTGCTTGTTCTACTCGCAACGGCGTGCGTTCGGCCGCCCGTCGCCGCCGGTGATAGCGGCTGGCTGATGGTGGGAACGGCCTCTGCGGAAGTACCTTGGCGGAACGGTGGCGCGCTGCCGTGGACCGTGGTCTGCGCACCGACTTCGGTCGATGCTCTCGGCTCCATGAAGTGTTCGTTGAACGAGAGATTACGGGGCTGCAGTGTGAAGTCAATGAGCGTGTCCTTTGCAGGCGGGCCAACCGTCTTGCCTTTAATCTTGCTGGAGAATAGCTTGAGGCGCTGCATGTCCGCTTTGTATTTCTTATAGTCCATGCGAACTTGCTTGAGCTTGTCGTCCAGGCTCAAGCCCTCGAAGTCGGGCACATCCTTGCGGGCCTTGCCCAGGATATACTCCATGTCACGGCGTGCATCCTTCTCGTGGGCCACCGTTGACATGCACAGCTCCATGAGGCACGCCTCAGAGCTCATGAAACCAGAGTCCTGGCTGACGCTGCTGAGGTTCGTGGACGATCTCGAGATTGCGCTGGCGGAGGCAATGTTGCCACCCATTGCTGCTGCTGCTGCTGCTTCGACCACGGACGGTTTCATGTCGACGGCGCAGCTGCTGCTGCTGCTGCGTTCCCGGAGAGATGTCACGCCTGTCGCGGCGGCTTGGGAATCATCTACCCTAGGAGGGAGATTAAGACCATCTAGCCGAGGGAGATTGCTGGTGGAATTGTCAGCAGCAGGCAGCGGACATTGCATCAGTGGCACACCAACTCCGCTCATGGACCTTTCATCGTCACCATCCGCCGCGTTATTCCAATCGGCGATTATGTGAGGCGACTCACCGAGACCACTCATCCTGTCAGAGTCGAGGGCAATGGGACTTTCGGAAAGTGACTCGTCGCGGATGGAGGCGATATCGCTCGAGTCCGCCTGCAGGCAGAATTAGCAGCGCATGGCAGAATGCAAGCATGCGCAACCACCAAATGCACACATACATGTAGACGCACGCACGCATGCACACACACATACACATAAATACACCCAAAGAACAATCTCGGATCTGTCAGATGCACAATCGCAAAGATGTCATCCCTGCATTCAGTGCCATTCACGCAGGCATGCAACCAGGAAGGTGCACACTTACACACACTATCCACCGGAAGAGAATTACTCCCTACTCACTCGTTTTCTGGCTTGCGCCATCATGAGGAGAAAGATGCTTACATTGCCCACAATTACACGCACCGTATTTCCAAGATTGTAAGTCGCACCCCCCCCCCCCTTTTCAGGTTTGAGCCAGTTTGGATAAATCCAAATCAGAACGTAGTAAGACACATCCCCTTTTTTACCCTTGCATTTTAGTGTACAGATGTGCACCTTACATTCGGGGAAATACGGTACACACACACATACACATACTCATGCACATAAACACACACACACACACACACACACACACACACACACACACACACATGCGCGCACATACACACATGCACGGGCGCACACATGTACGTGCACCCACACAGACACACACTTACACACACACACACACCTCACACACACACACACACACACACACACACACACACACACACACACACACACACACACACACACACACACACACGCACACGCACGCACACACACACACACCTCAGACACACACACACACACAGATACACCACACACACGCATCAATAACATTGCCAGCCCGTTGCTTACGTGATAGAGAGCATCAGCAGCAGCAGCATCTTGCAGTACGTGATGCGGTAGAAGTGGCGCAGCCTGTTGGACAAGCACAGACGGTGCTTGTGTGAAGGGAGGAAATGACTTGAAATCTAAGGGCTGGCCGAAGATGGGGTCGGTGAAAACGCTGTGATGTGCGTACTCTTCGAAACTGAAATCGACCCCAGGTGTGGCCTTGCCTGTCCGTATGGCTTTGAGCAGGCCGTACTCGATCCTTTCCACTAACTGCTGCGGTGAGGGTGTCGGCTTGGGCAAGCGGGGCTGAGGCATAGATAGATAGAGAGATATATATAGATAGATATATAGATAGATAAAGAGAGAGAGAGAGTGTGTGTGTGTGTGTGAGAGAGAGAGAGAGAGAGAGAGAGAGAGAGAGAATGAGAGAGAGAGAGATAAGTTAAGTAGATAGATAGAGAGAAAGAGAAATGAGAGAGGTTAGACCAAGATAAACAGGAATGTGCGACCCTCTTGTTTCAGTGATGACCACGCACAGTTTCAAGGGTATGTGTGTGTGTGTGTGTGTGTGTGTGTGTGTGTGTGTGTGTGTGTGTGTGTGTGTGTGTGTATGTGTGTGTGTGTGTGTGTGCATGCGTGTGTGTGTGTGTGTGTGTGTGTGTGTGTGTGTGTGTGTGTGTGACCCGTGCTCGAGCCGTTGGAAATGTACGCAACAGTGCCCACCCTCTTCACCAGGGATCGCACAAACCCTGAGTTTTGATGGATCTGTACGACTCCTGGCTCTTGACCTTTGGTCGGTGTACGAGATGCACGAACAGTTTTGGTGGGGTGAGTACTTTTCATGTAGTACTGAATGTGGTAAGTAGGACTCACCCATCCACCCCTCCCCACCTGGACCTACTCAAAGGGTAGCGGAGGTAACGTTAGGGGCAGCATCGTTCATTTCGTACTCGGACCCCCTCCCCTCCCTCTGAAACGAACACAGCTTGCTATGCTGGACGACGAAAATGGCATGCATGTACATGTCATATGTACAGTGTCGGTCGACTTGCGATTTTGGCTCGCACCCCCCCCCCCCCCCCCCAAATGAATCATGTTCGTTTCAGGGACGACAAAAAACTTTTGCGACGACCCCTTAACCGCACACATTCGTTTTCCACAAAAAATATCCGGATAGGCGAGGGAACCGGATAATTGAACACATATGCTGTATGTGTAAGCATGGCATATGCTGTAAATCGGTAACCAACGATTTTCTTCCGGATGGCGAGGGATCCGGATAAACGAGGACCGGATAAGCGAGGTCTGAGTGTACAAGCGCATTGCACTAGCACAACACAAGCAACACAATCATAACGACTGGCGAGTAGTCCAAACCAGAGTGAGTGCACTTGATTCACATGCGGTCCCAAGGGATACGGTTTGTTAGAAACGACACCTGTTTGCTATACAGGGGTCAATTCTGTATGGGCTCAAACGGAGAAATGGGCACTGGTTTGCTGAATCAGGAGATTCGCTAGTTCCTTGCAAGTGTAGTCGACTGTATATACCAAGCAATACCCAGTGCAAGATGCTCAGGTCTTTATAGGCCGTAGCCCGCATGGCATGGGGGGGGGGGGGGGGGGGGGTGTACCCTGCCCCCCCCCCCCTAAATTTTTCGACCTAGGTTCATGCACGCGCATAATAGAGAGGTTAAGATGCATGTTATTTCTGACGTGACGCGAAGGTTCAGCCCACGTTATTTGGCTCGTGCGTCGGAAATCGACGCGAGCGACCAGCAGCTCACGTCGAAATTTGGAGTGTCACGCCAAATTTGACGTGAAATTGCGCGTCACGTCGGAAATAACGTGCATCTTAACCTCTCTAATGACCATGTATGACATGCACCTGCCATCCTGCACATATGAGGCCGTGCCCCCCCCCCCTCCCCCCTGAAAGGGGGACCAGCTATGCCCCTGCCTTATACGGTGAGGCTCTTGCAATCTCGTTTGCAGCTTACCCCTTTGGGCAAGCGATCGTCGCGGAGAGATTGCCTCTCCTCCCAGTCCTGTCGCGCCTGCTTCACTTCTTCCGAGTAGCCTGCCTGCGCGTCGCCGCCGTCGTACGAAGTCGTGTCGCAGTAGGCCGCAGTGGCACGCTTGTCACCGCCACCGGTCAAGTGTGATGCTGCATCCGAAGTGTCCAGCGGAGGTACTTGCGACGATGGCCGCCCGCCAATCCGCGGGGGGTGAATGCCCGACGCCGGCGTTGGCGGTAACCTGTAGGAGTTGCTGCTCCTGCAAACAAACAAACAAAAACAAAAAAACGTACAACACGCATACAGTCGTACTGAGGAGACGGCAACGAAAACATTGTTTTAAAACAGTCTACACACCAAGTCTGGCGGTTACTACATAGTCAACTTTCAGCATCAGCTTTCGACCCGCTCATTTGCTTGATGTTTCCTCATCACGTCAAGTGAGGCGGCCACGGATCAGGCTAACTAATTTACAGTTTTGGCCTGTTTATCACTGATTGACTTTGAACTCCAGCACACATGCAATAGCCAACCTCAGCCACAGCACCAGCCACACGACTCCCAGTTGCTGCAGATGTTGGCAATACGACTGTACTGTATTGCTCCGCACATCGGTTTTGATCATACAGATTTCATCGGTGACAGTACGTGGCATGTGGCCTCTAATATTCCAATATTCATCGGTGACGGTTCTAAGAATTCTGAATGGAACTACAATGCTGGCAACTGAAACCAGACCCCTGAGCGGTGCGCTCACATCACAAAGACCCAACACGGGATAATAAAACTACGAAATAGGGACCGCTAGAATGTGAACGCATCGCTAGGGGGTCGGATTTCAGTTGCCAGCACTGTAGTTCACACAGAGAATATCTAAACAGAAGAAACGTCATACCGTGCATGGTACCGCCGTACAGTACCATCGGTCGCCGAAGAACTGGGGGGGGGGGGGGGGGGGGGGGCGGGTCAGCCGCCTAACCTAGTCCATTCAGAAAAAAATGAACTTCTAGCTTTTGGCCATAAATGGGTCAAACGTTGAGTTTTTTTAGAATTTTTTTCTGCAATCCCATATGGAATCCTCTTCCAATTATGTTTCTGAAGTTTTTTTTTTCCAAAAAGCAAGCCATAGCAAGAATAGGATTTCGGCCAGGTTTTGCCCCAAAAGCACTGAATTGGGAAAAACCATCAAAATCCAGGCCGTTTGACCCCGCCTGCAACAGTGCATTCTGCGGTTCGAACCCCAGTTCAGGCACCCTTTTTGGACCCTTTTTCAAATTTCAAAGTTCGCAGCACTGCACTGTGTACGATGAAATCACGAAAAATCGCCAAATACGGGAGCTCGCCAGAGCCAGGACCCATCTTTTTATGAATGGACTGTAGACCGTTTTTTCTTCATGTAGTAAAGTCTATGCAGAGTCGAGTCACCGTGCGTATATTGTCATGCTGTGCTTGGTCAAATTCTAGCCTGGTCGTTCTTCGGCGCCTGACAGTACTGTTCTGTATCACATGTACAGTATTTTCCGGAGTAGAATCCGTACTTTCAACACTTAAAATTCACCCGGGGGGGGGGGGGGGGGGGGGGGGGTGCGGATATACTCCCATGATCAAAGTAGCGGTGATAAAATAGGGAAGATGTCAGTATTTCGTGGCAAAAAAATCCGGGCGCGGCTTATACTCCAGTGCGACTTTTACTCCGGAAAACACGTTAACTGTGGCAGGTATTGTCTCTGGCAGTATTGTCTTTAGCAAGAGTTGGAACCTTTTCAACCACACTGTATGGATGAGGTTTTCGGTTCAGTATTGGTGTTTTCCCAGGCCCAACAAGGCATCTCAATAATGGCAACAACTGATAGGGATGAGGCACTTGGGTATTGAGGCAAGGCAGTCAACACTCCAGCTCCATATTAGTCCGGTTTGTTGATAGGGTAGAGGCTCTAGAGGACCCGACACAAGGACAGACAAGGAGCCGCTAAAGAGTATTGAATGGCCAGGACATGTCCCCGTATTCAGCTTGACAGGATCAGCCTTGAGTGGCCACTCACCCTGGGGATCCAATGGTGAGTGTCAGGCCACTCAGGACACACACACACACACAACAAATTTTTAGCTAGCTCTGAGCAATGCCGCACACGTACACAGGAAAGCACCCAGGAGCTGATAATGGATGATAGGTTTTTGGTGATCAGAAGATCTCAAGGGCCGCACTAGCGTAGACACTCCATCTCATCAAGATCCCGTTACTAACTGGGCAGGCGCCTACACGACACTACACAGACACCGACCACACACTAGCCTCACCATCACCATCAAGTGCAGGGACAAGGAAAATTCAGAAAGACAACAATCGTCATGTGTGCACGTGTGTACACACATGTGTGTGTGTGTGTGTGTGTGTGTGTGTGTGTGTGTGTGTGCGTGTGTGTGCGTGTGTGTGTGTGCGTGCGTAAAAAGTATTACAAGGCTTATGGGGACGGGGATGTAAGCAAAGCCTAGTAGAGTTTGCACGTCCGCGTTACACCCTGCTACACAAATGTGCTGAGAAACACAACCAGCTTAGGAAGTAAAACACAAAAAGGGCCTGCTGTCAATTGTCCAGTGCGGTGTCTGAGTTGAAGGAGACCTGCGTGGCTGGTACGGGTTCGGCCTCAGTCCGTTTACGGTTTAGCTGTTTTTCAACAGCCCTAACAACGGTGACACTAAGCTGATCCCATGGTGGCTTTCCTTCTCACAGCGGCTGACACATGAAAGTTGTCACGATCACTTGAGAAAAGGAAGACATGCTTGACCGTGACACTCTAGAAATCCCACAATCACCGCTGGCGCCAGTTTCCGACACACAGACACCAAAGCACACCAACTCCCAGCATGGGACGTGGTACGTGCACTGCTCAACACCCCCACGTCTCTGTGAGTACGAACAACATACATGGTTGTATTGTTGTGGCTGGAAAGCCCGCATTGCCAGCAGCACCTAAGAAATAACAGCAACTCCATTTGCTAACACAAGCAAAGGGTGGCCCTGAGAGCATGTGTTTTTTAATTTTTTAATTTTTATATATTTTTTTACTATGTTCACATACCCAACTCGTAAATAATAATGAAAGACAATGGTACTGAGACAAGTGGGAACCATTGCTTGCGTACCCAGATTATAGTACAGTATTATATATGTACACATTGAAGTTCAAACATAGGAACACACGTGAAGTTTACAGGTAGAGTATCAATGTGGTATGATAGATCAAGGGCATTGTGCACTCGCCCAACATACTAACAATGGTTGCCCCCCCCCCCCCCTCCCCCCTCTCCCCACTGCTAGTACTGCAAATTTTAATAGCACTGACACTAACTACAGCATGGCGGCAACCAGCTTTTTTGGAGTGCAGTCAATTGCCCGAGCAGATGGACGAGATGCGCACCCTCTCCACAACAACAGCCCTGCTATTCAAGGAGCTGACACTATTGAATTCCCTCAGAGCCTTGTTTGAAGCAAGCCTGCACAAGGTACTAACCCTATGACTGCCTGCCTGACTATGTTGTTGGCTGAGCTTCATTGCATCATTGCCTGGCGTGGCACCTGACTATGGCAGTCCATGCTCTGCTCACAGTAGTCATAGTCCCCTCCTTTGCATTGGCTTCTGCCATTGGACGGTGAAAAAAATAAAAAAAATAAAATAATAGTGGACATACTCTCCACAGACTATATCAAGTATTTCAAGACTATCTATTAACTTAAAGTGCAGCATTGCACATGAAGGGATCCCCAGACCTAGATGCTAGTAGTAGTAGTGGTAGTGCTAGTAGTAGTGGTTCCAGTCCACCACCAGGACAATGCTAGCATCCACACTACACGCACAACAGCTGACCAGTAGCGCTGCTGCCGAGCAGAACAGTGTCCTGGATGGACTGTGCTATCCTAGACTAGGGAACACATGCTGGGAAGCATGAGAGTGACAGGAAGCTAGCAATAACGCCAATATAAACAATCAGCACTGCTTTTTGACATGCTCCCATTCCACAGTTCAAGCGCCACCCATGGCCTAGAACCTGCTACAGTGCTACATAATGTTACATGGTAGTATTGCTGGGTTTCAGCAACCAGTGCACCCAGCGCCGCCAAGTCCCACATTGGTGGACCCACCAAACTCCTCCCCACCCCTCTCTCAACAACTGATGACATCTCTCTTCTCCTATGGGCTATGCATGGCAACGCCAGGAGCGTGCTTTCCTGGACAATGACAGTGCTGTGCACTAACTTTGTTGACACTCCCGCGTCTCCGCAGCATCACAATGCATGGACTAAAGATGTTGATATTTCAGTGTGCTCTGCTGGAAAATGCCACGGACTGAAGATGTTGATACATTGCACCCCAGCATGCTTTGCAAGACAATGACCTGCACTAAAGATGTTGATACCTGGGTCAGTTCCTGCTCTCAGGACTGCACAGCAGGGGGCTGGCTAGCTGCAGATACGATAGCAACCAGTCCCAATCTCAGCTACTACAAACTGTCAGACAGACTCAGGTACTGGGTAGAGTACTACTTAGATGGCACCCAATGCACCATCCAAATACACACATGATCGTCAGGGACTCAGTTTGAGTTCTGATGCTACACATAATATACTAGTAGTATGCTCCGGATCCAGTGAGTACCTTACCTTTCACTCCCCACTTCACATTAGTCTAATGATTAGACCCTATACTATTGCACAATATGGTCGGAGATACTGATACATATGCAGCACTAGTACTACCCATCACTGATGCTCTGAGCACACAGTGTACCATGTACTTGAACTTGGAAGTCCACCAGTAACTACAGCATGAGTACAGGATAGTGTATTGCATTGGTGCTCCATCTATTTGCTTTTCACATCTCTATTTCAATTTTCCTAATAGAGATTGCGTCAAGTACAGAACAGTGTCTACAAACAACATAAGGTCATCTGTCACACAGGACAACATTACAACCAGTACTAACCTTACTGCTGGGCATAGCAGAAAGGAAAAAAATAAAATACTGGACTGAGGCAGAGAAACTCTAACAACAAAGTCTCTTCAAGCGATTTGTTACACTCGTCTTCATTTACATCCACACGCAGGGTTCAGAGTACTATCGCAGGGGACATTCTCGTAACATGACCATGTTGAACTCTTGAATTCTTTATTCTCACGATGGCACCATCGCCAATAGTTGTTGTCATCGTTGTTGTTGTTGTTGTTGTTGTTGTTGTTGTTGTTCTATTTTAATTCGCAGAATCAAACGGGCAGCAAGCCCAATTACATCAGAGCGAATGTGTATAGTGCGTGCATGTAAACACCATAGAAGCAGGGTTCTAAGAGAATGCAGGGAGTTGAAGTTCAGAACCAAGGATTGCGAGACGTACTTGGTCTCTCTTTATAAATTACGGAAATCTGTCTGACATGGAGCAAAGTGTTGATGTAACTGTTAGAGGGACCCAATTTGTCAAAGACCGACCGTGTCCTGAACACGACCTTGCGATGGAGTGGAAATAGAAGGCGGGAGAACTCACAGAGTTTGCAGAAACTAGCCCGCGTCAACTACATATTACATATTACGTATTACACACACACACACACACACACACACACACACACACACACACACACACACACACACAAACATAGTACACTCACACACATAACATACATACCTGTATCACACACAGAAACACAACACAAATTACATCACAAACATATTGCCCATGCAACACTCAGTTATTCTCATGTGTGCTGTCAGCTCACGCCTTCAAGTTTTACATGGGGCACATTCATACGACATTTTTACACAGCGGATACGTGGCGACGTGACATTTTTGTGTCGTAAGATATCGGAACGAAACAAATCTAATCTTCGCTTACACTACTGATGCTGGCACCGCATTCATATCCATGGCATTGAAACTGACAACACATTACATTTTCATGTACATTACACACAGAACACATCATGCATACACATACATACAATGCACAGACGTCCTGTTGTGGTTGAGGGTACTACTAGTATTCCAGGCACCTGGTGTCCTTCGTCAGCGTCAACAACTGCCAGGGTGACTGACACGTGTGTCCATCTGTGTGCGTGTGTGTGTGTGGGGGGCGGGGGGGGGGTACAAGGCCATACATACAAACACACAGATCACACCTCTCCCATACATACAAACACACAGATCATGCTTCCCCATACATACAAACGTACAGATCACACTTACCCCATACGTACGAACACACATATCACACCTCTCCCCATACATACAAACACACAGATCACAGATGGGTTTCTCAAGGGCCTGATCAGTAAGGGATGGAGAAAAGTCATCCCAAAGTGGCCTTGGGATCAACTCAAAACCTACTACACAATGGTCAGCCAAGCTACTGCAACAACCAGCGAAACTAGAAAGAAAAAAGAAATTCACGGTTCACGTGAGACGCGGCTGGAGACCGAATATTCCGCATCCGCTGGGACGCCACCATCCTTAAAGATCAAGGCACAACCAAAACTAGAGCCGACACAAACTCTTCTTCACACAAACTATTGCAGTGTATTTCTCACTCTTTACAAGATATATTGAAGTCAGGTTGGTGCAGGAAAAGACACACTACACATACAAATATACTACACTGGAGCGTCAGTGCAGAACCACTCCTGTTGCAGGCAAAGTGGCCGAAAGAGCACCTGCGGGGCCTGCACGACCGCACACTCTAGTACCAAGAGAAGGCCGCCACCACCACCGCCCTATTGCCAGCGCGGGGAACCATCAAGGTACACACTTTACAGCAGTCTTCACATACTAGTACTAGTAGTAGTGCACAGCGGAGCACTCTACACCATGGGCCATTCAGGCGAAACCTGACACAATTAGATCCATCCAGCAGCACAGTGGCACAAGCTGCACAGTGTACTGTACCCTTTCAACACGTCAACATGCTGCACGGCTAATGCAATAAGAAAGCTCCCAGCGCAAGCTGGTCAGGAGTGGAAAAGCCAAGAGGTTTGAAGAGCTAATAAGCTAGGTTAGCCCCAGTGTAGTGGCTTGGGGGAGATGCTGCCCAACAAACTACCCCTGCTGAACGCCGCACTACAGAGTACATTATAGTAACATAATTTTGGCTACTGGCATCATCAGAAAGGGTGGACAAGGTCAAGGCATGGTGCCATTGGTGAAAGAAACACCAAGGAATGCCATGTCATGGAATTCCTTCCGCACATTCCCTAAAGATATTAGAGCTAAATGCAATAGCCGAAATGTCCTCTTCAGCCACATTGCAGCAGTGAGACAAATTTGTTAATTCAGCACCCTCCCTAATCCGTAGCAGGAATGGCGCCGAATAATGAAGGGATCACTGCACTGCCATAGTGATGTTTTCTGATGTCAGTACATGTAGCTGATGGCAACATGGTAGATTTGCTAGCGAACTTCCCTGGTTCCATTCATGCATTAGTTTCAGGAGCAAGTTTCCCTTAGGACATGCTACTGTTTCCACACACGGTCTCTATCATCCAGTGCAACACCATCTATCTTCCACCGTGTCTCCTAAACAAATGCCTACATCCATGCTGCTCAGAAATTTCCGTTCATCTATTCAACAGTTCAAAGGGTACTAGTACCCCATAAACAGGTCGTAGACCTGTGAGACTGCGCTATTCAACATGTTATAATAATGATAATGCTAACATGCATGTTATACCCATACTACTGTAGAGGCAGACAATTTCGTCCAACTCCAAAGAATAGGAGTTCGTCCGGTTGAAAATTTCGTCCATGGATCATAAGAGCGCATAGAATATTTCTGCTTGTACAGTATCCCATGCTACACTCATGCTATCTTCGCAACACTCAAGTTGCCATGCCAAGCCTCAATAACACATGTAGCTAGTTCACAGCTTATCACAATCTTCCCGACTGCAGCCTTTCGTTCCGCTCCTCAACAATTTCCCTAGTATTGTCGGTACAATGTTGTTGCTCGGTCTAAACAATAACACTTCACTGCACTTAGAGGATTCACCCAAAGATAGTATATGTACACCGCTTGGTAGAGTTTACTCTCCAGTAAGAATTGTGTGTGTGTGTGTGTGTGTGTGTGTGTGTGTGCGTGTGTGTGTGTGTGTGTGTGTGTGTGTGTGTGTGTGTGTGTGTGTGTGTGTGTGTGTGTGTGTGTGTGTGTGGTTGCTATAAAGAGAAAATCTGTGGGTGTACATCCAGTGCATTTGCAGCTTGGCGCGCGTCTCTTGCGACGGGCGCATACATGGTGCATGGTACATGGTGTGTGTGTGTGTTTGTTTGTTTGGAAAGGGATCTGCGTGTGCTCATACTCTACAGGAACACACACAATATGTACTGTTGAATGGGGAAGACCCAACCTTTCACCCACTACACCACATGTACAATGAATCACATACTCCAAACTACAAAGTATGACCAACACACGCCTAACTAGGAGAAAGTGCTGTTGTCACAAGTCATCGTTGTTCACTGTGGGATGACATGATAATTTTAAACATCAAACTATATCCTCACTCCTGTGGGGAAACTCAGAGAGGACATACGAAATCCAGCATCTCTAAGCCACAGTTACATATCACCAAGCCACAGTTACATATCTCTCAATACTGGTCAGTGCCCACAGCCTCTCTGCAGGCGCGCATACAACCGGGATGTACGGCTTTCGTACGCCTGCAAGGCTGCTGGTACTAGAATACGCCCGCAATCGTCCAGGTCGGCTTTGTTCCGCCTGGGTTTATACTTTACACATGTACTGTAGATTTGTTGAAGCGCAATGCGTGCTGAAATACCCCCCCCCCCTCCCCACTCCTCTCCCCCGTTTGTCGAAAGAATTTTCAGACTAAATTTAATGGAGGACTAAATGTCGATTTTTCTAGCCTGTCGCTACGTTTCAAAATCCATGGACGAAAACTTCACCAGACAAATAGTCTTTCTTCGGAGTTGGACGGAATTATTGCTGACTAAATTATCTGCGTATACAGTATATCTCCCCCCCCCCCCCCACAACCTCCCCGCCCGTCATATACTACACACAGCGTTGACAGTTCAAAACAGCGTGTCTTTCGTGCACGCAAACAGCGGCGTACGGCTCAAGAGGGGAAACTTACGTCATAGAGTAGCCGGAAATGTTAGAGACGCAGCTCATCGTGTCGTCGGTCCCGCGCCCGCTTCGTGCCAGGTACATCTTCGGCTTGACTGTTACCGTTGATGCTTCGCTGTCATCACAACTGTACGCGCTGTTGCTATGGAACGACACCGGCGAGCCCTCGCGCAGCGCTTCTAGATTGTAGCCGCGATCCAGCTGCGGCTGCATGGCGGCGGGGGAAGACGGTCCCGCACCGGGACTCTGAGAAGCATTGTCTGAATGCGACGACACCACGTCCATTGGCGTGTCTGCGGCGGGGAACGAACCGCGGTGGAGATGCATCGGCGTCTCCTGCTGCAGCTGTTGCAACTGCTGTGCCGACGGCGGAAAATGCCTATGCTGCTGCTGCGGTGACTGCCATTGCTGCGACGGCTGCCGTCGCGGCTCCAGAGAGCGGTGGTGAGGTTGCTGGTGTTGTGGTGCACACGCGGAAGCACTGGCAACCTCCTGGTCTTCTCTGGTTCTTCTGCTCGTACCCCTGTAGCCACCGTGGGCGAGCGAGCTGCTTGACGCCCTCAAGATGCGATGGCACGTAGGACATATGGTGGGCGCGTCCCCCGTAGTCAGCAGATGTGATTGGTATCTAGCACAGTCCGCACAGGTGACAACATCAGCTGCGCTGCCGGGTTGTAGTTGCTGCTGCTGCTGCTGAGGCATTTGTTGCAGAGCCAGAGGCAGTTGTTGCTGCAGCAGATGCTGCTGCTGCTGTCGAGGCAGATGGTGCCGCTGAGGCTGATGATGCTGCTGAGACAGATGCAGCTGCTGCTGGTGCTGAATCACATTAAAGGGCCGCGGTTGCTGTACCTCCCATGTGCCGTGGTCTTCGGGTCTGCGGCGGCGCGCTACCTCCTGCTCTCGCATTCTGGCAGCAAGGTCGGACACCTGGTCCGAATTGGCAACAGCGGCCATGTTGCCACACCAGCCTGTTGAGGTTTGTCTACCGGACATGGTGAAGAGTGCTTCCGAAAAGTATTTCTAGAAACGATTGCACAGACCTTCAGCAGTGCCGTGAGCAGTGCCACAGATCACCTACCAGCATGACAAGAGACAAGAACAAAAATAGCGCGTAAGTGCCGCACCTGTTGCGACCGCTGTGCCGGCTGCATGGATACGGAATAGCGCGTCGCTTTCGGTGTAGTGTAAATTTTGCAAACTTCAGCAGAGAAACCAGGCGCCTAAATCTAGATTACACCTGAAAGGCGCTAGACAAGTACACGGTGTGTGAACAGTACGCTGGTCACCTGATTCTGCAACACACGTGCAACCTGGCGGGACCCCGACACCGAAAATCAATACACCTAAAATACAGGAATGGACTCGGAGTGTTATCGCATGAGCTGATTGTTTAGCCGTACGTGCTTCGTTTTTCTGTTTGTGATGTTAGTGCGTATAGTATTCTGTTCTCTGTTTTTTTCCACTCTCCACAAAATTCACTCTCTAAGTCTTGCAAATCACACTGAGGAGACCAGTGATGACCTTTCTGCACATAACAATGAGCCACCAACTCCAACAGAGATGGTGGACTGGGCAGGCCATACAAATAATTCTGCGGCATTGTAGCCCATGTGTTGACAGAACAACACAGGAGCATTGCCCCACCACAACATGTGTGCTGTAACCTGCATACCCAAGGCTGCCCTTGTCATTAGCTTAACATCAGTGTGACTACAGAAAACCTGTCAAGGCGACCACTCGATAAGGCGACCACCTGTCCTAGAAGACCACTGCAACCAGGACCAAGGGATGCTATTTCCAGTCAAATGACCCAGGACTAGGAGACCACCTGGTAACAGAGACCACGTTTTGAAGGTCCCTTGAGCGGTCGTCTTAGACAGGTTTCACTGTATACTTCTAGATACATGTCCAGTAAAAGCTGTGTATAGCCCAGGCCAACATCTGCCACACAACAGGACCACTAGCATTGCAACCAAGAACAAGGGATGCTATTCAAAGTCACATGACCCAGGATACAGAGGCTACCTCTACCACACAGGGCCTGCATGACTTTGTGTAAATCATCCCTTGAGCTGAGCTGGCTGGGCTGCTGGTCAACTAACTGTTACTTATGCAGGTTTCAGTGTACATCTTGTGGACTGTCGACATGATTGTCATGATCAGAACAAGATTTTGAGAAGATAAGATAACAAACCAACAACAAAAACTTTATTTACAGGCCTATGACCAAAGCCAATACAGAGCCCTGACAACTAACTGGCCTACCATCATAACTAGAGCCGAGGGATGCTGTTTCCAGTCAAAGATGACCCTTCCCCTTACAGTTACATCACAACTAGAGCAAAGGGATGCCAAGCTATTTCCAGTCAAAGATGACCCTTGGTAAGACCATCTACACACAGATACATGACATTGTACCACATTTCCACATTTTGACAGTTCCGGGAACTGTCAGTGCCTTAGACAGGTTACTCTTTAGACTTCACAGCACTGCTTGGCACCAAAGAATGGGGGTGCTGAAGAAGGAACAGGTGAGAGAGTTCGCCAAGCACACTATACCTATTTTTGATATTTTTATTTTATTTTTTCCTTCAAAAACACTGCCCCATGGGGGGGGGGGGGGGAGGGAAAACGGGGAACATGCTATTGACAATAGAGAACAAGACTCAACTGTGCATAGATTGTACAAATACTAGTAGCAGATGAAAGTAGGGACAGCTGCCCAAGGCTACAGTCCATTCATAAATAAAGTAACAGTTGGGGGCTGGCTCTAGGAGCTCCTCTCGCTCCTGTGGTTTGGTGATCTGTTGTGTTTTTATCGTACTGGGTGCAGTGCCACGGAGTTGGAAACTTGAAAAATGGTACAAAATGGTACCTCAACTGGGGTTCCAACAGCTCAGTTGGAGCGGAGTGAAACGACCTGGATTTTCATGGTTTTCCTAAATCAGAGTTTTCGGGGCAAAACCTGGCAAAATGCTATTCTTGCCATGGGTTGCTTTTTGGAGAAATGGACCTCAGAAACATACATGTAATTGGAAGAGCATTCCATGGGGATTGCAAGAAGAATTATAAACAAACTCAAAATTTGACTCATTTAGTATCCAAAAGCTAGGTTACCAAAAGCTAGGTTATCATCTTTTTATGAATGGACTGTAGTCTAGAGGCCTACCCCCAAGTACTTCAGCACCCCTCTCTCGCCTCCTCCTACCTCCCCCCCCCCCCCCTCCCCCCCCCACTCACAAAGTACTGTAGTCTCATTGCCTTTATTCTAGTCACTTATGAAGAGTTTCTGGGCTAAAAAGTACCATTTTCATAACCCTTGGACTTGGTGTGCACCACCAAAGTGTGCCTGTACAGTCATGTAGTTGGACATGCTGCGGCCTTGCACAAACCAACAAGATCAGGACTGCATTCCATACCTTCTCAGTGCCTGGAAGATGCCCTTAGTGGTAGTAGTAGTAGCGCGGACTACAGGTCACTGCTGTCTCTGCACTTGCAGGGAGCAAACGAACACAAAGTCCGTAGATCTAGTAAAAGAAGCAACACAGAGAAAGAGAGAACGTTGGCTGAGCGCTCACAGCTTATAGCTGTTATCATGGTTATCAGCGTTACCATGGTTACACTTCCACTTCCAGTCCGTGTGCAGCGTAGACAGCCATAGAGCCCACAACTACCATGACTACGTGGTGCATCTAGACTAGAGCATGCAGGTACAGCCTAACTAGGCCACCTGGCGGCAAGTACAATGATGTGAATGATCGCAGCTACTCAACGAACGTCTTGACCTTACCAGGTCCACTCAGACTCCGACACAATGCAGTCGAGTTGGAAAGAATCACGGAAGACGCAGTGCTAAAGCCTGTAACCATGGTAACGAATGTAGTACAGTCAGTAGATCTACTACACCCCAAGTCTCCATCCTGGTTTGCTTGCCTTCAACCAGTCATACTCATCAGATTCTGACTGTGATCGTGTCGTTGATGACGCTTTTCCTCGCCTCCAGAGTCCTCCTCTAAGCTACGCCCTCTCTGCTTTGTGGCCAAAGCTTATCTGCGCTGCAGCCGACAATAATAATTATTGGCTTGCTATGGTTCACAAGACTGGAATGAAGCCTTCGACACCTGCAGAGTGCGTACAATACTTGCTTGGAGCGAATGACGTGACGGCGCATCAAGTCAAAACATTCTGCCAAGCTGAGCTCCCCAGATATCTCCAAATATGTCAAGTGTATATACACAAATAGGAGATCCCCCCCCCCCCCCGATAGGCGTCATGTGACGTCAGCCTTTGGGTAATCCTGAATAAAGATATAATAATGTTAGAAAAGGTGCACCATACCACGCGTAGGCTGCGCCGGTACAGTCGGAATGTCCTGCTGGGTGCTAAACGGAGCGCCAAAGAACGACTGGATTTCGCCAAGCGCAGGATACTAGTACTAGTAGTAGTACCAATGATGCGTCGACGAAGGTGACTACCAGGCCAGGGCAGTAGGTTGTAGTACAATACGTATTGTACTACTCCCTGGTGACTACATTGGTGACTACATTGTAAAAGACTGGTATATAACCTAGTTCAAAACTAGCATTGTGTCCTCCTAGCCCCCCCTAGTTTCATGCTGTCAATCTAACAATAATAATAATAATAGTACAGACTCTAGTGTTATAGTACACACTCTAGTGTTAACTTACTACTAGTACTACTGCATGACTGTAGATCTACATGAAAAAGAAAAGAACGGCCACCGGTCTACACTACAGTATCAGTACTAGTACTACAGTAGGCTAGGCTAGGACTCAGTAGGACTACTACTAGTACTAGGACTCAGAGGCTGACTCCCAGGTCTCCCGCGACCGTCAGTCGGTAGATTGTATCTTATCAATATTATCATTATCAGATCAAGAGTCTGAGCTGTCCCACCCACAGAAATAACACAGATCACAAGATCACGTCGAACTCCATGTTTACTGTTGTAGATCTACCATGGTGTACTGGTCCGTAGGCATAGCGCAGGCATAGCGCCTAGGCTGCGTGCCGTTCAACACGATCACACGCTCATAGTAGTGCACAATATTCTGCACCAACTGCTTACTTACTGCTAGAAACGGGATTATTCACAAAACGATGAACTTTCCATCGCACATGACTAGTATTAGTAGTATTACCGACACCAGGAGCCGATCAGCGAAACTGCTTCTCCACGGACGACGTCACTAGAGACTAGTCATAGGTCTCACTGTGCTTTTTACGATTTAATCACTGATTTCATTTCAAACATTCCAAAATAGCCCAAATCGACCTTCCTTCTTTCCAACGTCATTACGAGCCACAATGCTGTTCGCATCACCCTACAACATAAAGTCGCACACCTGTGTGTTATTTTCTTCCTATCATACGACATACCTAACCCTGGCTTCACATCATAGTGTTGCTTTTACCCTACAACATCAGACCTATTCTGTACTGACTGTACGAGTCTCAGGACTCACAAGTCGCTGGAGATGTACAGCGGTGATGCACTATGTAGTACTAGTACTAGTAGCACTAGTAGAGTACAGATCTGTAGTCCACTACATGATTGTAATATTCTACGAGCACGACGTAGATCTACAGTCCAGACGCGCTAGACGCAGGCCTGCGCTGCTGCAGGACAAGATTCATGATTGTCATGTACATGTACATATGTAGCGTCTACAGTCATGTACATGTACATCACATCACAACCTCATCATGGCGCCATAGCATACTATAGTACTCCACTGGTCTGTCCATGTCCGACGCTCAAGCTCAAGCACGCCAAAACAAATCGGTCCCGTCAATGCACTCTGCTGGAGCTGGGAGAGGCTCGTCCGCAGTCCGGTAAAACTATCAATCCATGACACTGACAGTCGCGGTGATGAAACCCCGTCCGCCGAGCACTCTTCACGCGCACGCGAACAGTTCTTATAAACACGATAAAACGGTCAACAGATCCAATCAAAACGGAAGCAGCACAGACAGAAATACTAATCCCTTGTGTTCACATATGCATCGTGTACGCTATCACATACTGTAGACTATCGTACCAGCTGTGCCGGCGTGAATATTCGAATGTGGATGCTGCTGTTGTGTTACGGTCGGCACGAGTCAAAGGGACGAAACCAGAGCAAGGAAGGAAGTCAGGACACAGCATGCACAGGACTACTACAGAGAGCGGGCCGGGAGACATAACGAGAAGAACGACACCTTTTCAAGTCACACGTCGTCTGGTGTGGCGGAGCGCAACAAGCAACGACGTGCCAAAGAGCATACCATACAGCACCCTCATCAAACCCATGATACATGCATTCTCTAGCAGACGAGACACGCGCAGCGCGGCGAGTTCACCACGATCAAAGGGACACGCACTCACGCCAAGCTCATTACAAAAAAACTCAGTTTTTGGGCTGTGGCGGGTTGAGTTTCATCGACGTCTCGCGGCAGACAAAGCGGCTCGCGCCACGTCGTCACACGTGCTAAAGTGAGTTTCCCATCACGCAAAAGGCCTATTTCCGACGTGGCCTTTCACTGCACGCAATCCCCACGAGACAAACATTCATTGGAACGATCGACGTTACGTAGATCTACCACAGATCAAACAGTCCCATGCTGATTCGCGGCTTTCTGAAACGTCTCATCACGCCAAGGCGAGAATTCCATTCACAACCACCAGGCGCAGATACACCGACAAACACTGAAACAGGCTCGTGCGCAGATAGCTCACCACTACACCACAGTACACTCAGCACTGGTGCACTGTCTGTACAGTCGCTACTTTACGAGTACTTTCGGAGTAGATCTACACACATTCGTGAGGAGTGAAAAACTATCGTGGCGTGCTTTAGTTTACGTTCATTGTACGCGAGCTGTACGTTCATGTTGTGCAGGATCTAGGAGAAGAATATCGGGGAAGTATTCGTGAACACGCCATTACGTGTAGAACGTGTACTACGGGTTCACACACACATGCATACACAGACACGAACGCGTGCACGCATAATTATACATAGTACCATACGCAAACCCAACACCAGTGATTCACCCTCTTGAGCGCCTCAAACGAAAGGAGGAAATTAATCAGAGTAACAGTTACTTGCTGCCGAACATGACCTAACGTTCTGCCACGCAGCGAAAAGCACAATTGGTATCCGTAGTGGTGGTGGGTGTACCACTGTGGACATGATTCCGAACATATCTTCCTTGCGATCAGTCGATCACCGACTGCGATTGGTAGAATGACTAATGTGGTTGCGCACCACACACGTACACCACGCGCTAGTCCTACTTCATAATCCTCACTTCACACACAGTTCACAATCCCCCGATCGCCGCACTACGCATGCATTGTACTATCCAGTTCATGCACGGTGAGATGAGACTTGAGAGCGAAGCGAAGATGAGCACCTCCAGAGTAGTACCGCATTCAAAGAGCATGCCGCGCAGAGCGTCTCCAACGACGTCAGCCGTTACGCTTCATACATGCACAACACGGGCTTGTGTCACGCGCATCAACTCGACTTCTCAAGGCTGGAAAGATGCGCAAGATCAAGAGAGACTTGCGAACTACATGTACACTAAAATATCATTGAAAGGAAAACAACTGGTGAAAACAAACCCGGTACGCAACTCTCCAACTGTCCAGATCGCCGAGTTCTAGGCTTCTGTACCTCTGATCTCACCGAAAAGCAACCCAGACAGAATTGGTCGCGGGCACCGTTCTACAAGCAGCAAGCGCTCAACTGGCTGCCACAGTGCCAGGTCGTGTAGCAATCCAAGCGCTGGAAAACATACGCACTGCCCTCAGGTCGTTCCTTAGTACTAGTAGTAGTAGTACTGTTACTGAGCCACGACACGATTGGCAGCATTGGAGACAGACAAATCAAAGCCCAGGCCGACACACAGCGAATCGTGTATTGTGAGCTACAGTCGAAAAGAACTGAGCACGGAGGAAGACAAAACTACGATACTGTAATGTCGATGTACACGTGAGTGAGACTCGGGGCAATCGCTAGTAGTAGCAATCGTTCTGTGTCTACTCGATCAGCACAAGAAAAAATACAACAGACTCGAGGCTGAAGTCACACGTGCTGCGCGCTCTTCACAAATAGCTGCGAGAGGAATCCATTTCACCTAGGGGTGCGACCTCAGTTGTCATTCATCGCAGAGATGGGGGAGCAGTCAATTTTTACATTCTTTGGCAGAGGAAATACAATAATAATATTCAGCTCGTGAACACAATCACAAACTTAGTACACGCGGGAGAAGCAGCGGTAAACCATCGACCAATGCCACGAAATCAGGTGATCATTTCTTTGTTTCCTTTCACGATTAAATTATAGTAAATAGAATGAGGCGGAGACAGAAAGTAATCAGACGGCGCTGTATTCCAACATGCATTTTTTAGGAAATGACTGAGGGAGAATTCTTGTAGTAGATTATGAAACGACCACAGGGTACATACAAACACAGCGCGGGCAATGGCATGCTGTAACCTCAGAGGAGGAAAAAGCCCACATAATCTAAACTAAGTCAGTTGGGGAAACAATTATTTGTGGTGACGCCGGGATAGGCACATGGAGGATAGTCTCACGAAACAAAGGATAATCTCACCTTTTCCAGTAGGTCGTAGCAGTACAGGAGGATGCACGTGGTCTGGGTCTCACCAAACATCCACCACACTAGAAGTACTCTCACTAACTTGACCACAGGCCCGCGCAAAACGCGTTCTTCTGCAAAGACTATTGTCTTCCGTGCGCACAGCCACACAATCAAGTATAGCAGCGAATGCACAAAGGAGGGCAGCATCCGTCTGCTGCCTTCCACACGTTCTCCAGCAGCAAGATACTCTCCCGCTGCCGTTATATCCTCAAAATTAATATCGTGAGGCTACCGTACACGAAATGAATGAGCGTGCTACGCTTGGTGAAGGCGGTTCGCGGGCCAGGTAGGTACCACTCCAACATCAGCAGATAGCTGTACTGTGTATGTCCTTTGGCAGAGCACGACCGACAATGAACGGGAACCGCTCCTCGCCCGCACGTCCCAGCAAGGCGAAAAACCCCAACGAGAAGCAACCAGCGCTCAGCACGGCCCGTTTGCTAAAACTAGTGCAGTGTACTACACTCTACAGTGAAGCTTCGAAGGACTTACTACTACATGTAGTAGTAGTATGTGCATGCCGTGCGTGCTCGACTTGTCTTTCACTTTTTCTGTCTTGTGACGACAGAGGCGCACTGACTGTGCACATGTGTACTGCTGTGATCATGGATGGGGATCCTAGGAGTCTGTCTTCGGCTAAAAACTGCCTGTGTGCACGTAGATGTCTACACACCGCACCGCGCGCGGGGTAGACTAGTACTAATACATTGTACAGTGCTGGCAACTGAAATCCGACCTCTGAGCGGTGCGCTCACATCGCAAAGAATGTGAACCCACCGCCGCTCAGGGGGTCGGATTTCAGTTGCCTGCACTGTAGATCTACATGATTGTACTAGTGGTAGTGCTGGCCGGACACACGCAAATCTACACAGCTACAGGGGTGCACTGCACTGGGCCCCTGGCACTACAAAAAAAGTGTCTGTTCAGTGCAGTGTGCGAGTGCCCAATGATTGTTACGACCACGTACCGCCCAGACTTGCATGCTGCATAGCTTTTATTTAGGCTAGGCCGTATGATCAGCTCAGGGCCTGGGCCCTGGCGGATAATGCTCGGAAAAGTAGCGTTTTCTGCTCGACATTCTGCTCGTATTCTGCCCCATTCTGCTCGTATTCTGCCGGATTCTCACGTGCTTGTGAACACCCCGGGGTGTACCCCGTAAATAGGCGCCAGCATGCCCTCTCCGCACTTCGTAGCTGGTTCTGCAGAGTATCTGCTCATTCTTCTGCACTTTTCTGCCGAATTCTGCTCCTTTTCTAAAATAACCCATATTCTGCTCGAAATTCTGCCGGCGGACGACGCGACATTATCAAATGCGGCCATGAGGTATCAACAAGGGACCATGTAGATCTACCAGTGAGTTCACGTGCTTGTACCAGGCCCTGAACGTTTTATTGCGGGCAAACAATGCGATCGTACGATGAAAAATTAAAAATAAAGAACATTGAAAATTTATTTTTGTTTATAAGGAACAAAAATTGGAGGCGTATCCAATTTCGAAAGAAACGTTGACAGCACCGACGCAATCCATACATTCAAGTAAGCCAATTTGGTAACCAAAAAATTTTATAATAAATTATTTTGATAGAGTTATGAATTATTTCAATGGGCAGCCAAGTAATTAGTTCAGCGGCTGCAAGAACTGCCGGAACGCTGGTGTCCGCAGTGTCAACATATCGGCGACCTCGCGCGATCGCGATCGCAGAGCCATCACGGAAGCTCGGACCAGAGCAAAGGATAACCGGCATCTGATGACAGCCAGTGTGGTGCCGAAATCTTCTCCCGTTTTCTCTGATCGGAGGCAGGTGATCCGGCTGAACAAATTCTGGGCAGCCTTTCCATGACCTCCATATGCCTTCCTCTTCATCACTGTGTCTCACCTTTGTGTTTTCCACTGACCTTGATGTGGGATGATGTAGTGTTTGACTTATTCTTAGGTACTTGTTCCAATACACATTAGAACACCCTTTTGATGTTAGGCATTTCTCGCATACATACGGTATTATCTCTACTATAAGCACAGTCTCCTATAATAGCACGTCTCCAATAATAGAACACCTTGGGGCGGCATTCAAAAAATAAAGTGCTCAGTCTCCATTATAAGCACACTGTGTAAATTCATTATCTGTACAGGCGAAAAACCCCTGAAATGTGTGTGTCATACATGAATTTGGCATGGCAACATGCCTCTGAAATGAGGTTGAAATAATAATGGAACAGTCTCCAATAAAGGAACGTCTCCATTAATAGCACGGGGCGGAGGTACATGTACATTGAAAAAATAAAGGACCGTGCAGCTCAGGGGCGGATCCAGGGGGGGTTCGGGGGGTTCGAACGAACCCCCTAAATTTTTTCCGACCATGGTGCAGTTTTTTTTTATTTATTTTTTTTTACAAAAGCCAGGCATGCGAATTGCTCCAAGGATCCTGCCGTAGCGCATATAGCCCGAGCTGAATCATGCAGATGTTACATTGATATGATCCTCAGACGAACACCTTGCCAATAGGCCTTTCCCAAATCGGCCATTTATTTTGGCCTTTTCGGCTTTTCGATCGGCTGAAAAAATCGCCAGAATCGGCTGAAAATTTCTGTAAAAGGTGGAAATTCGGCTCTAAAGTCGCAGCCACCTTTCGCAGATAATAGAGAGGTTTTGCATTCCGAATTTCGGAATTATTTTCGGAATGTGGCGGCAGCAGTCGAAAAAGTAGTCGAACTTTCGGAAGTGTGGTGGCGAAAGTGCATGGTTTTCCGAAAATAGATTTTCGGCTCTTTCATGTTTGGGAGTGCATATTTGAATACAAAAAAGTGTATTTTTCATGTTTGTATTTTTGCTTTCTGCTGCTCTCGATTATTTGAAAAAATTTCCACGTATGTAGTTTTTGATTTTTGCTGGTTTTGCTGCTCTCGCTGATCTCGCCATGTTGACTAATCTTCTCACACTTCATCACACTCTATCTTCCTTTGCCCTGGAGCCTACTAACAGTACAAGACAGTAGTTCGCCAACCTCGTCTTCAGCTGTTGGATCACTTGGTCCACCATCAGTCCGTCCTCGTCTTCGAACCGCACCCAAATTCAGTTTGACCTGCGCACAAGGATTTGATCCTGCTCAACCCCTTCGAGTGACAGTTCGACGCTCTCCATTTTGTTTTGCATGGCAACCCTTGGAAACGAAGTCGAATCAGATTTTCGGAATGCAAAACACTGAAAATACCGTTTTTCGGAACGCGCTTTTTTCGGAAAAGCACAGTCGAAAATAATTCCGAAATTCGGAATGCAAAACCTCTCTAATGATTACAGAAATTGTATTTTAATATGCTATTGAGGCACTAAAATATCAATTTTTTGGCGAATTCAGTGCGAAAATTGCGTATTCGGCTAAAAGATCGGTGATTTCTTCAAAAACCACTTTTCGGCCAATGTTTCGGCCGGCAGATTTGGGAAATGCCCACGGGCCGTGACGCAGGCGCACACGAGCGGTCATGCCCAGTTGCCCACGACCCTGCAAAACATGTACATTGTACTACTTTCACTTTAGCTCATGCATACTGTACATGTACATGTACATGTACATGTACATGTACATGTACACCCTTCAAAGCGGTGAACCCCTTGTACTTGTAGTCTAGGAGCCAAGTCAGCAAAAGTCCAAGGAATAAGGTATTGATAGGCGACAAGCCTCTGGGTCATCCTAATAAAGATATTATTATTATTATTACATGTACATGTATATTCAGCGATTTCTTGGTAAAATCTCAGAATTCGGCGAAAAGATCGGCGATATTCTGAAAAGGCTACTTCCGGCGAATTTTTCGGCCGGCCGATATGGGAAAGGCCTACTTGCCAACATTCAACGCTTGGCCGACACGTACTCTGATGATCTGCCAAGCTCTTCAACTATATAAACTGACATCCGAAAGTGGGTCAGGAAATGGAAGGACGCAGCAGAGAAGTCTCGTGCACTTCCAGCTACCCCACGAGCTCTTGTGCATTGCGATACTGATGTTTTCCTGAACATCCACGTCCTCCTCCGGATTGTTTCAACACTACCCGTCACCTCTGCGGAGAATGAGCGCAGCAACACTGCCTTGAAATGGCTGAAGCACTACCTGCGCTCGAGCGCTCGACAATGGGATCAGAGCGCCTATCCTCTAGCCCTTTCCCAAAGGTGCCCGCCCTTTTTTTCGCCCTTTTCGGCCCTTTTTGGAAAAGCCCGTTTCTTTCGCCCTTTATAAGGGCGGAAGAAAACTGAACCCCCCTTGGAAAAATCCTGGATCCGCCCCTGAGTGCTTATATTAGAGATAATACGGTAGCTAATGTAGAAAGGTCATATTCGCTCACCTCTGCTAAGTTCTGTTTGCATCCTAACACTCCTGCCAAACAGCATTTGCCAGATAACTAATGGAACAATAAATTACCTAGCATACTCTTCCATTGCACTCTCTATGCTATTGTAATAGGTCGCCGAGTGGTATCAGGAGGCACACACAAGAAGACTGACTAATATTACGTTATTCGGCTCAATCTGCCTGAAGTTATGTATACAACTGCTCCGGCTCAATCTGCCTGGAGGGACTCTGAAAGGAATACAACTGATCCGGCTCAATCTGCCAGGAGAGACTCTGAAAGGAATATGACTTTTCTGAAGAAATGAGTAAAGCATGGCAGCTTTTATAGGGCGAAAAGGAAGGAGATCATCATAGAGTCTGCATGAGCCATGAGTCATGAAAAAGGGCAAAAGTCTGTTGTGTCAGTCCAAACAGAACTTGGGAAGGCATAGCAACATTATCTAAATGTATAAGGATGAAAGAAGCAAACGGAACTTTGGAGGAGAACAGAGGCCAGGGAGGGCATTAGCAAATGGATGCAAACCGGATTTAGAAAGGGTCATGACTGTCCGCATGACCTCAGTCAGGGTCAGGGAGGTACAGTACAACATGTGGGTGTTAGTTCTACATGTACATATAGGTGTGATGATCTAAACTAGCAAAGATATGTAGTATGCAATCCAGCAAGCGCAAGAGAAACACAAGTGGTGAGAAGTGATATAATTAGCTTTACAGGCTTGTCAGCAAAGGAGTGACAAGAGTCATGCAGTGCATGTACGTGTACATGTGACATGATTAGAGGTAAAAATAGATGTAAATGTAGTAGTCAGCTACAGTTCAGTACTAGCAAGGCAGGGATACTACACCCTCCCTTCCTACAGATAATCACGCCCTCGTGATTTTTCAAAAGTATTAAGTTTTTATTAAAGCAGGAGTACGAATGATCATTATGGTGAGACAGCATGGCTTGGTAGACGGATAATAAAGTAGGGACCCTGTGTGTATAATGTGTGAAAACCTGTTTCTCTGTGGAGCGGGAAAAATTTCGGACGGTAAAAAAAAAGATGTGTAAAATCGCGTCACTGTGGACGGTAGCAGTTCTTCATTCTCGTCTCTCTGGGACGGTACAACGGGAAAAGTAGACTCGCACATC